CAAATTGGGGTGCCCAGAATCAAATAAGATCTGGGGACAATTTCTTAAGAAACTGACTGTTCATTCAGAGACATAAGATCTCTTGTGGAAGACAATACAGTTTGAAGCAAGACTCCTTCCCAAAATGTACCCAAATTTTTTTTTTTCTGCTTTTCAAGATAAGTCCTTTATAAAACTTCATACTGCAAATTCAAGATTAGTTTCTCCCAAGAAAGTACATGCAACACTTAATAAAAATAGGAACTTTCAAAACAACTTTGAATTTTTCTTTGCCATAGGACATCATTTATTTCAAGAATATTCTTCAAGTTTAGACAGCCTCTAACATATGACTAAGTCTGAAGTCACTTTGTCTGTCAAAAGATAAAGGGCAAATGAGTTATAAGGGCAGTTTGGTCATCAGAAGTCATTCTCTTTGGACCCAAAGTAGTAAAAAATATCCTCAGTCTTCCAAACAACTAAAGTCCCAAAAGGCCACAAATCCTAGCTTTGCAACAGGCCAACCTATTCAACACAAAGGTCAGCATCATTAAACAGAATAACAAACCAATCCTATAGCCAGAAATGACAGATATGCCTAGGAGGCAAAGGAGTCATGCAGCTGATACAGTTGTCTCTCTGGCCCTCCTTTAGTCCCACATTTGCACAGTCCCAAACTTCTTTGTACACACACACACACGATCTTCGCTGTTTAATTCCATAGACACGCATGCCTACATATGCCTGTACAATGTGTGCATGTGCGGGACCAAGCAAAAATCCCTCCAAACATGTGAATCCACAAGATAAGCCATTACTAAACAGTATGGAAGCAGTAGCTGGTGGAACTGAGCTTTTCCGCACATGTACTGTCCTCTGGACTTCCTCTTACTCCTCACTGCTTTGCAGGAAATAATGTTTTGGTCAGAGGTTAACCACAGCTTGTGAAGTGAAGGACCTGTATGTACTTTTAGTTCTCACTACCATCTCAACAGTTTCTGCTAGTCAAGGCTGGGCTAAACCCCATGCTCAACCCTCTGCCTGCCTTCTTATCAGCTGAAAACGCACTGGATGTGTTCCCACGAGCCTGCCTCGGCAGCAGCACACATTGCCCCCAGACCAGGATAGTATTAAAGCCCCCATCTCCATCTTCCCATTACTGCCATGGGGGCTGGCAGCCACTAACCCTCCTGCAGCAACAAGCACGCATGGCAGCACAAGACTAAGAAGAGGGGGTGCTCTTTTCTTTCTGAGATGTTAACTCATGGACCCCTCTACCAATCTGTGGCCATTTCTGGAAGGTTTTCTTTCTTTTCAGGGGACCAAGGAAATAGCTTAGGCACTTCAAAGCCAAGTACTTTTCATAAACAGAGAGCACAGCTGTTCATTTGCTTATTCCCTTTTGTCACCATGCTGGAAGTATATCATATGTGCTTAGAGTCATATTAACCTCTTAAGGATTTGGTGAGGATACAATCAGGCTCAAAAAAAAACAACAGCCATTAACACCCAGCTGTGAATCCAGAAGAGAAACCTGCCTTCTCCTGCATGTGTGTAACCAGGCCAAGCTCAGCCCCAACGCAGTATGACAGTGCTGCTTGTTACTACCTGAGTGACGCTTGTCACACACACTGTTGAGACATGCTGAGCAGTGGACCTTGGAGATACAAGCTCGAGCGGCCACAGGAGGAATTCAACAGCAAAGGCAAGCAAACGCAAACCTGGAGGCTCACACCATGCAGGGCCAGCCACTTGGATTTTCTTTCATTTTTTTTAAAAATCACTTTTATAAGCTTTCACTATGAAAGACATTAGGTAAACTCCCATTCTAGGCTGCTGTGCATGAAATTTAAAATACTCACATTAATGCAGAAATAAACCAACTACAACATCTAAAGGTAAATGCTGTAAATAAGTAGCTATGCAGTATTAAGAGAGGACAAATCTCAGCTGGGACTTGACAGATTCAGGTTTTGTTCTTATTTCTACCCTTGACCTGCTCGGTGACTTTGAGTAAGTCGTTGCTTACTTTCTATTTCTTTCTGGGTCAGAAACTGCCTATTATTTTGTGTTTGTAGTGGCTGGTATGAAAGATCCTGTCCTAGGGAAGATCTCTGGACACTACTTCAATATGAACAATCTCTAAATACCTGTTAAACAATGAACACAGAGGGAAGACTTCCAATATTTCATAAGTAAATACATGCATACATATCTGCATTTACATGAAACACACATATTCAAATATGTTCCTAATTAAAATCTAGAAATCACAGCTTTGCTAGATTACTTCCCACCTCTGTATCTCTAAGATACGCAAGTTTTATTGCCTCACTTTTAATAAGTATAGATTTGTTATGTCTTACCTTTAAGATTTATTTTCTAGCTTTGCATAAAACTCAACTTTGAATTATTTTTTTAAATCCATCATTATCCCAAGCATCTGGCACAGACTTGTATTTATGTTACAATGAAACCCCATATTTTTCAGTCTGCATTTGAAAGTATTTAACATTTTTCTATCCAAATCAATCTGTTTCTCAGCAGTCACTGCTGAAATAAGCCTTTTTCTAGTGTTTCAGGCATCTATTTTGCCTTTTCTAACCTTTTTCTCCTTGCTTACATGTATAAATGTCCATTTATAAGCTGTCAGCTGAAATAGATGCCAAATTTAATCCAATTGCATAAATTCACAACATAAGCTGGAAAAAGTACATCACTACATGCCTGAAGAATTCAGAGTCTCTCTTAAAATGTCTGACAGAATCTCCCAAAACTGTACTGGAAAAATTCAGTACTTTACTTTTACGGGTGTGCAGTGAGGCTTTCGCTCTTGCTGTGGGCACTTGATTTCTGATATAAGTGTTGAGGTATGGTTTGCAAGGGCAAAGAGTTCAAGGTCATTTATTTTCTAGTCTCACAGTGAGCAAGCAATTGATGCTATATCTGCTAAGCAAAAGTGAGGATCAGGGAACCTTGAAATAGGAGGCAGTAGTGCTACAGACCACATTAAAACTAAATAAACAAGCAATGAAAACATTAAACAATAACAGTAATAGTAGTAGTAGTAATGATAATAATACCACTGGGAACAAAAGGAATGGGAAGTCTTAACAACCTGTTTCTGAAAGTTTTGAGGGCTTAGAAGGTCGGCACTGCCCACTATTTTAGATGTCTGGTCAAGCTCTGGTTCAAAAACCAGTAAGCAGTAACATATAGATTGATTGTTAATATAGAGACACCACTTGAAATGGGATATTGGTTGCAATATCTGACACATTATGACAGGTGGAACACATTTAAAACATTTTATTTGGTTTTTGGAAGAAGGAAGAAGACAACAGCATTGAATGACAGGGAATTTGAACAACAAAGACAAGGAAAAAATGTTTAATTTTTTTCCTTTGGATGGTATGATATTTTCCTTTGGATGGTATGATTTTTCTTAATAATGACCAAGTTAAGAGACTCATGTATTCGATAATGATTTTCATCACAAGAACAGAAGGTAAGAGCAGCAATTTTGGTTGACTTGTCCAATGAGGTCACTGAAAATGCTTATCTTACAGAATTTTAAATAGTTGTGGTTTTTTTTTTTTTTAATAAAGAAGAAATTTATAATTGGATATTGAATAACACTAGCATTTTCAAATGATGCTGGATTGAGAAATCACTGCCTTTTGTTTGCCAGTTCAAGTATCCCTCTGGAAACAAGGCTGCAATATTTGAATTGTAATTCTAGTTGGCAGCAAAAAATGGTCACCATGTCAAAACTGTTCTGACACAGTAAATAACTGAAGCAATGACAGGAGGAAATCTGTAGGGAAGTAACTTTATTTTTTTCGGAAATGTTGGCTGAGCTTGCATCAGTGGGGTCCCATGGGCTCCCATGACCACCATCTCCATCCTTAAATTAAGTAACAAGCTACCTCCAGTGACAAACACTTACCCATCACTGCTGCATCACTTCTGGACTACTGATGTATGAGCTGCTTCTGCCTCCAGTGAAAGTTCACAATTTGTCAGCTCAAGACTCTGCCCTTTGCTAATGGATTACTTTTGAAATGTCTGCTCTAACTGGAAGGTTCTATTTATTTATTTACTTTTTCTAAAAAGGTGTACAAGCAACCCACTGTTTGGGCTCTGGCTTCTCATAGGAGAGTCACCAGTTCTAGAGACGCTGATCATTGTTTTCGAATCCTTCACAGCACAAGGGGATGAGGGTGACAGTGGCCCAGTTCTTTTTTTCTCCCTCACAGACCCTCTAAGGCATGGCAAGAGAAATGTAGCAGACTTGCAAAGAAGATACTAAAGACACAGACTAAGGTATCCATTGGATGAATCATCATTGTCCTACTACAGACACCCCGATGCCTGGACCCAAGGGACAATTTCATCCTAGTTTTCATCCCTGAGCAATAGAATAAACAGTCCCTTATTCCCTCCACAAAGGTGGTGTGAAGAGCTTGAGGCATCCAGGTATGAATGTACTGTAAGTCACAGGTAGATATATCCTTACTCATGAAAGACTTGGAAATCCTTTTGAGAAATGCAGTGAGGATTTAGAAAAAAGGAGAAATATACCTAGTTAGCAAGATTTTGGGTGTAAGTTGGTGCTCCGTTTGTTACCTCCAGCAGGCAGGTGAAGAAAAGGGCCTCTAAGGTAAACCTGCTCCCTGATGGATAGGGAAATATGCATGGCTGGAGTATGTAACCTATTTAATCTTCGGGTTGGATAGGAAGGGGGAGAAGTAGAGTGGGATTTATGGGTCACAGAAATTTCTGTTGCAATGCCATCCTCATCAAAGACAATGCAACGGTAAATGATATAGATGATCAATTCCCTAAGCTCTTACAAGCTTTACAAACTTCCACCAAACAAACTTTTCACAAGTGAACCGCTTACTTCATTTAAATATGCAGCCTGTATAATCAGAGTCTTTGAAGTAGGGAGACAGATGATCAGGATTTGCCTTTTGATCTTTCCAAATTGTTTTAGCAAGTAACAACTATGCCTGAAGTCTTTTCTGGGAAACTTTATTAGCAACGATGTTTACAACAATCTTAGAGACCAAGGTTCTCTTAGTATCGCTGTTAAATAATCCTCCAGAAACTGAAATCTTACAAAGCAAACTTAGGGTCTACAAATAACAATCATGAATTTTATGTAAATTCAATTAAAATCCCTAATCAAATCAGCTACAATTCTAATAAATGCTCTGTACATATTTATATTAAAAATAAAATAGAAAAAAAAAGTGCTTTCACACTGTATCTGTTGGATTCATGCAGCTCTCAGTCTTGTTCTCCATTCATCTACTTGTACCCAAATCGAGTCAATGGATCTGCCATGAGAACCTCTAGATCAGAACAGATCAGGCTCTGGAGCAAACAAAAAAGGACCTGACTTTATCAGTAAACCAGAGACCCCTTCACATTTGCAAAAAAGAGCCCAAGCTGCCTTAGTTAAAAGCTACAGCTGTTCCACTGATTAGCATGAGAAAAATAATAATTTTTATTAAAGGCAACTTAAAGGTTTTCCTTTCCTTGGTGTCTGTTATAAAGGACTGTGCTCATGTTAACACAGTCTATGCATCTCCTGAAATTCACAGAAACATTCACAGCCACTGTTTTTAGACTCCACACACAGAAATACACTGCAGTTTTAACACAAACAAAAGGAACATGAATTTTTTTACCTTGTGTTTTCTGTCCTCAAGACAAGGAAAACAAAATTGCTTTGGGCAATTTTTCTAGCCCATGCTTATACAATGAATAAAGGGAAGACAGCCCGCATGTGAAAATACAGTTATCATCTGCCTTTTGAAGAAGTCCGAAAATTCATTAACTGCAGTATCTGGAATGCAGATATTGTTTAGAAGTTCAGTTTTTTCAAGCAATTTCTGGGTCAAAGAAGAAAAAAGAAGTTCTGGGTTCCTCCCCCCAAAAAGCCCATCTGATAAATTCAATCTATTTTTATGAAAATGTTTATGAATAAGCTTACAGTCTTCTTACAAGTGAAAAGTGAAATGGTGTATAGGACAAATGAAAGTAATGTTAAACTATGAGCTGAGAATTCCACTGGGGTACTTTGGTGATATCAGATATGCTGAGAGGCATTTGCTAAGCAACCATACACCTGAAAATGAAGTCACTGCACTTTCTGCTTGTTAAATACATAAAACCGGTCACAGTTAAGAAGTAAAAATATAATAATGGTGTACACAGTTACACTTAACCCTCACCACCACACCATTTCAACTGCTAGAAGCAGATGTGTGATTTTACAAAAGCATTTGAAATACAAAAGACTTGAGGACAGGGGAGTTGCTGCTGCTTTTCAGCTTGCTACTAGGGAGAGGCATTTCAGCTTTTTATTAACAGACTGAAGCTATAAGAAGTTACAATCACTTCTCAAAAGTCAAATGGCAGCAGCATTCAGCAGAGAGCAGTTCTTTGCCTTTATCTCATTGTTTTTATCTCCTTTATGTTTTAATGGTTTATTATCACTCTCTAAATTATAGAATGTATTTGTTTTTTTCTTCTCTCTCATCCTCTGAAATGGATTTAGAGCACCAATCCATTAAGAAAAGGCAATCATAGAAGTTGGGAGAAGTGAGGTAGTGCTGTGGGCCCAGGTTTTAAACTCCCCTCCACATTTAAGTGCATCTCACATTGCATGTGTACAAAAATGTGTGTAATTAATACACACTGATTAGCTCAGAAATGAAACTTTGGGAAGACATTAGGATAGGCTGAATTTTTCAGCTCTGTTTGTGTCTACTTGGGCATCCACAACAAAGTGCTTTTATGGATGCCCACCACACACCTACAGAAAGGTGCTTCAGACAATCGCCAAATTAGTTGCTTGGCGTAGTGTGGACCTTGGGCAAAAGTCTTCTTTCATGAATCCCTTTGAATTCTTTGGGCCAGGCTTGTGCATCCATGCTCACAAAGCTGCCCGGTATCTTAACATGTACTTCTATGTTACACCAGATAAGATGCATAACTCACTCGCCAAAAAGGATCTGAAGCAGGAAGAAAACACACCATTAAGGAAAATAAGGGTTGTAACTGTTTCAGTTACCAGAAGAGAAAGATAAAAAATGACTACACAGTATGTACTAAGGGACTGTTTTAACTGGGAACCCAGCATAATGGAAATGAAGGGCTTGAAGCAGGCACATTTAAAGTAAAAACAACGCACAAACAGCTACAGTGAAGCTGGTAACCAGTGGGAAAAACCACCAACAGACAATGGATTTTCATTTCTGGTGCCACTCAGCTTTTATAGAACAAACATCTGTCTGTCTAATACAAGCCACAGACACCAAAATTTCAAGGAAACTGTGTGACTTAAAACTGTACACTACCTTTGTACTACACTTTGGGGACAAATTCTGTCCTCCTTTTAATAAAAACCATTTTCAATGAACCTATCTGGAACAGCACCCATAAAGAGTTTCTAATACACCATTTCACAGTTATGGTCACACTGCTATCTTCTCAACAAATAAATCCATTAGACAGCAGCCTCATAGAGCAAGAAGCCAAGAAAAAAATTAAACGTGTAAATGTAAACTCAGTACATTCTCTGTAAAAAAATTTGCCATTCTCTTGCTTCATAATTATCTTTTTCTTCAAGTTTTATGACACTGATTTAAAACCAAAAACCCTCATGCTTCCACACACACCTGTGTCACATTCCAGTGGATTCCAGATGTGGAATCCACTGTTTAAAGTAAAACTGTCTCCTTTGCTTAAATTACTATAACATTTTCTCTAAAAGGACCTGAAGTTTACAAGTCTGATTTAGTAGAATCAAGCAGTAAATTTAGCCGCAAAACTTAAGTTACGTACATGCTTAAGTGCTCAGCTGAATTAGTTTCTCATTCCTCCTACACAGCAGAAATCATGCAATAACTTTGTTGGTTACTGACAAAACAGCATTTGGACACAGGAGACAACTGTTAAACAGCTTTTCCTCCTATAAGATTTTTAAATTAATACTTTATTACTTCATACAACACAGTAAAAATAATAAAAATAATCCAACAACTTTTCATAAAAATTAAAAAGATTTAAACCCAAATCTTATTAAAAAGGCAAACTTAAAACCAAACTAAAGAGATACTATATGTGCACACACTTTTGAAGAAGAGATTACAATTTTCTTTTTGATATCAACAGGCACTCTTCATTCACCATCTGCAAGAAAGTAGGTTAGGTCTCCATAGGCCACAGTCAGAGTTATTAAGTAAGTAAATATGCCACTGCTTCTGTGCCCTCCTTTTATTTCCTTGCTTCTTCAGTCTCCTCTGGCTCTCTCTCTTGATGCTCTCTTTCCCACCTCAATTCTTTCAACTCTTGTCTGTACTTCCGTTCAATGAACCGTTTCTGATGGGCCATCTGGGGAAAGTTATCTGACACAAGGAGAAATATTTTACATTAATAAACAAACTGGTAACACAGAAAGTCTCAGGTCTTTTTCTTTTTTAACTTTGATGAGATTAGAGGTAGGGGAGAATAATGTTACTACCATTTTCACTCATTTATTTCTAATAATACGTAGTAAACCAAGACTTTATTATAGGACTTTGGTTTCTTTATGATTTCTTTACATCTGTTTCCCCTGCTACAAAGCACTGCCAAATCTAATACACTCACAAAAATAAAATATAAAATCCTGGTATAGCAACACAGCCAGGTATTACCTGGATTTTACATTCTGTTCCCTTAGCAACAGGTGGTCAATACTGAAAAACAAATGTGAAACTACTGTCAATGCTGTCAGGGTTTTTTGTCTTGTTCTCTCTCCAAAAAGTACGAGCCACCGGTTCCAAGCATTGTACAGATGTTTCCATTATTTTTATTATTATTTTAGACCACACTGAATCGACCTGATGTCCCACATTATGGCAGGGATCCTAATGGGAAAGTAATAGTGCAGCAAGATTGAATGCAGTAAAATCTGTTCCTGAAAAAATTAAGGTATGGCTATGTACCAGAAGACAGCCTTAGCATAGTTGAAGAGCACGGATGAGTGAAGACTGACTAAAACAGACTGGACAAGGCTGAGGTGATAGAGAAATAGCTGGATGCTTCTGCTTTCAGACATTTGTCTATTGGTTGCTATGTATGTACATGTTAGAACTAGGACTGTAAAAACAGCTTATGTAAGTGAACAGAATTCTCTCAATTTAGTGCACTGCTCACAGAATATGATGTTTTCTGCATGACCAGAGTGCTGACACTCATATGTGTCTGTGCTGCAGAGACCTGTACTCTTCAGCTAGTCAGAAAGCAGAGAGGTGGCACAGGACGTGACAGGCTGTAGTAGATGGTAAATCCTGCTGGGATCACACAGAGTTCTGGGATCAGCACTGGCCACCTATCTATGTCTGAGACAAATGCAAAAGGTTGCTACACTGGCCTTTAAAGCCATAAACAAATTTGGCAGATGTACTGGCAAAGGACTGCTCTCTCTCTAGTTGGTTACTGAGAAAGAATTCAGCTGAGGCTCCTCAAGGAAGAGTATCCTGGCACCAAGGTTCTTTCCCTTTTTTTGGGGGGTCCCAGGCAGCACAGATTTGTTCAGCTGGAGAATATGGTGTAGAAGCCACATGAACTGCAGAAGAAGAGCTGTAGAGCAGAATAACTTTCTACTGCTTTGTTTTATTGGCCAGTGAAATTTGTACCTTTTATTATATATACTACAGTAATAAAAGGTTTATTCATCAGTTATTTACAACTAGGGCATAGGAGGGTATATTTATTTAAACCGGAAAGCAATATAAACAAAATTATTTTTAAATTGGTGTTGCTTTAAAAATACTAGTGCTTTGTTTAATGGAGTTCTGGGATATTTTCTTGCTCACGTGCACCATAAAATGAAAATCAGATTTTATCACTGTGCCTCTAACGTGATTCTTTAAGAACTCTGAAGAACTCAGCTCGGTAGCAACCTGTTTTTCTAATCTGTTTAGGATGGTAAGAAGGAAGTTCATATAATAAATTCATCATAGCTATCATATATAAAAAAAGGTATATGAAAACTACTTTTACTCAAAGTTAACTACTTATGATTTACAAAACCCAACAAACAAATCAAATCAAACAGAAAAACTCCATTCCACAAACATATACATAATAGAACAGGTGCCCTTAAAGGTTGCATAACCGCCACGGCTAAAGACAGTCAAAACTTGACTGGCAAGGCACTGAGAAACTACTTGAAAGTTGGCTCTGTTTTGAGGGGTAGCTGGAGCATAGGCCTCTAGAGATTTATGGCATTTAAACAAATATATATGTCAGAAGAGAGCTGTGAAGTCCTTGGACTGATAGGCCATGAAGCTCACAGGTCTTTGTGTGGTGTTACTGTCAAAAGAAAATTCACTCAAAGAAAACTAGTAACATCTTGCAAATATTCAGCAGAGAAGGGAAGTTATATTTTTCTAATTGTCAAATTTACTGGTGCTGAGAAGTATATGCCAGTAGATGTATATTAAAACATCTCTAAATTACATAGATTCATTGTCTTCTGAAATTTTTAAGCCCTTGAATTTCCAGATGCAGAAATAACAGATTAAAAGCCTCTGGCATCTGAGGAACTGCATGTCTTTCCTTTGAATCAAATGCAAAAAATGGCACCCCCATGTTCTTATCAATAGAGAGATTCTGCTGCACAAAATGCTTGTAATCTATACCCTTACAGCACATCCACACCCAGCACTTTAACCCAAATGACCAAAGGTAATTCATATAAGAAGTTTGCATACACTCATTCATATCTGAGACTCCATTTCAATGAAGGACTGCTCCCATGCTGGCTATTCAGAGCATAATTTAGAGAGATGTATACACAGATCCCTGGATTTTCAGATGATATTACCCCTTCTTCATGGATAAATATCGATTTAAACTGGTTGGGAATCTCCCTGTTATATTTTAACCTAGTCAACTGATAATCTGAGATTAAGGTTTTTTTCTGAAGTAGTATTTTCCTCCTCCCCTAAATTAAAGAGTGAGACAACCACAGTGTTTGGGACTATGCAGTCTTTTCCCGCTGCATACTTAAGGATGGAAAATCTCAATGAATCTTCACTGCACAGGGCTCCCTCAAAGTTGCATCCTCTAGAGTTGATCAACTCTCTTTGTCTTCTGTAGCTGAACAACTCTCTTTAACAAGTACCTGTTGGTATCATATTAACTTTAACTGTCTTGAAAGTACTAAAAGGGAAACCCGCTGCTTAGAAGCTGTCAGCATTTAGCAAATGTGTTCTGTTCAAAACTTATCCCCCACAAAACCTGCACCTTGCCTCACTAAAGAATGACAAAGTAAATTATAAATTATTTTCTTTGCTGTCCAAATATCTTACATTTTTCAAGTGCATCCATTGCAGCTCCCATTTCTGCTTGCTGAATACTGTAAAAGCCAAACAAAAACATGTTACATGAGATCTAAGCTGTACAGAATTAACTAAAGTTTCTGACAAGGTAGAACACTAGCTACTCTTGTAATGAAACTCAGTGGATAACCAGGAGCTAGTAATTCCCAGAGTGTATATCAGCCTTTCCATAAATATGTGAGAAATAGTGCTACAATCCAGTTAGAATATTTTTTAAACTTAGATCAATAACACTAACAAAATATTGTAGTCCATTCTTCACTAAGAAAACATTTACTTTTATAATTCAGGGAAAAAAAAATAAAATCACAGATGTGTGAGTGCTAAAAAGTCAATGATATTTTTATATCAACCACCACCAGATTCGGTAGCAGAAAATAACGTGAGGTCTTCCAGGTTCATGGTTGAAGTCTTTGTATACTTAGAACCATTCCAAAATGCCTAGAAGTAATAACATAAACAAAAAAAATCCAGGATAGTGTTGCACCTAGCTTGCTAGCATAAACTGCAAAGTAATCCAGTAGCAAATCCAAAGGTAGCCACTGTTTCCTGGAAGCTGTTCTGCAGTGTCTAGTCTGAGAGCCACAAATAGGTTAGCATTGCTAGCCACCTTGAAGGCAATTTCCCTGGAAAAAAAAAAAAAAAAAGCTAAAGACTCAAAATTATACAGACATTGAACCCCTCAGGTATTCCTGAAGCAGAACAGTTTGAAGGAGGCTCTAAGGCTCTACAGCTTTCCTTTTCTAAGGCAAACCACACACTTGTCATCTCCATGGCTAGTCATTTTGTACATCACCACAATCTAATACCATGTGGTTAATTTTTCACTGTACCTTGGACCTTTACCACATCCTATTCTTTCCCCTTTGAAGTACACAGCTACTGTGTATGTCCTGGCATGAGAAGGTCCCACTGTCTGCAAAGTCCTGAAAGAAGAAATATTTTATTAAAGCAGGAAGTATTAAAAACTGTAATCTGTTTGTGGCACATACATCATCAAACTTTCAGTATGGTCAATCCATATAGTTCAATTAGTGCAAACTGTAGAGCAAGGGTTGAAGGATGCCTGTATATATTACCAGAATGGTGTTTATCACATTTATTCCTCCCTGGAATAAGGACCACCATATGAAAATTAAAACTTAATTTAACCTATAAGCAAAAATGCAAACTTATAACATGATGTGTTTAAACACAGTGAAAAGACTTGTAATAAAGCAATAAATTATGTGTAGCTGTGCAACTGCAAATAAACACACAGATATGATTCTGTGTGCACTAAAATTTTAGTTCCTTAGAGTTTTGCAGCTAGCAAGTTTTCACAAGGCCTTCATATTGGATATGATAGCTCTCTACACACTGAATTACCACAGTACAAAGAAATTTTCAATCAGCTTTGAAAAGTTAGTCACAAAACAAACTTTCCATTTGAGCTGAAGTCTAGAACATGCATCAACAACCATCTAAAGAGGAAAAAATAATCCCCTAGACATGCAATGAATTGCTGTTTTTGCAGTTTCTTCCTGCTGTCCAAAATGTCTCTCCACTCTCAGATCGAGTTCTGACTACTACCTTGTTTCTCTTTAGAAGGAGCATGAATTTCATAACAGTTTTTAAAGTATCTAAATAAAGTACTCTATTTTCTGTGCACTGTGACAAGAGCAAATAAAACCCACCCTGAATTTAAAAGCAATAGTACTGACTACAGTGAAACAGATAAGAAGAAAAGGAATTTAACAAGATAATAGGAAGATAACAGCGTATTACTAGGTCTAAGCTGTACTATAAAAATCAATTTATCATCACAGCAAAACAAAACAGAGATTTGGTACTTGATACTAAGTGGTTTTTACAAAAATCAGGGGTTGCTTTTATTGCATTCATGCCCCTCACTCAAAGAACCCTCATACAGAGACACTGAGGAGTCAGATCTGCAAGGACAATGCTTGCAGTATTAAAGCAACAGCGCTTCTGAAGTGCACTGTTTGTCACTATAACTGAACTGCTACATTTCACTAAAAACCTTACTTCAGTAAATGTGACAAATGTACTTAAGACTATCATTCTTCCTATCTTATCAATATAATAATCACAACAACACAAACCTTGACATTTATAAACAGCCTTTATCTCTTCTTTTGGGGGCTAACATTGCACCCATTCTACATTAATTGAATGGATATGGACACCATATACAGTTTTGGGTTTATTATTGTCTCTTTGAAGCAGCTATTACACTGTTTTACAACTGAAAGAGAGGATGGAGATCCATCCCATCCAGCTTCAGTTATCAAACTGAGACGTACAAGTTAAAAGGTTCACTGCCCTGAGCTCTACCACTGAACAGGAGAACATATGAGGGATGAATTGCACAGCAAAAAACGTCCAAAACCTGTGTTGCGCTTCAGTGCATGAGCATGGATTAGAAACTGTACAAAGTAAAATGCTTACTAATTCTTCCTTGTAATGGTTTAAAACACCTAAAGCCTAGAAAACACTGGTTCAACAATTCCATCTTCAGACAGAGACTAGAGGGCTTGGATAACTACAATAAAAGCAAACTGTGGGAAAAATGTAGGGTGACTGATCACATCTTCCTCCATATACGAGACTTATAATTAGCTGGTATCCATAAGATGCCTGCTCTTACTTGTAAAGAGGAATGTCTGGCTCTTTTCCTTCTGTCCTGAGAGTCAAGCAGCACTGTTGAAGCTGAGATTTAGGATCATTCCAATCTTGATTTAAAATAAACTCCTGTAAGAAGTTCACAGGGACATTTTACGATTGAGAGATTGTGGTAAGAGTCTCAAATGCAATAATGTGTTAAAACATAGTGGTAGAAAAGTAGGAACCTGACTGATCTTACCTTTAGCCGTGGAAAAAAGCATACATTCATGAAAGTGTGAACATATTCCAAATCTTTATCAATGTACAGGGCAGCAATAAAGGCTGGGGGGAGAAAAGGTACTGTCACTCATCTAAGGAGAACATTAGTTGCTTGCACTTTCAGAAAAAAGTATCTCTGAGTACTTTAAAGCCACATTCAATTATGTTTCACAGCAGTGATCCGATGAGGGTATTATCCTGCATACTCAGGAAAAATCAAGTTGACCAAGAGATTAAGTGATTTACCCAAATCCACCCAGTCATTTAAAGTGCTAGAAACAACACTCAGCTCCTAATCTCACATTTTAACCAGCAGACCATGGATACTTACAAACAAATCTCTATTGGGTACCATTAAAAAATCTAGATATAAATCACTCCTGTTTTTGTGCTATTTCCATTTGCTTAGAGGATTTGGCAAAAGCCAAGTGGTCTGAATGCATCACAAAATATATCAAAATATACCAGATAAGGATTAACTTTCTTAGCAGAATATTTATCACTGTTTCCACTTTCTTTGGAAAGAAGGTAGCACAAACTTCCAAAAATGGACTAAACCGAATTTTATTTCCACATAGCCTTCCCCCTTGTGGAATAATTGTTTTAAAACCTCCCAAAACGCAGACAAATGAATCACAGCAATATTCACCTCCTGAAGGAACTATTTTGTGACAAGAAAATATTAATTAAACAATGAAACTGCTGTTAAATAGTTCAGCTCAGATTACAAACTTTAATTTCCAAGACATACTTTTGACCTGGTCACTGTGACCCCTCAATTTCTAAGTCTTCAGCTTTCTATCTGCAATTATGCCTCTTTCATGCTTTCATACAGATTTCACAAAACTATGCTAGTTTTCAAATATATGGCTTTCAGAGGTATAGGCATAATTCACATGAAAACATGAACATACATTTTTAATAGTGGTTTGGGTGATTTCTAATGGTTTTCTTAAACAAGCCCCAAGGAAAAGGAAGTCACTAAGGTGTTATGACCAAATTAACTCACATTCCAAGAGATCAGCCAAAGTCTTAGTTCGAAGAGTTACAGGTCTTTTTGTCTTGTCATTAGTGATGGCAAATTCTTGCATACCCAGCTCTTCTGCCACCTTGGCCTGCGTCCTGTTGTTCACCAAAGAACTTCTCAACAGCTGGAACAGAAAGAAGTTTCATTCAATGGTAACAATTACAAATAGTAAACTATGAAAGGTGGGAGAGCGGAGGAGAAAAAGTTACTTTTATCCTTACAGTCACTCACTTTTCTCAGTTTAGTGACATTTTGTTTCACGGCACCTCAAGTGATTTACATAAACACACAGAGTCATTCCTTCTACGGCTGATTTTTCCTTCTGTTTCAATTCTTCTCACCAATCTTTATTTATTATATGAACACATTACTTCTGTATATATGTCTTGCATTTAAAATGCCTGTTTGTGAGCTTCTTTACAGTTATATACCATCTCTTCAGGAGTCCTGTACATTTTCAGCAAATGTGCAGTTTTCTAGTTTAAGTAATACAGAGTTATATATATTTTTCCACATTAAGTGTAGGTAAACAATATTCTGGAGTCTATGGAGCAGTCCCCAGTGTCCACCAAATAAGAAATAAATAGGCAGCAATTAAAACAAATACACATTGAAGCAAGACAGTGCACTGTTTCAGGTCAAGCAGATGATGAAGCTTCTCCATTCCTTTGGCCTGAGTAAAAATACATACTTGGACAGCCTGCATGTACTATTTGCTCTACCAGAAGGCAGTACAGCTGAGCCAATGCATCCCTCACAAGGATCGCCTGTAACATTTTCAATGTGTAAAAATGTCAAGGATGCCTGGATCTCTAGCAGGGTGCCCCAAAATGCTTAACGTTGGCTCTAGGTAAATTGCTTAAACATAAAGCTCTGCCAAAGATATAATCCCGTGCAGCTAAAAGGAGTATTTTGGAATTTTAGGGGTTTATACAGTTTTCTGAACCCCTGACAAGGTGAGCTTTTTTTCCTGTTTGTTTGCTTCTTTGCTTTAAATGAAACAACATTAATTTAAGAAGTTAGAGGTATTACAGGAGGGGGGGTGAGAAGTAAAGAATGTCTTTCTTTTCCACTGTTTATGTGTAATCTAGAGTTGAGACTCTGCATACACATTTTTTCTCTCTTTGTCTTCCATATCACATTTGCTCATCTTATTAGATTCAACTTATATTCTACCTGGCTCCAGCCTGTCAACTGAGCTTATGAAAAATCAAGATTTATTTGCTGTACTTGATACTTCATCTCTCACAACAGATAAATAAAGAACAGTATGTTCATAATTTGTTTGGCAATGATATATGAAGCAAGTACCCACAACCTGATCTTCATAACTTAGGCAGACTGTAGATAGGATTATCACCTGCCTCTCTAACCTCTGCTTAAACTTGTTTTCTACTTGTTTCTTTCCAAAATTCCTAAGTACCATATGTAACCCAAAAGACAGAAGTGCAGTGCCCTGTGACAACAATCTGTTTCTTGTAACAGGATTTCTTTTGTTGTGTTAACAGACTATTTATTTTGATGGGATCCATAATCATGATTAGTAGTATCATAAAACAAAGAGCAACATATACACTACATAGTGAATTAGAGATGGAAAAAAACACCCAGTTATCCTTTTAGCACTGTGGTTATTAACTTGCTCTGTATCAGCATTTGCCTCCTCCACAAGTGAGATCCAGCAAGAAACTCAATTCCCCTTAATGGTACGGAGAAGACACAGTACAGAGAAGACACAGTACAAGAAAGCTGCCTTTCCAGCAGCTTTCTTAGAGCTAGTCTCCACTCTGGCAACAAACAGCCTGCATCACTGCAGATGCTGTAACATGTGACAGATGCTCAGCTGAAGCTTAACTGTAATTACAAAGCAATTTTTAAAAAAAGTTTTAATTCTTTCATCTTCACATAGCATACTACTACCTGTGACTGTACCAGAAGAACCCATAGTGGGGAAGCTGTATCTTCCAACATCCAATAAAATGTTAACTTTTTTTTGGCATATTATTTGGTTCTCAAAGTATGAAGATAAGACTATGTTCTCCTTCCTTTTTCTTAAACATAGTTAATTTACAGACATGTAATAGCAGCATTTCCTTCTGTCGAAACAGTCCATCTGTCCATCATATCCTTCTGTCCAAATAGTTCTTGCAAGATTTATCTTACTATAACACTGCTAATGTCTACACTCTTTAAAGTCATGTACAAAGCAAAAAAATCCCACCAGGCTTTATATCCACTGTCTCCTGAATGCATACATATATAAGTGAAACTTATGAAGTGGTGAAGAAAAATTGAAGTTACTTTTAGTGAGAGCATGTATTTATTTTCTTTCTTGTAAACATCTTTAGCCCCAAAGACCCAAGAAACATATTCTTGATAACACATTGCCTGCTAGACACCTAGCATTGCCATCTCTCTATTGATCTGAGGAAACCACTCTAAAATTTGGCTACTTCCTATTTTAACTAGAAAACTTGACTTACACTCCTGACACATGTATTGCTTTTTTTGTTCTAATTAAGACTTTTAAATGAAGAAAACATTTAGTAAGTCCAAGAAAATTTCTTACTTGCAAACAAAGCCACTTGTTCAGTTACAGTCCTAAATGAATCAATCAGGAAAAAAACTACATATACTATTATGCTATGTTTAAAGTACTGTAAATTGTTGAAATATCCCCGAATTGAGTTTTCAGAGCCCAGATTAGAGAGACTAAAAGACTACAGCAATCAACAACAGATGAGTACAGAAATAGTAACATAAAATTCAAAAGCTACCACAGGAGCTCCAGATCGAAGACAACAAGAAAATCAGACTAAAATAGATTGTATAAACTTTTTATCAGGAAGTATAACCTGCCTGGTTGCAAGTTCAACAGACCAAAAGTTATGAATAAAAAAAAGTCATGTGATACACCTATTTAAATAAATGGTTTAAGATACCCATCTTCACACAAGAACTAGTCTTATGTCCCAATTTCATTGCTGACATCATTAAAATTATTGATCCATTTCACAGACTGAACAGAAATTACTGAAATTATTGCACTGGCCTCATAAATCACCATTTCTTATTCATTGCAGTGCTCATGACTTAAAATTAACATAGCCTTATTAAGAGCAGCGGTTGCTGAGGCTTCTTTTATTAATCAAACTCAGAATAATTCACTAGTTGTTCCCATAATTTCAGTCTCCATCCCCCTCTTGCTCTTATGGAGAGCATGATTGATGGCCATCTCACCGTTAAGTGCCCTTCATGATGATCAGGGAAATGTATGAATAAATACTCTGTGGCTACCAGCTGCATTATGGAGTCACCCAGGAATTCCATCCTCTGGTTGTGGCCTCTGAAAAATGAGACATCAATGCAGAAAAATCAATAAGCACTCAGGGAGGAAAAAACCAAAACCAGCATGCACACACAAATTAAAATAAAGAGCGATCTGAAAGTGAGCCTTGCTCATTTCTGAACACATTTAAGACAATTTTCCAGTGTTAATCGTGTGAGATGAAAACCCAGTTCATTACTGTTGTAACACCAACTTTCAAGCAAAAAGCAGATGAGGATAGATACATACAAACACAATCATTAGATCACAGATATGGGACTAATTCAAGGAGAAGAGCAGTTGACATCAAATTTGTAACAGGATAAGGTTTCTATCTGAAACTTCTGGTAAGAAAGTGAACTAATGAAGGCAACAACTTCAAAGAGGAAAAGGTCTGAACATTCACAAGAAAGAAAAGAATCAGAGTTTCAACTCATACAAGATCCTGGAGTGGGTAACCACTGATATGAAGTTTAACAAGGGCAAGTGCTAGATTCTGCACTTGACAGGGCAAGCCTGGTTATGTCTATAGACTAGAGAATGAGGCCTCTGAGCAGCCTGGTTGAATAGGAGTCAGCAGTGCCCTGGCAGTCAGGAGGGCATCAGGCTGCCCTCTGTGTCCTGGGAGGAATCAGGCAAAGCATCGCCAGCCAGTCAAGGGAGGCGATTGTCCTGCTCTGCTCTGCACTGAGGCCACCTCACCTTAAATATTGTGTGCAGTTTTTTGCACAATACAATAGCAAGTGAAGGGTCTGGAGGGGAAGCTGTATGAGGAGCTCCTGAGGTGACTTGGTCTGTTCAGTCTGAGGAGGAGACTGAAGGGAGACCTCATTCTGGTCCACAGCATCCTCAAGTGGGGAAGCAGATGGGCAGGTACTGATCTCTTCATTCTTGTGACCAGTGACAGGACTCAAGGAAACAGCATGAAGCTGAGTCAGAGGAAGTTTAGTTTGGATCAGGACAGGTTTTTCACCCAGAGGGTGATTGAGCACTGGAAAACGATCCCCAGCAAAGTGGTCACAGCACCAAGCCTGTCTGAGTTCAAGAAGCATTTGAACAACGCTCTCGGGTACATGATGTGATTTTTGGGGTGTCCTGTGCAGAGCTAGGAGTTGGACTTGATGATCCTGATGGGTCCCTTTCAACTCAGAATATTGTATGATTCTATGATACCGTTTCCTTGAAACAGGATCTTTGCTTACAACAGAATAGGGTTGCACTAGGACCAGTAATGTGCAAATATCAGTGATGCAGAAAACTCAAGATAAACACCAGGATAGGTCTCCAACATCTTCTGTAGTCTTTCCCAAGGTATCCACTACTGTCTACTGTCAGAGATGGAATACTGAGCCAGGGAGGTTTGTGAACATAGTTGCTCTATTCTCTTCCAGAAAACAGGTATAACATAGTTTGTTTACAAATAAGGCACTCTGGGCTATATAAAAGAAGTGACAACAGAGCCATGTGAGGACTCTTGCTATGTACTCACAGAGTCAGATGGTTAAAGCCTACTGTCCTCAGAGTGAACGCACGTGCTAGAAGCCGAACGTGAGTGAAGATGACTCCAATTGCCTCTTCAAACTCTGTAAGCTTTTGAAGAACTGGAGAGGTCTCAATGAGTTGCCTGTCAGTATTGGACTCCTGCAGCTGCAAGAAAAATGAAGTGCGAGTAATGACAAACTGACGCTGCTGCAGAATTTTTCAGAGAAAAGCAAGCCTTCTGTAAATCAAGGGCAAAGAATACAATGGACAAGTTGTTCTATGGACAGCTGAGCCAAGAAAACCAGGTTTCCTCTGCTTTTTGGTCTTGGTTAACTACCACTCAAAGATGATGTGAGCTCTGATGTATGCTTTTTTAACAATTGAGGCATGTAAACACACCACTTACATGTCTCTATATGTGGATAGCATGGAACACTTAGTTTCACAAAACACGTACAATTGCACATGTCTGCATTTTGCAGTATTATCATATTGTTTGTAACTGAGCAACAGATTCAAAAATTATTAAAATAGGGCTGGTAGACTGACAGCTTTTCAAGGGAGACAATACCCAAATCAAGTTCTCCCACTTTCCTTTAGTATCAAAAATCAAGAATAAGTACTTTGTATAGGAAATTCAAAAGGGCACAGTAACAACAAAATTAAAATTATTGCTTTGGGTCAGTATCTTTTCTTATCACTTTCTTGTCTGATGTCCTTGAGATGTGCTGACAGTGTTAAATGCCTTTGTGGAGCTGGGACATGGCTTAAGCATTTCCTCCAGCCACTCTGGGCATCTCTTTTGTATAGTAATGCCTTAGAGCAGGAATCATCCAGAAGATGATGCCTAAAAGAAAAGTAAGAATAGCCACACCTTTTTAAAGTGGCATTCACATAATTTTTGGTTTGTTGTCTGTCCATTTTCTATTAATTGATTACAATTCAAATTGTCTTTGTTCTTAAACAGTACTGAGCTTTCGGTTCACGTTTTCATAGAACTACATATCCTTGCATGAAAATCTCACACTTGGATGATAGTGGTCACTTCAGAATTCAGTTGCATGTGGAGCTGAAACTGCTTTTTTCTTCCTCATGCACAGCCCTTTCTATTTACCTACACAGAATTTTTTCTGCTCTTTTAACTCCACAGTTAGTCACTCTTGCATTCCCACAATCAGACTGAAATTCTTCAGTCTGCTGTTGTCCCTGCTACCCTGAAGAATTTGGTATTGTCAACGAACTGCCACCTCACTGCTCATCCTCTTCCCCAAGCTGTCAATGCGAACAGCCTGTACTCGAGCAAAGATCTCTAGGGAAATCTGCCAGTGATCACCACCCCTTATAAGATGCGGTCATTTCATTCCTGTTCTCCATTTCTTATGTTTCAGTCATTTCTTTAAATCTTGTAAGGACTGACAGTATTCACTGGGGTGGTGTTTTTCATTGCTTTTAAAAAGAAAAATTTGTAAAAGCCTTTCCTGAGTGTCTTTCCAACAGCCTCTTAGTAAACCCAGCAGACATTATCATCTGCATTTTACATGCTTTTTTGTCTTCTATTCATTTGGAGGCAGGACTTCATACGTTAACTCTTTAGAAAGAGTCCATATATATCCAGGTGACCACTAACTATTTTCTCATTACCATTTCTACAGACCTGGCTACTGCCAAACAAAGATCTTCGGTTACAGATCTTCAGTTGTGTGTATCTTACTCAGAGCTTTTTTTTTTTTTTAACTGGGATCTCACTTGGTGTACTTTTAAAATGCCATTTTTCAGGCTAGCTGTGCCCAAAGGCCAACCTGAGCAGCCTGTGTTTCACTTACTGGCAAAATCACCCAGGATGGTTTCTGGGACGTGGAAGAAAATTTTCATCACACAACTTAAGGCAGTAGTGAGAAATTACAAGCTTCATACACTGACTGTCTCCAGTCTCTAAGTCTTTGTGAAAGCAGAGACAAAAAGGTTAAAATAAAGTAAGAGAAAAGAAAGAAATTCACAGTAAGAAAAATCTTGGGAGTTTGTGCCACAATGCAGGACAGCTGGTTCTGAATCTCAAGTTTATCTTCCTATTAAGAGTTTTTTCTATTTATACTCAGAAAGAGATGGTTCTAAAAATCACATTTGTTGCTGATTTGTTGCTGAAGATTTTGGCTATGCACCCATTGCTGTTCTTGCAGCACGCCTGCACACTCCTGTTTCCAGTGAAGACAAGGAGCTACAGTGCAAAGAGGTTCTGAGACTCGCTCTAGGTCTGCCCCAAAATTCAGTTCTGGAGAAAGGACTAGGAAACCATTCTCCCAATTTCCAGCTTCATAAACTGACAACTTGTGAAGCTGTATCCTTCGATACATGGAGAATAAGTTAGCATTCAGACACCTTCACAATTTTAGTGCTTACTTGGTATTAAAGTTACTAGCATCACTGAAACAACCTGTACCACTGCACACACACGCATACACATACACACATATCAAAACAGAATAAAATCAAAACTCTTACTCCATTCAACAATTGTGTCTTCCTACTATTAAGGTTTCAGTCTTAATTTCAGGTTAAGAGAATATGTACATAGACTGCGTTTGCACCCTTTTTCCCCAACTTAGAGAAGATGGGACAAGAAGCTGCCAAAATGTTACCTCTCACTGGATTTATTTTATAGGCACAGTTATATAACAAACACAAGTCCAGGAAACGTGAATGATTAATCCTCAGAGATAGAAATTAATTTATTAAAAAAAAAAAAACACAAAACCTCCCATATCTCAAACCAAACACAAAGGCAAACACATATATATATTCCTTTTTAGCACAATTTCTGAGATGTCATCACAATTGAAACCTACGGAAAAGCATCCCTGAAAATAAAAGAGAGCTATGAAATTTATTATAGAAAGGGATACACTTACTTGAAGTGGGTGTAGTGGATAATTAAGCCATACATCCCGCAGGTCCTGCAAACATTGAGAGATGCCTTTAATGCTCAAGGGAGTCATTTAACAAATTCCACAGTACTAAATAAAATGTCATTACTTGAAATACTGAACTATTTCAGATGCTGACTCTGCTTATTGCAAATTCAATAGTGCTGGCAAACTAATTTTTAAAATCGTGTATTTGCTGTTCAAACTGCCTGTAGTTCTCCCAATTAGTTTGTGACAAAGAGGTGGAAAAATCCTTGAAACAAATAAAAAGTGGTTAAAGGAAGAAAAAGATTTGTTTAAGCCTCAGGACTAACTTTATTTGCAAGTGCTCCTCAGTATCAAGTTTGATTTCAACAAAGGCAAGGACTGACAAAGAAAAAAACCCTCACTTATTTTCTATTTCATATAGGCTTCCTTTGCTACAGCCTCTCAGCAGCAAATAAACACTCAGTTACAATAAGCTTCAAAATGATTCTATTTCTAATAAGCTTTGTCATTTCACAGACTCAGAGGAAGGAGAATTCTGTATGGTTCATCCCCTCACCACTACCACATGTTGTCCTCAGCAGGATGTATTTTCCTTCACCATTATATGGTCTATATTTGAACTAAAAATCATCTAAGATACAGTATGCAAGAAGAGATCGGGCTTGAATTATGCAATTGGGTAGATGCTGCATGAAACACCCTCCTTTTTTTTTTTTCTCCAAGCTTTTAAGGGTGGGATGATGTAACTGATGAAACAGGAATAGTTGCTCTGCCACTTGGATCCACAGCACCCATTTCTGTTGCTACAGTAGCCCTTTGAATTGAAGCCTGCATTCCCATGCCAGTCACCCTTCCCTATTTCAGCCACTCAACTTGCAGCATACCAGAGGAAACACCATAACTTTTTTGCATTAACCAGTACGGTTTCCTGCCCTAAACACATTATATTACATTCAATCTCCAGGAACTACGCACAACACATGTAGTATCCCTGTTCGTTTGTGATCCTCAAGTAAAAGAATGAAAAGAAAGCATGTTTAAAGTTATTTTTAAAATGGAAATCAAATCATATAAATACCTTTTCATTGAAGAGCAAACGTCCAAATAATTGTTTTGCTTCTTCTAGGCTCCCCTCTAGATAAACAGCTCCTACATGAGGGGACCAACATGCCAAAAGGTCAATAATGCAATTAGTATCTAGAAAATTACTAAGCACAGGAAAGTAAAAGATCTTTGCCTTCTTTATCTCCAACACATTTATTTTTAAAAGCATGCTTTCTGCAGCAATACCTACTTTGGAGAAGTTTAAAGCACATTAAACAACAACATAAATCCCCATAAAATGCACAGAAAAACCTGAAATAATTTTATCAGTGATAGAAAATGATATATCCAAAGAGCAGAGTTTAAACAAACTAGCCCAGAAGCAATACATTTCTAGAAGTACTTTCCAGTAAACAGCTAACTATACAATACATGCAGATGGGGAAACCAATGAAATAAGTTTCAATAGCTAGCAAATAATTGCAGTTTATTCTGTTCCTCCAACAACAATATATTCTGCATATAAATGATGTATCAGGAACATTACAAACCTCAAGGTCTTCCCAGTATCACAATACATTGTGATACAACAATACATTGAAAACTGCACCTTTGCAAAATCTCTCAGATTTTGGAGATTATGGTATTTATTTATTTATTTGTTTGTTTGTTTGTTTTAAACTTCCCAGACAAACCTCACTAGTCCCCTCCACATGCCTGCCACTAACAAGCTCTGCAAAACTTGTAGCTAGCATGTTATATTTCTGGGTGTACTCTATGCACCCTATATCTGCACAAGCACTTCATAAATTCAGTGTCAACATTTTGTCCTTCGATACTCTTTACAAGAGAGTTTCTGAAAATCTCCAACTCCTTCCTGTAAGCACATATGCATAAAAGCAAATGGAATACACAGCTATCTCAAGTATGCAGAAAAAGGGAGTCCATGTTTCCACACACAGGAAGACTGCCTTGCTGTCTTTCCCTCTTGCTTTCCTTTAAATTCCTCACTAGGTCAACTACTTTCTTTGGACGCTTTGGAGAAGAGTTTGGGGTTTACAAGACTATCTTGCAGAGGTATATTATGAGAGCACAGAATTTCAAACATCTCCTAGGTAGCCTGCTTATACTTCTCATTTTTATTTTTGTCACAGGGAATAAGCACCAGACTTTGTAAAAGAGTCTCAAGTAGGAGCTCCAGACCCCACATATACTTTTACAATCCCTTAACAAGCTCCCAGATTTTAGCTATAGCCCTGACAAAACGTTATTGCTCAATTACCTTTCCGAATAACTTTGTATTGGAGGTTAAACAGCAAGCCTGCTCCCTCAGCACATCTCAGAGCTTGCCAAATAATTCTCATCACTACATCCTAGACAAGCTGAAGCCTATGAACAAAGACACAGACACATATCTTGTGTTCCTCTTCTGTTTGTTTTTTATTTTTAAATTAAAGATCAAAGTGTTCATGGAAAACAAAATAGAGTTAAAAAGAAAACTCTTATTTCTTGATAAGAGGAAACACAATCTGGCCCAAGGCAGAATGCACAGAACTGCTGACTTCTAAGCCAACTATGATCTATTTTTCAAAGCAGGACAAAATGCTTTAGGAGCTTGTGTAGTATATAAAGACCTGGATCAGGGTTAAACCATGTCCATAGCTAATATCCTGTACAGTACACTGGATGAATATGAAGTCAAACCAGTGAGATTTAGCTTGCTTTGTATACTGAAGTTCATAAAAATATGCTATTCAAAATAGAGTTTGTGTAGATGTAGCCAGTGAGATTTCTGCCTTACTGCTTGTTAATTCAGTAACTGTGGTCAGGTCCTGATTTCTTCTCCAACATAAATCTATTGACTAGTGCAGCCAGTCACTCATCAGCATCTTAGTGTCCAACTGCAAATTTGACACAACTGTCCTTCACCCTCAGCTAGAGGGTTTTTGTAGCTTTATTACACCAGCCATGGCATATTGCCATGCTTTTTATTTGTAAGGAAAATGTAAAGACTAAAAAATATTTACTTGGCAAACTTTACATTTAATTCATGGAAGGCTAGGAGGGTACAGAGGAAGTAGGTTGGTGACTTGGTTGGGAGTGCCTTCTGCATTCAGAAAGCAAGCTGCAGTTCAAAATTCAGGGCTGAGGTTGCAGGTCTGTTCAAATATTTTTTGGAAGCAGTGAACCTGCCCTTCTTCTGCCAGGCCACGGTGACTGAACTGCTCCCCTCAGACCAGGGCAGGTGGCAGGCCATGGTGGGCATGAGAGGTAAAGTTCAGCAGCGACAGACAGAAGTGCTGGGCCAGAACAGTATGAAGCAGCTCCATCTTCAGTACGTGGGAGGCAGGATATGGAAGGTGAGATTTTCATTGTAATACTACACACTCGTGTTATAAACGTGGATAAAAGTAGGAGACGTGAAGAGACAAAGAACACAAGAAGCTTTACTACTGCTTACTTGTACTAAGCACTACTCAACAGACTCACATCTCCTCCATCACAGTCAACACAGCATGTAGACACACATAAAACATGACTGTCTGCTCACACAAACACTTTACCTATTAGGGCCTCAAAGCAGTTGGCCATGGCATGACGGAGATCCGATTCCCTGCAAAGGTCTGGACCATGAGCATAAAGCATAAATCGTTCTAGTTCCAGTTTCTGCAGAATATGTGAAAATAGTTAAAACCACTAGAGCTCAATTATACTGTTATGCAGCAACTAGGTTTGAACTGTGAGGGAACTATGGACCTTTTCTCCATAGTTTCAGTTCAAACATAGGCTCACATTAGAAAACTTCTTATTATTTTATTAAAGGCAAGCAACTACAGTGTGATACCACAGAAAAACTATGAATTATCAAATCAAACTGTCAAAGAAAGCCAGATCAAAACATGTTACTGGTAAGTTTTAGGAATGAGTTCAAGAGAAGGGCTGAGGGTGTGACAGAAAAATAGCCTGATGGAAAAAATTGCTGGAATGGTGCAATACGCTGTGCTTCTTGCTGGTAGTTTGCCCTCGTATGATTAGCCTTCAGAAATGTCAAAGGTAAATTCAAAGGGAGAGGAGTTAACACTGAGGAAAAATATTTTCCCTACAAGAACAGTGAGGAATAGGAAATCTGGTAGACACGATCCATTGAACATATGGTTTTTTCCTCTAACACTGACAACAGGTGGTAGTAACAAAAGCCTCTGGGCACTGCAAGCAGAAGGTTGATATTATAATCCACAGTGCCACCTAGCTTCCTTCTTCCTTTCAAATGTGCATCATTAATATTCATCTGTTGCCTGAACTATAGTTCTGCTTGCCAGTCAGAATCTCAGGTAGTGAGTCAGATACCTTCTATAATATATGATAATTCTGCTATAGAAATGCAAGCAAGAGCTACTAGATTCTCTTTCCATATTTATCTTTTTGACACAAAACCATTATTGGGAGTTATACAGAGATTTGCGCATCTTGCAAAGTTTGTATGAGAATAGGTTCTTCCCAGCTGGCTGTAAGTTTCTACTGATTAATTTCTCATTAACTTTCAACTTCATCCTCCTGGATTATATTTAAGGGGTAAAGCTGGAGACTAAGTTGTTGGAGGTACACTGTGTAGATGTGTTTCAGATGGAAAAAAGAGTTTTCCACTATTCACTGCTCCAGAACACAGTGAATTACCCCTTACAATGTTCCATCACACTTCATAATGTATGGTGAGTGTTCCATAAAGTCAACATAAGAATAGAGTAATAATTGTTTTATATAAAATTTAAACTTCTTATATAATTTGTTCATGTTGACAGGTATTGTTTGTGTGTTGGTGTGTCTCCCCACCTCCAATGGCTTACATCCATTTTCAGATCTTGCATTCAGCAATTTTTGCATAGGTTTTCACTTCTCCTTTTTGACCACAACACATTTCAGATTCTTTTTAAAACTTCTGCTACAATGTCCCTTAAAAGCTACAGAAATTCTTTGTTTGATCCTCAATTAAAACAGCATTCCACAAGCTCAAGAGAAGTTGAGAAGCTGAGAATATTAAGTAAACCAAATGCAACATGACACTGCAGGGAGATGAAACCAGGAACATCATACAAGACACACAAGATGAACAAAGGGTAAGTTGGAAAATCTGGTATATACAGATATCTAATATTTACAGTTGTATCTAATATAATTACAATTTTATAACGTTGCAATAAAAATTTTCAAAAATTGTCCATGTACAATGGTAAAGGCTGTGAATAGATGGTAAGAACATATCAGCTTTCCTGATGCAGGTTTAAAAACAGTATCATGAATTCAAATGTCAGGCACCTCAATACCACATTTGTAAACAAAACCCTGATTTGAAATGATTCAGTGCTTATCCAAATCAGTAAAGAAAGCTTTGGAGAAAAATTACAGTGTTCTCTCCCTAGCCTATGTCTTTCCTGAGAGCTGAGCAAAAAGACAACGTTAGAAATCATACTTTGTTTCTGGCAAAATCTCAATACCTGATATGCTTGTTTAAGTTACTGTGTGATTACAGACAGGGAAGATTAAAAGAGCAACTTGAAAACTATCAGTGGTACAAAGTGGATGCGCGTGCGCATGTGTAGCTTAACCAATTACATCAGTAAGTCTGTTTAAAAAAAAAGCTACAAAATCGAAGAATGAATAAGGGAACACCTATCTATGAATAGAGACCTTCTATACAATAGTACCACACCTCGGTATCATATAGAAATATAAGAAGTTTTGTCATTCACAGGATTAAATGAAATAAAATTCTGAGGCATCTGAACTTTTCCCATGAGATAACAGAACCCTTCTCCAGAAGCATTTCTAACATATTCCTCTTTGACAGTTCATAATGAATCTGAAAATGACTGCATAGGTTATGGAGCAGATACAATGATTTTCCCCCCCATTTCTCTACCACCTGCTGCTATGTATTCCCTACATATTCTATCAGAAAGTCCTTTAATAAACATTGAGTTTGTTTCTTTCTCTTCATAAAATTTCTACTATCAGCTTCACTACTTATGCAAATTAAAGGTAAATATAGACATACCTTCAACATAAGCTAAAACCTTATCCTTCTGCCTGCAAAAATTCCTATTCCCAAAAGCACGCTTTGGAGAAACACTAAATCCTACTTTATCTTTAAAATCTACTTTCCAACTGGAAAGAGTTCCTGTATCCCAAATCTTGTACTCAAAGCACAGTAAAGAAACCGATGTTCAAAGCAGGCAGATCCCTCGAGAAGCAATCCACACACCGATAGTATTCTACACACGAGTGTCAAGTACAGAGACACTTAAAACTGTACCTTCGCCAGCATGGCCAGGTGTTGGTTCTGTACGATGGCAGTGCGGTATGTAGCTAATCCTCCTTCCTCCAGAGTGGGAAACAGGTAGTATAAGTGGACACTGGCAAAACAAAACAAACAAAAAACACACCAGATGCTGTCAGCATATGATTAAAGATGGACCACAAATACCTCTGGATAACTGTGCCTGTCACTCAGACACTAACTGATAAAACGAGGTCCCTTCCCGAGGTGGAAACTCACCCTGAAGTAAGGTGAAGAAACAATGCCCAATGCTATTTGACAGGTTAGCACTGCCAGGAGGGGAGGAAGAGTGCTATTTCTCTACTGGGCAAAATAATTAATATCTAAATCCCTGCCATGACCTCCAGTTCCCTCATCTGAGGTTTCTATCTATCAGCAGTGGTGGGTTCAGCAAGGTTGACACCTAGAGAATGCCGAGGAATTAAGCACAAGGGAAACCCTCAGCCTTGAGAAATTCCATGCTACAGGTCAGTGCTTTCAGTGATGCTGCTAGTTCAGGCCAGACCAACAGTTAAGTTTCTTTTAAGAGATGCTAATGGAGACAAAGAACAGAACTCAACAACTCATATTTATCAAATGTGCGAAGTCATTAATGCCACAGAAGAAAAATGAGTAAAAATCACAGACTTTCAGCAACCTTTAATGGTATTTCTCATCAAGCAAGTAAGATACTTCATAGAACTGAAACAAAACAAGTAATTCAGTGATCCAATCAAGATCTGAACAATGAATCAATTATTTTGAACATCCTCATATAAAACTATCTAACTCATGTTGACAAAAAGTTAACACATAGAGGGCTTTCAACATCGCACAACTGAAACAGTGTATGGCACTAATTATTACAATATTTTATTAACCTGGTACACCGGGAGAAAAATGCAGATGGATGAAAGATTATTTAAGGACAAAAACTGCTATAAAACTTAGGAGGCAACCTAATCAAGCATCATAATTCACAACAGCAGACACCTGAAGTCAAGAGAGGTAGAAAAAAAAATCAGACTTAAATAGGTGCTTACATGCTCTATTGAACAGAAATGGAGATCATTTTTTTTCTGAATAGAGACAAAAGTTAGCTCAGAAAGTGAACTGATGGTTGATGAACAATGACAATGAAAAATGCAAGACATTTTAATCAGCAAGTCTTCCATCTTATCAGCCTGTACCGTTGTAAGAGAGAAAAGGCCATGAGTTTTAAGGGCAGTAAAGACCTTTATAGGCTAATAGTTTTTAATATCACGTAGCTAATGGCTAGTAGAGGCTAGCAGAGAACAGAGGCAACAAAGGCAGTTTTGTTGTTCAAATAACAACCTGGCTAAAAGAGCAGTTCACCAGTAAACAAGACTACTCCTCTATTAAAAACAGTAGAACAAAGCAGTTGAAAATGGATTATAATCCTTATTTGGTGCAACCTACCTGCCTGCCTCTGCTACTCATGTAAAACAGACCAATCGAGGTAACTGTTAATATCCCTGTATTGTTAACTGGTTTCAGAATACTCAGATCAGAACTGAAGCATCTTCTGATGAACCCTGGCTTTTTTTCATTACTGCTAAATAAATGACATTTGTGCTCAACTACTTTATTTACACACAGATTTTATGGAAGCTACAGCCCTAATAACTAGAAATAATAGAACTGCAACACATTCAGTATTACCACTAAATGTTTCTCCCTTGCAACTAGAGATAAAGGATCCACAGAAACAAAATGGTATGCTAAGAAAAACATCTCTTTTTTAAAAAGGGTACAAAGTTCAACTTGTCTGTAGCTGAAAAATCTCTAACCCAAATCAACTTAAAATTGCACTCCATGAAACATGAAGTCTAGCTTTTAATTTTCTAATCTTTCTTGTTTTATCATCAGCACTGAAGGAATTTTCAAGAGAGTTGTGTGCAGATGTGCAGGTCTAAATATGAGGCAGGACTGCAAACATACAGAGTCATAAAGTAGACACTGAAAAGCTTAATAAACCCAACAGTATGATAATACCATACAGAGGTGAGAACTGTTGAAGAATTCCCCATTTACCTTGTTAAGAACTCCACCACAGCATCTCCCAGAAATTCTAAACGCTCATTGTGGTTAATCCTGAAAAAGACATTTTATGGTTTACTATCAGCTAAGTAACATATGCTGATTATTTACACAATACAATTAAAATAGAAAAAATCAAGAGTTGATTGCTCATTAGCCATGACAGTCATTCTGGCAGCCTCCCCCACCATCTCCAGGTTACAGTCCTTTGCAAAACAGAGTAACAACTGCATGAATCATGAAACTCAGGAATGACACCACCACCTTTGAAATTTCCTTATGTTTCATTCTGAGCTATTGTCAGATCTTCGCAAATGGAGAAAGAAATAGTACCACTGACTGTCCCTGAGGTCGGGTTTCTTTGTCCATCAGAGGGCACCAGGGGATTGAAACAAACACCCTGTCCTCAACCTTGTGGATGCAACTAGGCAGCTGTACCTAATAAACATCAACACCTGCAGGTTGGGATGACTGCAACAGATCATTGGTATGGTAGACCTATGAGGGAATAGGTACTTTCAGTTTTCATAGCACCTTTAAATGCCTTGTTTCCTGTAAGCTCAAAAGAAAAAATGGCTGCACAAGAAGATGCACCCAAAGACGCCATTAAAAGCTATTACAATCTTTTTATTTCCCATGTTCTCTTCTATCGTTGCTCCTGATTTGCTTTTGTCTTGCATAAACTTTCATTTCCTCCAAGCTCTTTGCCTGCTTATATAACAAAGGACTAACAAGGACACAGCAGCTAAGAAAGAATGCAAGTCTATGTTTGAATATATACAAATTTCTGATCTATACATCAAAGCACGTAAGTAGCACCATTTCTGACTTGATGTGTGATTGTAACAGAATCAAGGCCATTGCCACAGGAATGTATTTATTTATTTTTTAATCCAGAAGATCCTTCTCAAGTGTTTGGCAGCATTTATTGTAATTTGCACTCCCCCAACAATTTTAGAGTTAGTGTAATTTCTGAAATAGCAGGCTTTTGTTATGGGCTGAAAGAATTCAAGTACCTGTGCAGGGTAAAACAATGCGTGAGCAAATCTACAATTCCTCTATGTAGTACCATAGGAGAAAACACAGATCACTCAGAAGTGGAACTTTATATTTGTGGGTTATTTCACAAGAATTAACGCAATTTAGCCGTATCTCATGTTATGCTATGAGGGTTTAAATAAGCTTGAAAAGAAAGGGCATGGTCGAGCTGAAACAGCATTTGGGGAACAATGCAACTACTATTTATGCAAAATTCAACTTCTCTTATTTCAAGGATTCTCTTAAAATTATGACTCTTAAAAGGCACAGCACTAATTAACTAAAACACACTCAGTCATCGAATTCATGCATTTAGGAGATTTCACATGCAACTGTTTCTTACATTAGCCCTGTGGGTTTGGTTTATTCAACTTTATCTTAATACAGGGCCTGTGGCTATAAACCACATCTTAAATATTATTAATATGCACAGAATTCTTATTGGTCATTTAAGGATTATTGCATTTTAACATTAATGATTTTTGCATCTGTCAAAATTAGACCAGCAAATCAGTGAAGCCCATGTTCAGCATCACACTCGTGTTAACAAGGTGCCGGGCCAGGAAGGTACTACTCTGAGAAAACATGATGGAGAATCCAATTTATAGCAATGACAACAACAACAAATCTTATTTTTTATTCTGCAGAAAGCACTAAGGTAGCCTTTTAGTCCTCCTCATTTCAGGGATCAACAAAAATGATAACATTATCTGTTAAAACCTTCCTCAGGAGTTTTCTGCAGGCATGACCAAACATTTAGTATGTCACTGCTAATGGAGGTTCAGCATATCTTCATAATATAAAAGTCAATTCAAAATTACTTTTCATTTCTACAATTTGCCAAAGCTGTTGCTGACAGTAAGTTGGTTGTTTCTATTAAATATCTATCTCTGCAACTGCTTTCCTACCTGCAAACAACTATGTTCATTACCTGGAAGGAGCTGGATCATCCTGTCCCAAACGGGACATAATATTTATCAGGGTGTTTATCCCTAGAAATATAAACAATGCACCATTAAATAAACAGCCACTAATTCAATTTGAATACACATAGAAAATAATTACTCAAAATGTTATTTTGTAATTGCTGTACAGAAGACCATCTTGTTATTCACAGGGTTTATTACAGCAAATATAATCCTTACAGATGCTTTCTGCCTAAGTGACCACAGTCCCATTACAACACTATTGTATTTCTGCATTCAGAGAGCCAAATAAAAATACCACCTTTGAATGAAAAAGACATTCCAAATATTAGATAAACAATGAACAATTTACTTCATTATAACTGAATATACTTTTAAGGGGTGAGGAATATTCTGTAGCAGACAGACCACATGTTTACATTAATAAGACATTTTTACAAAATATCCTCCAGTTTGCTCACCATGTTGATCAACAAATTAGGAAAACAATACTTGCCAAAAATCAAAGAAAATACATCCTCCCATTTATTTTTCTCAGCTCTTTATCTGCTGAATTATTTGCAAAATCCAGTCTTTTAGAAAGATCTCACTGATGTCTGTGTATAACCATTGAAATCCTTCACTGAAGGGATGTCTCAGAAGAACAATGGCTAACAAAATGATAATGGACAAAGGACGTTCATACTGATTAAGTGTGAAGTAAATGAAAAATGCTAGTAGTGTAACAGCATACCTTTTTTTCTCATGTGTATATGGTGAACTTTTCTATCTCCATACTTTGGCTGTCGAATCCCACAGTTGGATAAGGAATTTCTGGCATGATCTGGATTCATTCCAAAATTTAAGTGATGGCTTGGATGAGTCATGGCAAGCTATAGTGTAACACATACAGGAAAAAAAAAAGTCTTAGATGTATTTTTGCAAATGGAAGAAAAACTTTATCTAAGAACAACAGCTACTAATTGTTATTCTTCAGTTTGAAGAAAGGTTACGGAGTGATGTAGTCAATCAGTAGCTTGGTTCCAGCAATTTAAATGCAGGATGTACTATTTCAGATGTCAGAAAGAAGCAACATTTCTACCCAATCATCAGTTTAACTAATTAACTTTCAACATTTTTTTTCTTTAAAGAAAAATTAGTTTAGAAGAGAACAAGCATGAACTGTCAATTTGCCCAAAGACTTTTGCTTACCAGCTTTGCTGACCTGATTTCAATATATTTGCTTATTTAAACATATATTCACTCTAACATTGAAGTATAAATATTCATATCAAAAATACAAGCAATTAAAGGAGCTTCTCAACCATCCACATTTGCATTATTAAAGTATCTATAAAGCTTTCCTAGTTCAAACAAAATCAAACAACAACTAACAAGTATATTACTCCTGGCACAGTAATTCACAGAAAAACTCTTTCCCTCATGACTATACATGGCTCACTATTCAGCTGGAAGTAAAGAGCAACGGCAGGATTCTGTTTTACATTTGTACCACCTGGTATTATAGAAAGCATACTCTGCTGCTGACACCACCACTACAAAAATGGCAGCAGTAAATGGAACTTCAGCTTGCTCTGAGAACTCGATCCTGCAAACTCGCACCTCTTCTCCTTCTTTACACGTACACAGCTCAAAATGCCGTGCATGTATAAAAGTATGTGCACACAAAACTTGTACATAAAAAAGCGATACATTGGCAAATTGAAGCTGCAAAAAGTTACTTCTGACATACTTGCAGGACAGGTGCTGCAGACTGTGACCAAAGACATTTAGTAATTCATTCAAGCATTCTCTGTTGTTTTCTAAACGTAAGACTTAAAGAGTAAAATTAGATTTTAATCAACAATAAGAACTTCCTCCAAGTCCTTTTTAATTCCTTGTTAATATTAATAAGTTTGCCATAATTGCACATTCTCAAATTCTGCTCCATCTGAACTGGATGACACATTACAGCTTCTCTGAATAGATAAATTAGTGTAATCTTTTTTTTTCCTGTCTGTACTTTAAAAAGAATACATTATGATAAAATAGGTAAAAATCAATGCAAAATTATACAACTAACATTGCCTATGCTTAAGTAGGTGACAGATGCTATATATAAATTTCTTAAAGTTCTTTCTCTTCTGGAAAATGTTTGTAGGTTTTAAATATATCTGTGTGGGGATCAAGTATTAAAAAGCCCATTTGTTATAACCAAACATGACTAATGCTAATACACTTGATTTTTATGCTTTCATCTCTTTACAACTGGAATTTGCTTGTTTGGTTTTTCTGTTTGGTCTCAACATTTTGAATGTTTCCCTTACTGCAATTTTATCTTTCACATTAAAACAAAATCAGACTGGCAACAACCAAACCCTACAAGATGCTCAATGTTTGATGTAACTTTCAGTAGGAAAAGTCTGGGAAACAACTTCAAGAAAACAGAAAAGCTACAAGAAAAAATATCTCTGTAAACCTCTGTTTAAATTAATTTGGTAGTAAAGTCTCTAGGTACATACAGAAACTGCCATGTTTGAACTTAGTTCAGTCAGTAGAGAGAGATGATGCTTATTTCAGGACAAATCCTGAAGGGAAGTCCCCATTTGTCTTCACTAACTTCAGAAAAAGTCTAAGAGGAAAGGAGCCACCATGACAAGCATCAGCCTGAGAGGTGATTGTTGGATCCCAAAATATGATATCTGCAGCAAGGGATTTGAGTGGACTTTGCAGAAAGCCTTGGGCTACAACAGTTAGGGAAAAAACTTCAGTTTGAGAAGCAACGGAGATATCAGATGTTGATTGCTCTGCCTCAGCCCAGAGAGTCCACACCTTGATTTCATCAACCTTCTGCAGAAATCCTATTGTACCTTATCTCTCCTTTTGTGTCCCCTGAATCCCTGCATCCTGTAAATCTGAATACCTACTCCCCTGTAAAATGCCCTAAGATAAAGTGAGTTTTTCCCCATGAGGGGATTGCTACGACCCCAAATTTGTTAACCTCGTTTTTCCTCTTATGTCATCCCCAATAAACCCCTATTTGTAATAAATTATAATAATTCCAACCCCTGTTGAATATGTAAACCCTAAACCCTTGAAAAATGAACCTGTAAGTCCAATAAACCGTTCCAGTTTCTTGCCTCCCCTGGGATCGTCTTAGTTTCATTGCCTTCTGCAGGTGACCAACTCCAAATATGCACTAACATAAAAGACTGGCTATGTGACATGGATGCATTTAAAACAAATATGAAACTCTCCAGTTCCTATTCTTGCTTGTTAATGCAAAAATTTCATCATGTACTTGCAGAAATCAAGAGCTGAACAGAAATTCGCAAATTTCTATTCACTACCTATGAATTAAAACCAAAAAGGCAACACTTTAATTATTCTTTTTTGCAGGAACAGACTATAAAAAGAAGTAGCAGGGCACATACACTCACTCATCTGCAGAATAACACTGTACTTTCCACAAATATCTAAAAAAATAACTTAGATGGAAATAACGTGTACTTGACAGTATTTTCAGCACGCATCTTTTTGTCTTTCTACACATTACAAGCAAGTCCAGATTTACCACGAGAGTAAAGGTGTATATCTGCATGCCCAATAGATATTTCTATTTAGAAGTGTCTTGGGAAAACTGAAACTTTTGAAAAATCTGCAGTGGAAATAATCAAGTACATGCAAGCTGTGGCAATGCAGCACATTCCTCAAGTCTGTACAGCAGGCAGGGTTAAGGATCAATTCAGTAACATTATAAAGATAAACCATAAAGCAGTTGTTTGTTTGTTTGTTTTTCAATATCTTACCTGCAGCAAACACCTATCTCGAAAAGTGTAGCCTATCAATTTGTCCAAATGCATCAGACACTGATGGTAGCGGACATGGTGGGTGAGGACAGGAAGCATCATTGCATGCTAAAAAATAGTTGGAATAAGGAAAAACATTGAAGTTCAGTGTACAGAGTACTCAGTTGACTAAATTATAAAGACAAATGCTTTCCATTAGTCACAACACTGAGTTTTAGTGTTTTGCTTTAAACGAGGAAAAAACAAAATTCATGGTTTCCCATCCTTCCTTATCAGAGTACTTAAGTAATTGTATTGGTTCATCTGCACAGCTTTAACCACTTCTTAAACCTCTTTTAAACAACTTTAACCAGCTTTCACCAAACAACAGTAGCTACTCCATTTTCAAGCACAGTTATTTTGCTTCATTTCCTTTTGAGGAAGAATTAAGGGATTTTTGAAATGCTGTGGTCTGGTATTTTTCGGCTTTAAGTGCTAAAGAAGTATCAGAAAGGTTGCTGTTTGCTCATCTAGGAAACAGGCAGTATCTTCTGTCGGGAAAAATGTCAATAAATTTGAAAAAACCAACAGCTCTAACTTGTGACAAAGGGAGTCTCATTCTTAAGTAATTTAAAGCAGAAATTCTATGCTAATATTGACTTTGGATGCATCTGGGTTGAAATAAGCGAGTAGTACACTCTATCAGTACAGTAGTACAGCAAGTATGATATCAACATCACAAATCTTGCGTAAGAATGAAAAGAGAAATGCAGGATTTAAAGACTTTTGTGCATGTGACTTTTTATGACACTTTAATTTCTTCTAATAATTCCTATTATTTTATGATTACAGGAAATGAGTATATAGCATGGAGAGAAAGAAGAAAAACAAGCACACAAAGTCGATGATGTATAATTTACAGAATAAGTGACATTACGGATTTCTGCAGGTCACTAAAGACAGAACAGCGGAAGATACAGACAGTTGAGTGTTACAAGATCAAGAAATTAAGATTAACCAATGACACTACTTTCTGTTTAATAAAAGACTGTGAAATGAGAACTGAATGCAGAGCTGAAAGGTAATCATAGAATCATTTAGATTGGAAAAGACCTTTAAGATCATCAAGTCCAACTGCTAAACTAACGCTGCCAACTACACCAACTAAGCCATGTCCTAAATGTCTTTATAAATACCTCCAGGGATGGTAACTCAGCCACTTCCTGGGGGAGCCTGTTCCAGTGTTTGATAACCTCTTCAGTGGAGAAATTTTCCCCAATACCCAATTTTAAGCTCCCTTGACAGAACCTGAGACTATTTCCTCTTATCCTGTCACTTAAAAGTCTGACCTCCACCTTGCTACAGCCCCCTTTCAGGTAATGGTAGAGGGCAATAAGATCCTCCTTGAGCCTCCTTTTTTCTCCAGGCTGAACAACCCCAGCTCCTTCAACTGCTCCAGACCCTTCACCAGCTCCACTGCTTTTCTCTGGGCTTGCTACAGCACGCCAGTATCTGTCTTTTAGTGAGGGTCCCAAATCTGAAACCAGGATTCAAGGTGTGGCTTCACCAGTGCCGACTACAAGGGGACAATCACTGCCCTTGTCCTGTTGGCCACATTATTCTTGATACAATCCAGGATGCCATTGGCCTTCTTGCCCACCTGGGCACACTGCTGGCTCATGTTTAGCTAGCTGTCAAACAGCATTCCCTAGTCTGTTTCTGTTGGATGGAAAAAACCAGATAACAGCAAGAAAAAGACTCCCTGGATTCCTGAAAGGCAGAAAAATGGCACTCCAAGCAATCTGAGTAAGTGTAAATGAAGTTTTATTTTGTTACCATGCCACTCATTTAGAGTTTTCTCAGGGTAATTTATAAGAACATTCCCTATTATTGCTATATAAACTGTAAAGGTATGTTTCATATGTGTTGCTTCAGAGAAGGAGTTAATGGAAAAACCCAAAATAACTCAACCCAAAACTGTTTCACAGGACAGTTCTGCTTCCCTGCCTGTGTGTTCCACTGTACCAGACAGAAAGAGTCCCTCAAGGAAGGTTTAACATTCTTCGTACCATTACATGTGGCCCTACCTTTGAGGATGGAAATACAAAGTTTTAGACTTTTATCAGCTGTGGTGCAGTGAACGAAGACTTGACAGATCCCTGGGAGCACACAGAAGGACTTTGACTCTTGCAATCATATTGACAAAGTGCTGCTTTGATGGCACTAACTACTTGATTGATTCAATTAATGTCTGTCATCTTGGATTGTAACTATTTGACGTTTCTAATGTTTTATGTATTTACCTCTTTAGAAGAAAATAAAATATATCTTTTAAAAATTTTATTAGGCCAAAGATTGCCTAGTGATTAAAAAGAGTCTTCTGAAACCATACAGCCACAGGAGTTATCCCATAACCTTGGTATTTGCATCTGGCTATAAACATACAGGTTATTTCTTTTTTTTTGTTTTGAAATAGGTACAATTTTAAATATTCTGGATGTCTTTTTCTTGCTGCAGGTGACATGGCAAGGCAGAGACTCTCTCAAGTGCCCTCAGCTAGTGCTACCATTCCCCAGGATAGCAGATGCTCCTGACCAGAAGCTACTAAGAGGAAGCAAGTGATCTTAAATATTTTGAAATGTATGATGTTCACATTGAACACTAAACACTGCTGTTGAGGGCACACCAGCAGCAATACAAGTAACAACTGGGTGGAGTGGGAAGACAGAGATATCTTCTCAGCATGGTCCCATTCTACCAGACTTTATAATAAGTGCTGCCCAGCTTAGTGGCCAAATACTGCACTTGATCTACTGGGTAACTTCAAGTGAGCCTGTCAGAACACAGCCATTTTAAATTTTTTTGAACATTCTACTCACCATTTTTCCTCCCCTTTCAAGTGGTTCATTTCTGACACTGGAAAGACCAGTGTCATTACTGCTATGTGCAACTTAGAGCAAGTATAATCTATCAAGAGTGACTTAGAAGACTTTAAATCTTCTAAACTCCAATGCTTTTAAAAGCAGTAATTTTATATCGCTGCACTTTAGCTCTGCCCCTAGACTTGATTTATGCGTATTTAGTTTTAGTCTTCTTTAATCTGGGAAAAAGCATGTAGCAACAGCAGCAATCTTTCATTTCACAGACATACAGTTCCCTGCTCTTGGCCTCTCAAAGAAATCAAATCAAAGGACCTTCATACCAGAACTGGCTGATTTAGATGTTATGGCTGCAGATGGGCAGAAAAATTGTGAAATAGCTTTACTTTCATCATTCTTTGGTGTTTTGCTGTCCTTCAACAACAAAACGAATAGGAATATCCAAGACATTAAGAGATGAATCACAAAAGATATTCCAAGTAACACAGAACAGTTTCAAAGCTCCTAAATTGGAAATTTACACTGTTTACTTAAGCTGTTAAAATAGATACAGTTCACAACAAAAAATCAGAAAAGGGCTGTAATTTTCCTCAGCTATGTGAGAAGATACTGTTCCACTATTCTCTTTCTTCCACTTCAGAAGCACTAGTAGAAGCACAAGAAATGTTTCAGGCAGAAAAAAAGCAATTTAAGTTATTAGTGTTTCTTTCCCTCTACAATTTCCACTTTGGCCTTACTGGACTTACAATGGGATTTCTACCTACACCTTTGCCTAGCAACCCTCCAAGTTTATACTTCACACTGTTAAGTTAATATTAAATTGCATACATTTAATTCTTGAATAACATCTCCAGAGCAACAGCTAAAAAAATAATGCAAACATACCTCTAGAATAATTACTTGGCTGTTACAACTACTTGAACTTTACTATTACAATACTGTATAAAAATTGTACTTATTTTTTTCATATCACAAAGCTGGTGGCTGTCAACTGCTTCAGAATAGGATCTGACAGATATCCTATTCCTTGGAGATCTTCCCTTGGAGATGTCATGCATATAAAACAGAGTATCTGAAAGATATCTTTCTACTGAGGCTTAACCGTTTTAATCCAAAAGTTAGCTATGGTGAGATTTTGGGTTTTTTAACTTTAAGTAAAAAGATATTTCTTCATGCTTCCATGAAAAACTTGGTTTTTTTTAAACTATCTAAATAGAAAAATATATTAAAATTAAGATATCTAAAACTAACCTAGTTGATGGGATTAAGAAGACCTTAGAGGTCCACAGTAGACTCAATATCCAGCCTCAAGTTGGACATTCCTAACCCCTCTCCCTTGCGTTAATTAACCAATGACAAGCAAACCAAAATTTTATAATATCCTTTTTGTGTGTATGGAGGGGGTGGACAGGACACTAGAATAGTTCCCTAAATCATCAGATCTTACTGAGCTGATTCATTTCCATTTGGTTCATCAGCCTAGAACTGCAGGAAACCCTTGCAAGAGGTAAATTGCAGCTATCAAGAAAGAAAATAAACCAGATATCTCTGCAGTTTAGTCACCTGGCAGACGTCAGAGCGTATCCCTGTTTTCCAGAATCCCTGGCTGCTCAACTCGACAGTCACTTCACGTCTCATTGTGTTCTTCTGACGAATTTTTTGCAGTGCTTCCTAAACAGGGAGAGAACAGAACTCCCATGAAGAACTTTCTACAACAAAGCAGTATCAATGTGCATGAGTGCACTCACAACATCCATTTAAAGTTGTTTTGGTGTGCAGTTTCTAAGGCTCGGACAAATCTGCTAACTACCAGCCACAGACTGTGGCAGATGTGTTAGAACACAGTGTAAACAGAGAACTTTGGTAGACTAAGAAAAGAAATTTTTTACTGCAAATTAAAGAATAAACCAGTCCAACTCATACATATGATAAATAAGTAAGAAAGTTCAAGTGCTTATAACAAAAGCACCTTCTTTACCCCATGTACAAAACAACCTCTTCATTTAAGTCCATCACCATGAGTACTCCTGTTTTGAAGCATTCAGTAGGAATAAAACAGACTAAATAAAAGAAAGGCCTTGGTTTTGTGATCTAGACTACTTTGCAATAGTTTCTGTTGAACAATGTCAATACACCCAGCCTAGGAAAGGGGTCAACATTCACTGGTCCTGGAGACTATGATGATGAAATCTACCAATATTACTTCAATTAAAATACGTAAAAAATATCTGGTTTGCTCTGACCACTGGCTGTTTGGTGTTGTGCAAACAGTTTATTTGTCTCTAGAAACCATAAAAGGGCCGATATTATTAAAGATTTTGACAGAATCATTAAAAGAAAATCTTTTCAGTAAAAATGGAATGAAAGTAAACCAGAAAAAACAAATCATTCCTGGATCAAGATCTCCTGGTTCCAATGCTATAAAGCCCTGGGGTGTGCAAGCTCTCCACACATCATGAACTAACAGTAAAGACTCCCTCAGTGCTCTTCCTTCTTCAGAACATAAAACTCTTCAAAGCTGCAACCTATCCTGTCTCTCCTTCTCCTTTTCACTACAGGGCACTTGCTCAAAGCTGTCTCTTCCCTGCTTCCAGTTTGAAGCCTGTGAGCGTATCTGGGTAGGAATAGGGTCTGTTTTCTGTTCTGCAGAGACTCCCAAAGCAGTTCCAAGAGGTGCATCTGTCCAGACATGCATTCATCAAACCTCAGACACCTCAACACAGAGGCGTCTAGGGTAGGAGGCTAGTTAGCCCTGGCTCCTTTTATATTCAATGAAGGGGGATAAATGGCTTCAAAATGCATTTCTCCCTCCACTGACTTCAAAGTGAGCCTTCAGGTCCCAATTTATGCACCTGCTGTAAACGCTCAAAGTTAGGTTAGAGGAACAAAGCCCCCAGGCACAACCTTGTCACAAATAATACCATTGCACAACCCCATGGTAGTGGATGACTGACGGCAGAGGGAACAGAGATGCTTACAGCACTGCACCCCCTTGTGCATTGTCAAAAATTATGTCATTGAGTTTTTCTTGAGATAGGTCCAACAGTATTTGCTACACCTAGCTGTACTTCAGTTTGACTGGCTCATAATTTATGATTCATAATCTCTAAAAGCCCATGTACCAGTTAGGTACAGTCCTACAGATCCTTCTGAGTTATTGACACCTCCACTGGAAAATACATAAGTTATCCTTACATAAAGCTTTCAACCCTGTATGCCCCTCTGATAGCAAACTACTGGAAAAACTTGTTATCATAGATAATACAGTCTAGAAACAAAAAATCAGTAGTAAGTGCTAAATACAAAAGGAACATTTTATTTTTTGAAGCAAAATATGATCACCCCCTTACAAACAATCCACTAGAATTTTATAATTGAGTCACCCATTACCCCCTAAGAAAAAGATGCCCATACAGCAATGGTCTTCCCTTCTACTTGCTCTGAGTGTAATTATGGCAAACAAAATCATTCCCTGTAGGGATGAAATTTTTTGCCCCTTACAACTGTAGCACAGTTAAGTCACAATGTTATTTTTTTTTTTAATTTACAGGTAAGAAAGCCAAGGGCTTATTTAACATCAGTAATAATAAAATGTTAACTAAGATTCTTGCTCATGCAACAGCATATTACGCTTTGCAGCAATAATAAAAACCAGGTGCAATGTCAAACGTATCAAACACTTACTAGCAACCAAAGGTACACAATAAACTGGGAAAGTCTCAGGAATTAGACTCCCTGATTCCCACTCAGGGTAGTCTGTGATTTTATGAATAATCAGTATTTCTAATCAACAAATAGAAATACACCACCATTTAATTAAATACCATCCAGTACCCAAGATGTTAATTTCTCTTCCATGTACTCTTTACACATGTTGTTAAATTAAGAGTGCCTGATTGACAGACACCAGAAAAATTCAAAGCTTCAGTCCAAGGTTTTAAAGAAATAGATACCCAAAAGCTGTTTTAGTCTATATTTAGGGGTCTTTGTTTTTCTGATTTTAATTCCCAACTGGTAGAGCATTTGCACGTTGAAAATGCTTATTGCTCCTCACTTTGTGGGGGAAAAAACCAGAAAAATACTTTGTCTATCATAAAACAACCACATGATTTCAAGTGAAAGATCTTAAGCAATGTCACTAAGACTAAATTATGGTTTAAAACAAAACACAGGTGTGGCAGTTTCTATCTCAGAAGAGAAATGCCTAAAATGATGAGCCAGTACAGTGTGAAATAAAAAGTCCTTCTCTATGCTAATTCTTGAAACCATTAATACCAACAGCTATAAAGACATTATGGTTCCATAATGATCATTTCTATCATTCGGTAAAAAATTTGCAGTAGTTTGACAGCTGAAAAAAGGAAAAAAACCCATCAAATAACAATCACAGATAAAAATAAAATCCCTGTTAACAGCCTGAAAAGAAAATCTTTTGTGAAAGATTTCTATTGTTTCCATAAACAGGGCAGTCACATGGTTTTATTCCATCCCAAATTACAGTGCTCAATTATCAGTCATAGGAAGGCCCAGCATACCTCTCTTTGTGATAATTTCTGTTTATCAGCCTGTTTGACTTTGGGACTATTAGCCAGTAGGTGACGCAGCTTCACATAACTTTTCCACAGCTTTTGGTATCTGCACGACAAAACCAGAAAACAAGTATTTTGGTCAATACAACAAAAGTCTCTCACTGTCATTAAGAATACATCAGCTGCTAATAATGCACACAATGTACACAGAGACTGTCTACAAGCATCTTTTTGCTCCAGAATAAAAATAAGCCCAAAGCATTTTCCAAGAGAGGTGAAAGTGCCTCTGCAGTTGCTCCAGCAGGGTGGACAAAGTAGTGTGCAGTGTGAGGTAAAGAACAGCAAAGCTCAGGGCAGAACCCAGGTCTCCCAGATACCCGCCAATCCTCTCCCAAGGGCCACGTCCACATGCTGAAAAGACTTGCCCGCAACATAACAACTCAACTCACATAGGTGAAAACGCCCTCTTCTCCACATGGTTTACCTATCCCTCACTGAAAAGCAGCAGTAACCTTTCCCATGAAGTGTCTGTCCTTACATTTCCTCAAACATGAGGAAGAGGTCTACAAGTCATGCACAACATTAAGTTATTCTATGAACAGTGAAATGGAAGTTTCCTGCCCTATGGGTTTGTGCTGAATGGAAACAGCAATTCAAGTTTTCTCTGTGGTTAGCACAAACTTCTGGTTTCCTCCAACCATCTAGCCTTTTCTTATTCTGAGGGTTTTTAATTACATGAGCCACAATAATAAATACATTATAAAAGAAGATCCTCCTCAGCACCAACTTGGAGCAGTGGTTTTATTAGGAGTTTTTATCATTAGTGGCTTAGCGGTAAATGAAGCAGTAGCTCTTTTACTATTTCACAATCTTCCCAGGATCCCACATTCACAGGCAGATAAACAGATCTTTTCTTATTGACATTTTTTCCATAGCTATTTCTCTGCAGCACGGTTGAATGTATACTTTCTGCCTCTGGAGATGGTGGTATTTTTTCAGTCTATGAACACATCTGAAATGGTCAATTCATAGATTTTTCTCATGCTCCGTTTTCTGCACTTTTGCAATTTGCAGAATAGCACATCTGTTTCTGACAAATGACCATCTGAAGAAGAAAAGTGAGTACATGAACACTCAACCAAAAAGAAAAAAATAAATGCCATGAAGAGGTTTCAACCCTGAAACAAGAACCTGAAACCATGATCTACAATACACATTTTTATAATAGTATTGATAGGGTGAAACAAACTTTGTCATTGCAATTAAGTTTGAGATTTAATAAGCATATTACCATTACAAAAAATTGCATATTAGAAAAACATAAATAAAAGACACGTTAGAAGAAAATCTCCTCTGTGCATTACCCATTTCACATATACACCAGAGTTAAGCCTGAGACTTATGATGGCACCACAGAGGTCCTTCACAAAAACTGCTTTGTTAGTTTAACAAAAAGAAGCATACTTACATTTTGTAAGCAGCTTTGAGGTGAAAAAAAAAATCAAACCAAAAACAAACCCACAAGGAAATTTTAAAGGAAGTTAAAAAGTGTGAGAAGAATAATGTTTGTATCTTTATACTGATTTCAATGAAAAGTACTAGAACTTCACAAATATTAATAAATGTAGTGTCAAAGTAGAGGTCATTCTCATATGTTTGGGTCTAATTATTTCGTTTTGATGGAAAAGAAAACTAAAAGACGAAGAGGAATAGAAGTCATGCTCAAAGCACAAAAAGAAAACTGTTCTTATCTGGATAACAATTCACTATTCCCACTTCCTGTTAAATCTAAAGTTGTAAAACATTATGACTGTCATACATGCACATGAGTGTTTGGCCCTCAAAACTGCAGATGAAATACAACATCGTTAAAAGATACTAGAGGAAAATGCATGAGGAAAAAGACAACCTTAACTATACATACACCAGAGACAGACTCTATACTGTCAGTATGCAGAAAACAGATGTCCCAAACATTGGAAGAGTTCCTTGAAATTGTCAGAGCTTAAGAAAAGAATTGGGAACAAAATCTAATGATCACTTGTACATCCCTTCATGAATCCACAGTGAAACAGTATTTCTTGCTCCACCTGAAGTCCTGATTCCCTCTCCACTCCTTCTCTACATTCCTCACAAAATCTCTCAGGTTATAGAAGGTACAGAGAAAAGTAGCACGGATGTAAAAGCTTCCAGGCTAGGAAACACTATGCAGATTTGATCCTTCAAGGTACAGAAAGAGACAACTAAGGATATGGTAAGAAACATAAATGTCATGAAGAAAGCAAACAGAAAACGGCTACATTCTTCCTTATTAGATGTGAGACCCGAGGAGCGTCTAATAAACAATCAAGTAGCAGCCCTGAAACAAAGTCAGTCCTTTTCCATACGATGCACAATAGTACTGGGGAAGTGATTACCTGGACTCTTCTCCCTGTCAGTAGCATAAAAAGATTCAAATAGTGATTTGAGAAATTTAAAGAAGGAAGATCCAGTCAGGGCTGTTAAACAAAATTACATAAATATATCCTCTAACTCAGAACTCTGTATGCTACAGACATTAGGAAGCTTGGGTGAGTATTTCTCCTTCTCTGCTTTCCTGTTACACTTTTCTCTCTCTTAAAACCTGCCACTGGCCTCTCAGAGAAATAACACGGAGCTTGAGGAACTTTTCGTCTGACGTAGAAGAGCTGTTCTCAGGTTAAGAAATTTCATACTGCACATGCACGCACGTTTAATTCTGCATTTTCTGAATTATGCCAGGAAAAAGTTATACCTTATATTCTCTAATTTACAAGAGCTTGTGTCCAATGCCATAAGCACTAAGCAATATGTCAGGCTCAATTAAGCACATAAACAAGCCGTATTTAAGCCACAAATGACAACAGTAGTGAGTTCCTGAACAAAAGATGGAAGGAAAAGCATCTTACTGAGGATCTCCAGCATAACTGAGTTGAGCAGGTCGTATCCCAAAGTGCACAATAATAGGGAAAGTAATTACATCAGGATTGAACTGTTCACGGTCCAGCTGATCAATACGAACTGAGCTGGGTTTCTAGGAGAAAAAAACAAAATACAACTAATAGACAACAGCTTCATAGAAAATTTTTTGCCTCCAGCCCACACTATCCAGGAACCATGAAGCAGCAATATTCCAAGCTGAATAAAATGCAAATAAACTAACAATTAATACTATATTAAACATTTGGTAACTACAGTGACTGAAACAAAGCTATATTATCTAACACTCAACGAGAAAAAAAAAGGACATTTTAATTTCACAAAACTGGAAACTGACTGTTTTCAAGAATGTAAAACAACTTCTCTGGTCAAGCATGACACCAGAAATAAAGATCAGGATTAGCATTCTGGAATCCAACCTCCCATGTGGTCTGAGCAGTTTGCTAAGATCAGGTTACCTCTCTAATTTGAGTTCTGTTCCTCATTTCCCAAAGTAAATGAAGGCATTATCAGGTCCATTCAATCACACTGACTAAATAGCATCAAAAAAAAAAGTCTCACGCTACTCTTAGGAAAGGCTCTTAGGCTGATGTGTACAATGAGGAAGACAGTCTTGTATAATGGGGAGACTTTTGCCCTTTTTACAGTTCAAAATAGAAGATCTTTTTATTATGAAAAAGACAGTGTAAAAGGAGGCAACTCTAAATGCAGAAAATAAGTAATTGTGCATCACTGTAGCAGACATGCTGCTTACAGAGCTCTTGATCTAACATGTTTAAAGACTCATCTGCAGGTGCACAGTTTGTCTCCAAATAAACATCATCTCCATTACCTGTCAAGCTGCTTTGTTATGTGCCTGCTTACTCCCCTCTTTCCAATCAGCTGGATGAAGCCAGTATATTTTGCTTGTCTTTGGTTTCAGAAAAAGGGCATTACTTCTAGTTACCTGCATCTCAAAGCTTCTCATTTAGCACTGTGAATTTCTCAAAGATGAGTTTCAGGGTTACAGAAGCAGCTCCCACCATTCTCTTCACAAAACAATAAAAACTGTGTCAAGAAAAAAGCTTTCACCCTTCAAACCACCTTGGTAGAACTGTTCACAGGAATAATTTTCTGCATGGATAAGCAAATCTAATTCTATATATAAAGGTCAGCCTCATCAGGTGGCCATAATTCTAACCTATTCTAGAAAAACAAAAACTTACTAATAATTTGCCTTTCAGATATAGCAATATTTTCCAAGGGAAAAATGCTTCTCAGTTTCCCTTTGGACAAGATGACTGAACATAAAGTTACACTTCCCCAGTCAAAAATTAGGGGAAAAAGATTTAGTTAAAATTTAACTACTTTAGTTAAAGCTGTCAGGTTTACCAAAAAAAAAAAAAAAAAAAATTAGAGAAAAAGTTTTCCTCACAGCATTTCTCACAAAAAGGGATTAGACCAAAAAAAACCTAAAAAAAACCATGGGAAGGATTTGTAGCAGACAAAATGTTGTTCCCTGAACCAGAGCTGAAATTCATCTGCCTTCGTGGGGTTTGCAGAAAGCCAATTTGAAAAGTTCTTGTATTCTCGTAAGTTGTTTGTTGGTTCTTCCCACTCTTAACATTAAAAATGAGAATTCCTTCTCCCTGCCCCCCCTTAAAAAAGCACTTGATACACCACTTGATACACCACTCCTCTGATAGCCAGGTTGGAAAAAATATGATTAACAAAATATGAAATAATAATTATACTCAATACACCAATTATAATCAGTGCATTTTTTAAAATTACAGACATATTTTTCTATTCAAATGTTTCCCATTTTAGGTACTTCAACAGAAGCAATGTGATCCTCAAAAATGGGAAAAGGAGATCCTTCACTATGCCCATAGCGGGGTCTGTATTAAACACATGATCTCAGGATCACTCAAAACCAGACTCCTATCTATTTGAATGACACTGCCTTCAGTTTCACCATCCAGTTACACACTGTTCACAGATGGCTGATAACAACCAGGACAAGAGAAGTTCTCTAAGACCTAATCACAATTGCTCCCGCAGTGACAGTTATGAGAGGGGGGTAGCTGGGTTCTGCTTTTTCATTTCACGATGAACACCAGCCTCCTCTCTGGAGCCATTTCTGAAGGTTAAATGAACAAACAGCAACATATAGAAGCACAGAGTATAAACAGGTGCCCCAGCAGACAGGATGGAAGCAAATTAGATGATACTCTTCCAGAGTTTTATCCCTGTGTTCTTTTAGAAGTGCTGTGATAGACCTTTTAATAATGACAACCTTGCCTTTAAAATCACAACAAACCCAAAGAAATTCTAACAGAACAGAGGCCTGTTATCTTTGTTTCCTACTCCAAATCTCATCAACCAAGGCTCTGCTGACATTAGAACACATAATGAGATAGTATGCAGAAGTATTAAAAAAGCATCTTAAAAATATATATATATGTACTAGTGAGAATAGCAGCAGTACTTCAGGAAGAGCAAAGTATTAAAAGATGACTAAAATTTGTGAACTTTTAAATCTATTTCAACACAAAGCTTTGTTGAACTAATGAAACATCATGAATAAATTAAATAGGTTTAAATAATGCTGAACTACTGTTCATTGTTTAAATGGGATTTATATGACTATCGAGGTTTTTTCCCTCCTCCTCCATCATGCATATATATACACCTAGATTTCAAAAAATTAAAATACATATGTATATAAAACCTCGATCTCATCACAAGAGGTATTATTATTTCTGAAGAGATGTTGTGGAAGAAAAGAGCAAAATAAAATTTAGTGGTTTTACTTTGTTGTGTCAAGCAGATAAAATTCAATTGAAGAGCTGTCATTTTCTAAAAGTTTCACATTGTCTCTCCAACAGAACCGTTTTATCTTCTAATGTTGTAAAATGCACAGATAATACTTTCACACTGTTTTCCCCTTACTCAATACAATAGTACAGCAATGTACAAGAAAAATCCACAAACTAAGAAGAAAATCATTGCAATCTTGAAAGAAAAAACATGTTCTAATGATGCCATTATAACATGACATTTCAAAGCACTACAGATTTCTTTTATGCTTACATATTTTGATGTCCACACACATCTCTAAAAACATTGCCTTGTAAAATACAAAGTTTGCCAGTAAAAAAATCACACAAAATCTCGAAATTAACACTCCCACTCACAAACAGCACTGACTTGTATATAATACAGACATTCACAGTTCACTGACACAAGGAACAAGCATATATGCATTCCTTCATGTTAAACAAAAAAGCAAGTTGTCAGATAGCTGAAATCAGCATATCTTCAGCAATATCACTGCAGTTATGTCAATGCATAGCATTCAGATGATGACAACTTATGGATCAGCATGTACCTTGTACTGCAGAAACCATAGACAAGTTAAGGCTGTTAAGGCTGTCTAATAGTTTCTATTATGGCATCCTGGTTTAGCACTCATTTGAAGCAGCTAAGGTAGAATTTTCCACAGTGAGAGTTCACAAGTATTTTTGTATTTCATGTTCCCAGAAACAGTCCTATTTTCTTTTTTAGAAACTTTTAGAAAGTTTTAGCCAGAACAAAACCACTCAGAATGAAATCAAGGGAAAAATTATCCTGCCCAAGTTACTTACTATTACCTTATCGAGTAGTTTACTAAATGTAATGCTACTATACTTAAAAATGTGAACTGGAAAAAAATATTTAGCAGCTTGCCCTGGCTGCAGTGTGGGGACAGGTTTTTTGGTTGACCAACAAAACTTCTCCTTAGGCATGATACCAAGACACACTTCTTCTTCAGAAACTAAGAAGTTGAACTATGAGCAAAGGAGGAAAATAAAGTCAAAAAAAGAAAGATGTTACAACTGAGAATGCTGCATGGAGTCTCAAATATTAGATCCAAAACACATCTCTACTACCAAGACACCACTCTGTGATACTGACCAAACTACACAAATACAACCCTGCAGTTCACGGGTCCTGAATGCAGGGCGTTCATCTCTTCTTGTGACCCACATTTCTTAACAGTGAAAGTCAAAAAAATGGGCTGAATTCATATTAACACCATATTTGGAAGGAGTTGTGTTCAGAGAACATATGCTTTAAAATACTAATTGTTCCAAAAATAATAAGGCCATAGGGGTTTCAAACCATGCACTGAAAATTAATACATGCATTAATTAATGTACACAAAACTCCTCAGTGTGAGTGAGAGCAACACAAAAACAATGCTGAAAAAACTACATAAGCAGAAAAACACTTTTTCCATATTCAGGGCATTATTTGAATAGCACACATTAAACAGAGCTGTCAACAGAGGGTCAAAAGAGGAAGAGGAAAGTAAATAGTAAATAGTTACTATTTCTGTGGTCCTGTGTCTGGGAAAAGAGAATGAAATCATGCACGTAAAGACCATCTGAGAAAACAAGAAAGTTTTACACACATAAAATATCACCATTCCTTTTAACATGCACACTGAAAAAGTGCCCCTCTGGAAATCCATCCTTCAGTAGTGCAGCAGAGAGTATAATTCTTCCCAGGGTTGGAACAAGTCAATTATCTGTTCCTATCTGCAATCATAGCAATCTGCAACTGCCACTGGTCATCTTTTCCCTTTTCAATTTAGCCTGTGACAAACTGTCTGAAACAAGACATGTACATGTCATTGGATTGCTCATAAATAATAATTATTTGCTTTACCATGCCAGGGCTGGTAACAATCATCCCTTTGCACTCTTCTGCATATTTCTGCCATTCCAGTTCTTCCCACTGAAGCATGTTGGCAATCTCCTCTTCAGGCACCAGAGCTTTACTGCACCGTAACAAGTAGAGAAGAATCTGATGCATTGACAGTACTTCTTTTCCTCCATCTTAAAACCATAAATAAATAAAACACATGTCAGAGATCCACTCCAAAAGCATGAGCATTAAGACACAATACGCAGAACACAAATTATTTGTATGAGCAAAATAAAATGCAAAATGCTTAAGTGATCTGACAAATACAAAGGCAAATGTTTTCTTGATGAATACCGCACATGCATAAACACTTGGCTAAAGTAAAGCAGTAACAGTAATGGTAGCGAGAGTAACAGTTTTATTGTACTGTAAAGCCAGAAGTTTCTAACTTGCCTGAAAAAACTTTAAAGTGAGCAGGCAGAACAATCAGTTACATTGTCCAGTTATATCTTCCTTTTCACAATTTTATCATTCTTTTTACAACAGTAGTTAAAAAGCCCTTAGGCGTTATGCAGCTTTTTTTAAGAACACTCAAAATTTTATGGAATACTTCTGGATGAATGTAGAAAGCTATCCCTGCACTTTAAAATCATCTATAGTGCTTACGTGCTGTAACTGCAGTAATTAAGACTAAAGAGCCTCATGCTGTCTCCTGTCACTAAATGAATCAAGGGCATGTGAAAATTGCTAAATACTTCTGAGACTACAGGAAAAATACACAGCAAAGGTTGCTTGTAACAAAAGAAGACAGTATAACCTGACTGGCTTCAGGTTGCCAGCTACAGATGTGAATATGTAAACAGGAAACACAAATGATGGTTCTGACAGATCACCACTCAGAAGACACTGACTATTCAAATTCAGTATGCCTGCTCACAGGAGTAAAAAGATACTATATGTTACTAAAATGCTTTAATCTTGACATACATCTCTCCAACTCCCTCCTTCAATAAAAGGGTATTAATCTGTAGGTATGGAGGAATCTTCAAGTTTCATCTCCACAGAGCATGAACGTTGATTTACTTCTCTTCCACAGGACGCAAAAACCATCTGGTTCTTCCACTGAGTATATTCTTTCTATCACTACACCCATAAAAAAGTAATGCTGAAGCCTTGGAGCAATATGGGAGATGATGCCACAGCACAAGGAATATGATTCCAGGCACACTAGAAAAGCCTTGCAGAACTGCTGCATAACAGCAGCTCTGAATAGGATGATGTCCTCTACAACACGCATGAAGGAACAAGCACTTCTTTTACTTCAGCTGGGATTACAGCACTATCATAGAGAAAAGATGAAAGGGAATGGTGTAACCTGACCTCTTAAAACAATTAACTCACTGTCATGGGTTCAGGTGGCTGGGTTTTTGGTAGCAGGGAAGCCATAGAGGTAGTTTCAGTTAGAAGCTGCTAGAAGTTTCACTGTCCTATGAAAAAAAGCCAATGACAGCCAGCTTCAGATGGGACTTCCTTGGTGATGATATGCGCTTTTGTGATAACATATTTAAGAACAGAGGAAGAGAAGAGTTGTTGAGCAGAAGAAATTCCAACCCGGAGAAGAGCAGAGGAGAACATGGGATAACAAGCAGACTCCAAGGTCAGAGTAGCAGTGGGGGCAGGAAAGGCCCGGAGGGGCCTCCCTCTCCCCCTCCAGCAGGGGAAAGACTGAAAGCTGAGGCCCCTGCTGCCTGTGGAAGACCTTTGGGATGCAGAGCATGCTGGAGCAGGTGGATGCATGAAGGAAGCTGTGATCCTGTGGGAGGCCTAAGGATTAAGCAAACTCCTGCAGGAGACCCATGCTGAAATAAGTTTTCCCCAGGGTAGGACTTGCCCAGAATGACCCATGGGGCAGCAGACTGAAGAGAATTGTTGCGCGAGGCGGGGGGGGATGGACCCACAAGGAGAGGTCCATCAAAGACTGTCTCCCACGGGGAGGGACCCCCACAGAAGCAGGGGAAGGACCCCACAGAAGCAGGAAGGGAGCCATGACCCCCCTGTAATGTGTGGTGAAGACTACGGTGATGCAGTTGTCCCCCTGCAGCCCATAGAAGACCATCGGGGTGAAAAGACCCATCCCTGCACCCGATGGAGGAGTAACCCACAGGACAGCAGACTGGTAAGAACTGCTGTGCGAGGATTGAATTCAAAGTGATTGCAAACCCTCTTCCTCATCCCCCTGCACTGCTGGGGGAGAGGAGGGAGAACACGGAGGGAAGGGGGCAGGGGGTGGAGGGAAGGTGTTTGTTTAAGACTGTTTTATTTCTCACTCTCTAAGTTTTATCTTGCTAGGAATAAATTTAAGTTTTATTCCCTATGTTGAGTCTGCTTTGCCCTTATCTATCCTGATGAATTCCTTGCTGTTTTTTTTCTTCTTCTCTGCTACTTTGCAGAGGGAGAGTGAGAGAGCAACTTGGTGGGTATCCTGGTGTCTAGCCAGGGTCAAACCGCCACACTCAAATTCCAAGAGGGAATCCTAAATGGGAAAAGTATACCACAAGCCTCACTGGAAACAGGAAATACTTCTAAAAAGCTACAGGGACAGATTTTTCAATGTGCAAAATTTTCCTTCAAATTAAAGGGGGACTCCATTTACTAAGCTTATTTTTCTTTGTCAACAAACTAGATTATACTGTTATGCAAGAGGTAGCCCACATCCAACAATCACTGAAATACAAGTGTATCCTTACCCTCTGAAGACGTGTACAGAAAGGTACAGGTTACTATAGACTGTCAAAGTTGGAAACCCTTTCTTGGTCAGAACACGCAGTATTTGGAACCTCATGTGTGTTTTTTTTAGTCTTTTACTCTCTGACTATATTTATCAACATAAAAACCTATGACAATGAATACAATACAGCAACTATTCCACATGCTTTGCATCTCTGGCACTCAGTACACTTTGTATGTCTAGCTTGAAGCTCAGAGCTACACCCCAAGGCCCGTCTTTAAGTAAATCCACACAGAACACCTGACATCCCCAATCTCATTATTTTTAGACCATGTTGCAAAAATAAGAAAGAAAGAAAGAAAATTAGAGGGGATAGGAAATCAGCAATTCATTTCTATCTTTACAGAGACGATGGATGTGTGGAGATCTGAAGCAGCAATGTATTCTTTGATTAGACATAAGACATGTTCTGCAAACATACCTGAAGGAAATAGATTTCCACTATTTAAAAATTAAAGATCTCCAAGGATATCTCAAAAAAAAATCAATAAAAGATGAAAACTTGATTAAAAAATGCCTGTCAAAAAGATGCTAAAAGGCAACTAATTATGCAGAAATATCAGAAAAAAGACATTTTAAAAAATAGTTAGAAGGCTGGGAACCTTAAAGAATATGCAGCACACAGGAATAACATGTGTCGTGGTTTTGCCCTGGCTCAATTTACTTTTATACCCCCACATACAATTACTACCGGTTGAGAGAAGGTTTATGCAGACAAAAAGAGACTGAATTGGAAAAAAGTATGAGTATTTATTATTAACAAGCTAAAACTAAAGAATTATATTTATAACAATTCTACTTAAGTAAAAGGTATTATGTATTTACAAAAGATACTTCTCCCCCCCCACTTCCCTTTATATCAGTCCAAGGAGGAGAAGCAGTCTTTTTCTGTTCTCAGAATTCCAGCTCTCTCTCTCTCTCTCTAGTAACTCTGCAGCACTTTCGTCGCAGTTGGAACCTTTTCTCCTTCTTCTCTATGTCAGCCTCCAGGGCTGGGCCTACCCCCCTCCTTGGCTAAAACCGAAGGTTGGGGGTTACTCAGGTCCTGAAGGGTCTCCTTCCATAGGCTTGCAAGGGGACACTTGCTTACTATGGATCTTCTTCCACAGGGTTACAGGGGATAATTGTTTAAGAGTTCACCCCTGTTTCCCTATGGAGGTCCCTCCCCATGGGAGAACAGTCCTTGATTGACTTCTCGGCATGGGTCCAGTCTGGATCCCTTACTCGGATCCCAATATCCCACCTGAGCCATTTTCTGCTCCAGCGTAGGTTCTCTCTAGCACCAGCAGCACGGATCCCACACATGGATCCCAACATCCCTACCTGAACCGTTTTGTGTTCCAGCGTAGGTTCTAATACCCGTCAGGGTCATAAATCTTCAACAGCAGCAGCATGGATCTCTCACTGAGATCCCAAGCTTATCTGAGCCGTCTCGCTCCAGCATAAGCATCGATCCCTTCGAGGGTCACAAAGTCTTTAACAGGACTCTGCCTCATCTGAGCCGCTTTTACTCCAGCATAAGGCTTTCTCTGTTAAAGTCACAAATCTCTGGTGCATCCACAAGCTCCTCTGTGAGCCGCACGGGGGGTCTCTTCACCCCAACAAACTTCTACAGGTGGCAGGGTTTTATTTTTCAGTCTTTACCCTGCTGAAGGGAGGGAGAGCGAAAGGGAGAAAAAGCAGTTCTCCCCCCTTCGAACTTTTCTTCTCTCTCCTGCGACTGCAGCTTTGACCTTGGAAGTCTTGTTATCTCATGGCTGGAATTCTTCTGCAGCGGTTTCTCGTCTAAGCAGTTCGTCTTTTAAACCTTTTTTTTTTTTCTTCACTCTCTCACAAGAGAGAAGGGAGGCTTCAGTACTGCACCTGCCCCCCCCCCGGCCCAAGCCGGGGAGGAGGGGGCCTTGGCCCTCCTCGGGCCCACCGCGTCTCTCCTACATGGCTGCTGCTCCTAATTTCAACTGCGCCACAACCTTCTCTTCCGTTTTCTTAAAGATGTAATTAGCAAAGGCGTCACTGAACTTTTTGATTGGTTTTTTGTCCGGAAATCACCTGGACAAAACCATCCTCAGCCCCAGGGATGGGCTGATGGGCAAAACCACGACAATTCCCCCCTTCGCCTTTGCGAATTACATTTTAAGAAATTTTAAATTCTACAATCAACATACAATGATAAATAAACAAACTATAATTAAAAATTACTCTATTTAAAAATTAAAACAACATCACTATAATATTTAACTCTATTATTCTTTTTTTTACTATAACCACAGTACACATGGTCAATCTACTTTTGTCTGCAGACCTTTCTCTCAGTTATCTTAAAATCATTATGGCCAATTCCTCACATGAGGTACTAAAAATGTTGGGGTTTGATTCAGTCACTGTTTCTCTGGGTAGTCTCTGCCCGCATTCTCCACCAAAAATGTCGTGGTTTTGTCCTGGCTCAATTTACTTTTATACTCCCCATACAATTACTATCAGTTGAGAGAAGGTTTATGCAGACAAAAAGAGACTGAATTGAAAAAAAGTATGAGTATTTATTATTAACAAACTAAAACTAAAGAATTATATTTATAACAATTCTACTTAAGTAAAAGGTATTATGTATTTACAAAAGATACTTCTCCCCCCACTTCCCTTTATATCAGTCCAAGGAGGAGAAGCAGTCCTTTTCTGTTCTCAGAATTCCAGCTCTCTCTCTCTCCAGTAACTCTGCAGCACTTTCGTCGCAGTTGGAACTTTTTTTCCTTCTTCTCTGTGTCAGCCTCCAGGGCTGGGCCTACCCCCCTCCTGGGTTAAAACCGAAGGCTGAGGGTTACCCAGGTCCTGAAGGGTCTCCTTCCATAGGCTTGCAAGGGGACACTTGCTTACTATGGATCTTCTTCCATAGGGTTACAAGGGATAATGGTTTAAGAGTTCACCCCTGTTTCCCTATGGAGGTCCCTCCCCATGGGAGAACAGTCCTTGATTGACTTCTTGGCATGGGTCCAGTCTGGATCCTTTACTCAGATCCCAATATCCCACCTGAGCCATTTTCTGTTCCAGCGTAGGTTCTCTCTAGCACCAGCAGCACGGATCCCACACATGGATCCCAACATCCCTACCTGAACCGTTTTGTGTTCCAGCGTAGGTTCTAATACCCGTCAGGGTCATAAATCTTCAACAGCAGCAGCATGGATCTCTCACTGAGATCCCAAGCTTATCTGAGCCGTCTCGCTCCAGCATAAGCATCGATCCCTTCGAGGGTCACAAAGTCTTTAACAGGACTCTGCCTCATCTGAGCCGCTTTTACTCCAGCATAAGGCTTTCTCTGTTAAAGTCACAAATCTCTGGTGCATCCACAAGCTCCTCTGTGAGCCGCACGGGGGGTCTCTTCACCCCAACAAACTTCTACAGGTGGCAGGGTTTTATTTTTCAGTCTTTACCCTGCTGAAGGGAGGGAGAGCGGAAGGGAGAAAAAGCAGTTTTCCCCCCTTCGAACTTTTCTTTTCTCTCCTGCGACTGCAGCTTTGACCTTGGAAGTCTTGTTATCTCATGGCTGGAATTCTTCTGCAGCGGTTTCTCGTCTAAGCAGTTCGTCTTTTAAACCTTTTTTTTTTTTCTTCACTCTCTCACAAGAGAGAAGGGAGGCTTCAGTACTGCACCTGCCCCCCTCCCCGGCCCAAGCCGGGGGAGGAGGGGGCCTTGGCCCTCCTCGGGCCCACCGCGTCTCTCCTACATGGCTGCTGCTCTTAATTTCAACTGCGACACAACCTTCTCTTCCGTTTTCTTAAAGATGTAATTAGCAAAGGCGTTACTGAACTTTTTGATTGGTTTTTTGTCCAGAAATCACCTGGACAAAACCATCCTCAGCCCCAGGGATGGGCTGATGGGCAAAACCACGACAACATGTTATAGAAACTTATCTCTCTTTATCATTAAACAATCCAACAGCACAGAAAGAGCTGACTTCTAAACTAAAATAAAAAAGGAAGAATTAGAATATAAAAACCCTGAACAGGAAAACACCCTCAAGCTACACAAACCAGGCAGGTCAAACTTGTTCTCATCTTGTGATGAGGTCAAGTTAATCAGCCACATGTGGCTTGATAGCTTATTTTGTAAATTGCTTCAGCAAAACCAAATCAATGTTTGCTAGCAAGCCTCAGAGCTCTGCTTCTGATTAGAACAGTGCTGTGTATCCAGGAAGGAACAATTAGAAATATAGTCATCTAACCATCAGTACTCTCTATGGTAACGAGCCAAACCTTATTTTGCTCCAGCTATAATTAATATCCCAACTAAGTTTCAAAGCCCAGAGCAAAGAGCACCTCCAGGCCACAGCCCTCTTGATGAATATTGTTCCATGTTTCATGTGCACCCTCAGTCCAGCAGCTGAAACACATCCTTCTGTTCACATAACCCTTCTGGAGTAATCACTGGCAGGACCACAGCAGGACACATTTTCAACGGAGCCATGACATTTACTACAACTGAAAGTCTGCCCTAGTATCTTAGGATGTGTTAAACATCTAAGAAAGCTGTTCACTCAAAAATGAGCTCCACACTGAAGCTCGTCCTTGGATGGCAGGCTGGGGTTGAATTGTATTGGAACAGTGGGTTTTGTCTTTCACGATTTGCTATAAGGTCTCAGCTTGCATTAAGATAAAGAAACAATAAGAGAAACGTGCTCAGGGGTGCTAATTGTGCTGACCCTCAAAATTGCACATTAAGATTTTTAATATAATCACACCATGAAGAGGAGAAGGGATATGAAATAGGTGAGATTAGGTAACAGCACTCCTCAAATGGCACAGCTCCACTGCAGAGCAGGACAAGGATGACCCAGCACTGCCTAAAATGTCTACAGAAACGAAAGTTGGAAGTGAGACTTAGCTTTCCCATCTGAATTCCAGTTCTGAGTAAACCATCCACACTGCCAGCAAGCAGAGAATCACAGAATATGGTGAGCTAGAAGGAACCCACAAGGATCATGGAGCCCAACTCCCAGCACCGCACAGGACCATACACAAGAGTCACACCACGTGTCCAAGAGAATTGCACTAGAGACTTCAGACAGAAGCACCAGATTTCTGCACTGACTGAATCATGGGACTTGCAATAAGGGCTTTTTTTGTAGACCTTTTTGGGGAGGGATTTTTTGGAGGTTTTTTTAAAGCTTTTTAAATCTCATTTCTATAAAGCTATGTAATACAAACATTACCTGGAAGAAATCTCACAAACCGTGGCATGAAGTGATACCTGGGACAGGAAACAGAATCATTTTCAAGTGAAGGACCTTAAATATGAAAAAAATACAGAAAATTTATGAACAGTAACATATTTGCCAAAGAAGAAAAACAACAACTTTGTTGCAAATGAAATCAGTGAATTACATTTGATAGGGCCTAAGTTGCAATTTGAAATGTAACAAATGCACAGCAGAGAGGAACAGAGACAACTTGTAGTGAAAGCTTTCACATAGATAATTTAAAAGAAATCTACAATAATTTCAAGATAAAAAGAACCTAACAAAACCCCCAGTACTTTTATGTAAGACACTAACACAAAAAGATTGGTTCACATAATCAATTAATTATTTCACTTAAGCCTTACAGATAGAAGCACTGGTTTATTAGCTCCTCCCAATTAGCAGCGCGTTTTTTGTTTATAATAACAAAGATATCAAGGAAATTTCCATGGTACTATTTTGTACTATTTCCTATTCATCATATAAAGCTTTACATAAAAATAAAAACTAAACCAGTAAATACCTAGTGTTGAAAAAGAAAGAACAATCAGAAGCAGTGATATGAAAGACAACAATATATTTAGCATCACGCCAAAGACTACACAAAATGTATTAAACCTGAATGTTCCTCTGCTTAACTGCAGTGAGTGCACAGTGCATCTCCACAAAGTTAAGACACCAAGACCTACAGATACTGAAATATAATTCATTTTTCTTTAAGACCATGGGAAGTATCATCCATGAAATTCTCTTTTTTTGCAGTCTTCATAGAAACAAGTATTTTCACCTCGTCAAGTCAAAAACTTTCAGTTCTAATGATACGTTATCCTTGCACAACTGTCTGTATGACACTGCTTTGTAAGTTGACTGTAGAGGAATACTGTATGAGTAACTTGTTTGTTAGCTCATAAAAAAAAGAGAATAGTTGACTTGACACTTTGGCTTTCAAAATACCATGCCTATGATACTCTGAAATATTAAATGTACAGTAGTATTTATTGTTTGATTAAAAAGAACAGTTTTGGATTAAAGCAGACATTTAGTTTATCTGTGAGAATAAAGAGCCAATTTTGTGCATTTTCATTGCTAAAGAGTTCACACTACTGAACTCTAATATATTTCATCTTCTTGAAGAATAAAGTGTTTGTTCCTCTCACATAAAACTGCATTTACATTGCTATTTTGAGGATCCTTTCAAAGGCAAAGTTACCTTTAAGATTCCAGTCATACAGCTCCAAAATATCTTTGAATAGATATGAAGAGAACAGCTCAAGACCTCTCACACAAAAATTCTGGAAAAACAAAGAAATAAACCAAAATTATAATTATGTAATACTGTAATACAAATAATACCACTGAAAACCAAAGAAATAAACCAAAATTACAGTTATATAATACTGTAATACAAATAATGCCACTCATGTATAATTAAAGCACTAAAATCCTTTCCACCTGAGCAAGCTAAGCAGATGACGTATTTCCAAGAAGTATCTTTTTCATAATTCACTTTTTCCTAAATACTCATATTAAAAGTTTATAAATCACTATCTGTGGTATCATTTTCACTTACACGGCAATGTATCGGTGCAACACAAATTGAGGATTATGATCTCAACAGCCAATAGAAGAGGAGGAAAAAAGACCAAAGGGGGAAAAAAAAAAAAAAAGATTCTTTTCATCAAGTGGGGAAGTGGCTAGTCCAACGAAGGAACTTATAAACCTTCCTGAACAAACAAAGTGAGGCCAGGTCGATATAAATTAGGCATACATAATATCAGCCACAAATTTCAAACCCAACACCACAGCCTCTCTCACAAGAAATCATTAGTACAGATGGTCTGCAAATAACACTGCAGCTATTTGACCAGAAGCCCCCGAAATGGTCACTTCCCTATTTCGCTTAGTGGCCATTTGTTGTTTCAGATCAAGATTTGCAAACAACACGGTAGATTCCCTAACAAGAAATGAATTGCTTTGATCACATTATTCTTTCTGAGGAATTTCAGGGCTGTTGCATATATTTAGATGCTGCTGAGCAACAAAAAAAGAGATAACTAGAAAGAAAAATGTAAATATATGTGACTAAATTAAACACTGATCCTATCTTTGTAGTTAATATGCAGGGGTGTTTCTGTACCTACACACGCTGTTCCACTGCAGCAATTTACTTCACAAACTGGCTTCACCAGGGATTAGTTTGTGATAAAAAAACCCGCCACAAACAGATTATGAACTGAATGTGTTTTGTTTGTATCCACAGGAAATTTGTTTTGGCAACAGCTTATATTAAGAACTGATAAGCAATCTTCAGAGCTTCAAACTTACGATTAAGTTTCAGCTCTGCCACTGACTTATGTGGTCCTGGCAAACAGATATCTCCACATATGCCTTATTTTTGTCATCCATAAGAGAAGGGTAATGCCTACCTCAGCTTACAAATAAAAGCATCTGACATATATATTGCATGTAACTTAAAAAGAAACAAACCTATGGATAAAAGCACTTCTTACTATTTGATTTTGATATATGATAGCCAACATAGATGGATTTACTCTAGTACCTGTGAGTCCAAGTTCCTCTTCAGCCATTAATTCAGAACTCAACCAGTCTCTTAGAGACTTCACAAGATGCGCTACTGAAGAGTTTAATCCATTAAGCACATCAACAACTCTTAACACACTCTGACTTTTAGACTAATTATCCTTCTTACCTCAGGCATCATCTCCTCAATAAAATGAATTGTATAGTCAATGTTAAATCTGATTACTTTACACAGAGGAATCTGGAAGGAAAACAGAAATTCAGCATGAAAAACTGTACAGCATCAAATGTATAGTTAATACAATATCATATGCAAAGGCATTACTGTCTACTGAAAATGGCACTTACTAAAACATCTGCTCTGGGGTATTGTGCAAAGCGACAGGGACACAAGCATGCGCAAAGGAAGCACCAGTTCTAACCTCCACCTCGGTAATAACACAATGCCGATAGGAGGGACGGTAAAGGAAGGTTAAATATTGCCATCTACTGGACAAGAAATTTTCTTCAGAAGAAAAAGTAAACCCGTAAACCTCAGTAAGCCTGCATCTTCTCTCTTGTATAGTTGGAAGTGAATTTGTTGTTGGTGATGCAACATGTCAGATTGATACGCTGGTCTGAAAGCAAGGTGTTTTTAGCACACTGCCAATTCTGTTAGCTATACTGTCTTAAAATGTGGTTTTCAGTCAAGGCAACATCACGTAAGAACTTCAGGATAAGCTCAGAGGTTTATACTAGTTTCATCCAACAAATAGTCAGAGAAGTTCATTCAACTAACTAGCAAGACAAACATCTAATTCCTTTTTTTTCAGCTTTGAAGAAGGTTTTTTTGTTTGCGGTCCATAGAATCCTGAAGGCATGTAATTTTTTTTCAAATGGGATTTTCAGAGAAAAAAAAGCTAAATTTCTAAAAGACTACAAAAATGCCTAATTCTCCCCTACACACGGGAGCTGTACACAGCTGTACTCCCCTACACAGCTCCTCTGCAGCTCTTAGCAAATTTTACTATTCACAAGCCTCAAAAGCACAAAAGAATCTTAGAACAATTCAGTGGCCTGTGAAAGTGAAGCAACCCAAGATTATTTTACATTGATAAGCACATAAAAAATATCTGAACAGTGCTGGGTTTACGTTGAAATTATGTACATAGCAGAGGTGCAATATTCTGCTTGCATCTTCTTACAGCCCACTGTCAAACGTTTGACTCTGTTGTTTACAAAAATCTCTTAGTATCTGCATGATAAATTAGGATGCTACACCAAACAAACAAAAATTGCATTTCTTAGAATCTGATACAATATTAAATATGAATATAAAAATAAAAAAACCTCGGAAGTTAAATACACTATTTAGAACCTGAGCAGATGAAAACCTGCCACACTTAAATCACTGGGGCTTTAAAAAAAATACAGGGATTGTTCATTTACTTCCTAAAATGTAATTTCAACTAGGAGTTGAAAACTTCAGAGAAGTGACCATGACTAAGATCTCAATGAATTAGAGTTCCAAGCAAACATATAGCAAAGGAATAAGTGGTTGGTCGTGTAAAATTGGTTTGGTATTTATACTAAGAAAATTTTAATTTCTCTTATGACTGTACTAACCATTTTCCCTAATACTTGAGTTGCTCAATTATTACTCAGTAATAACAGTACTAAGACTTACAATAGACTTCACACTACAGAAGTTTGGTTCACGCAAAGATGTTGGTATTCAGATCTCGATTTTTGCTACCCTTTCCTAGCTCCTTTTGATCAAATACGTTCCAAAATGTCCCTCAAACAGCAGGTTTTAAGTTGCTGAAAATCCTCTCATGGCAGCAAGAAATTCCTTCCAAAGGGCTTTATATCTGTTAGTAACAGGAATTGACACCAGAGTGTTGCTTTTTGTTCAATTCTGTAAAAAAGTAATCATTTGCAGCTAATCACTTCCCCTATTTGGAATGAGAAAATACACATATGCACTTTATAGTAAGAGTAAGCTCAGTATCTTCACTAACTTCTCATATCAGACAAGAAGTGTTTTCCTTGTTCTCTGTATATTAAAGATTTCCATAACTCTCTGCCTTCCTGTGACGCAGTAGACACAAACATTGTAAATATAAGGTGGCCTCTTTATTGTTTTGATTTGAGCAAACCAAAACCGCTCGTTTTAGCTCATCTGCAAAGTGAAAATGTAAAGTCTTGAGACAAATCTGCCTAGAATCCCAATACTGTCATTACGGTGTTAATATTGCCGGGCAGCAGTGCTTCACACTGCCATGCCAGAGGCTGAACTCCACTATCTCCCTGACTTCTTGTCAACAATAGTCCCTTCCCCTGCCCACCAAAAGTAAAGTGTTATCATACACATTATGAAAGCAAACTGTTGGGGAGAAGGTAATTTCTTCTTAGTGCTGACAGTTCCAGTATCCTTATATCCCAGTCCCGTATTGTTGCATCCCAGTCATGTATTGATAACCATTGTTATACTAGGTTTTGGTACTGGTGGTGTAGCTAGTAATTGGTGTAAAAAACATGGAAACCAGTACACACTGATTTTTTGAGAAAACCCTGAAATAATCAATATATCAAAAAAGTGTACAGAAATGTGGTATTTGCATATTTTCTGTTCAGATTTGGCTAACTTAGCTTATATTAGAAAAGCAGGGCAGTCAGGTACCAGTCATGTCCTTTTCTTGTGATACTTGCTTTCAAAACATAAAATTTAATGCCTGTAAATACCTACAGTTTTACTAAAAATCATAATTTGCTGACTTCCTGAAGAAGCTGAACAGCAGTTAGAAAGTATTGGATACATCTAGGTAAGTTTTAAGAAGAGAGAAGATCCTTTAGATTTGATCTCTGAAAAAGTTCATTTTCAAAAGGGAAAACTTCTGCTGTGCTGTCACTAGTTTTTCAAACTTCAACAACTTAACAAACCTACTCATCCAGTTTAAATCCAATTAGCAGTTTTAACAAGTTATTCCATGGTTTAATTCACTTCCAAACTGTGAAACACATAAAAACATTACTTTGATGCACATCACAGCCTCACTCACAGTTTGAAGATGCTGCTTACCACAATTAGTTAAGACAAAACCTGAGACTCATTAGCAGAAATGTCTTTCCCCTGTCCACATTGATGGCAAGATGTTTGTAACATACATGTACTGTTGTTTTGGAGAAATTTTGCTTCAGGGCAGAAATAGCATACCTTCTAAACAAACCCCAAGACGTAGCAATGAACGTACTTACGTTTGTTAGTGGTGCATGTGCAAACATTGAGAACCCTTCAAAGATATATTCATGGTCATCATACTCAATAACAGTAGGTCTGTCTGTCTTAAAAAAGCAAACAAAACCACCACAGAGTAAGCATGAAGCAGTACTACTTTCGTCAGTGAAAACAAAATCAGAGTCCTACTTAGAATTATTTATGAAGTACTTACTAAGAAGTTTGTGGGAGGTGACACAGTAATTCGGTAGTGGTATAGTCTTCCAGCATTATTGGTCATGGGGCGACACGGTTTAATGGGCTTAAAGAAAGAGATAAGTAGAACTATATGTAGAGTCAAGGCAAATTTAGATTAAAAGAGAGAATAAAGCATTTCTAATAGCCATGAAATATGAATTAGGAAAAATTAAATAAAAGCAGGTAGTCATAATTAAGCATTCTGGGAAGAGGGAAAGTGTGGCCTTATCTACACTTTCACTTTCAGAAATATTTTTGATGCTACTCAAAAGTAAAAAAAGGTGAAAAACATTGCTGTATTTTTTTCATTTTCCATTTGACTCTCCTATCTTTCTTACACACCGCAGTTAGTTGTTCACACATCAGGTTGATTTCCTCTTCTGTAGAAATTTGTTTCAGGAAATGTATTTTTAAAAGTTTACAGAGGAACCTGGACCTCACATGGTAAGGTCTCAAGGTACAGTATCAAAACATACAGAGATCAGCTGATGTGCTTGAGGTAAATCTGAGACCTGAAGAGAGGGGACTACTTTATCACCACAGAGGCAGCTCTGGTAACCCCACTCTGTTTCCCAGGTTGTATTGCCTGACTATAAGGTACAAAGGTAGCCAGCTCTCCATGCACTCTGGTGCAACACCAGACACTTGGGATTCATATTTCCTTACTTCTTCTTCTGAAGTTCTGTGTAAAGACCTAAAACTCCTCAACAGTCAGAAAAAAAACATTTTTCATATGCCCTACATCCGTATTATTGCAGTTCAGAGACTGCAACCAGCCTGTTCAGAATACATCTGTCTGCATAGGGAAAAAAAAATAAAACCACTGCAGTGAGAAGGGTACTACTACTCTAAACAATGCTACAAAAGTTAGCCTGATGGCAATGGCAAGACAGCTACACTACAGGTTGCTCTGGACACTTGACAAAACCCATCCAGTAAGTGGGGTGATTACACAGGCTGTTCAACCCCAAAATAAGCTTCTCACTGCTGCAACACAACAGTTACACGCCAGCTAGTTTAAAGCTAGTAAGTTTCGTCTGCAGGACAATGTAAAAATTTCTGAAACCTCGGATTTCCAGATGGCCTTGCTCCAGGGAGCAGCTGCCTTCATACAATAAGTTTTATTTATTTATATATTTATTTATATATATATTTATTTATACTTTTTTTTTTCTCCTCCCAAATTTTATCGCTCCTTCTTCTCCGGAAGAAAAACACTAGAGATAGTGTGTTGAGGAATTGATCACTGAACTAAAGTGATTTCTAGTAAGCTTCAGACCAAAGCCATTTTTCCAAACTCAATAAATGCACAGAAACATGCATAACTCCTCTAGCTGCAGAGAAATAAAAGACTGTTTCAGTAAATGTATGTAAGAAGGCCTACTGAAAAATAAATTCTTCAAGAAAAAGTACAACGATAAACGGTAAAACCTATATGCTAAGGCAAGAATACCTCCTGACAATCTTTGTGCTCCTTTCAACAGCAGAATTACTATTCAGTTTTCCTTTTAAAATAATCATTCTACAAAGCAGGCCCTTCACAACATACTCATACACCTTAAGATAGTAGAACTTAAATCACATATATAATGGCCAGTCTTCGCGAGCGAAGATCCGGGGAAGGCTTTCCACCTTCCAGCCTGCGCATTGGATTTTTTAGGTGAGACACAGTGTGCGCGGAACTGAGCCCACCCTTTAATCCTAAGGTTCATCTGCCGGGGCCAAGCGAGCTTGGACGGTGACAGTGAGGTCCTCAGGACGTAGGTGGGTTGCCTTTAAGGGCTAACGAGCCCCACCTGCCCGGGAGTGGCCCTGACCGCAAGATCTTTTCTATTAAGCAAGCAATTGTGTTTCAGAAACTTAAACTCCAAACAAACATAGAACTAGACAAACACAGGTGAAAGTTTTCCATAGTTTTCAGGTGGATTTAATTACTAGTATTGCATTTTAAATATGAGGTTACACAACTAAGCGATTTACAGTTGAACAGGAATTTTTTACTTAGCCTGTAAATCATGGAGAAAAAACTCAAATCAACCCAAGTAGGAATTTACAGCAGCAAGTTTGTATTCATAACTGCAATTCTTAGAATTACTAATACCTCTTCGCCAGGATAAATGCCATGTCTTATTCCCGTTCGTCGAGCTTTAGCACTGCACTTGCACAGAGGTCCATCATTCATCTGTCAAAAACAAAATAGGATTCTGTTTTCTTGGAAGTGGTTTTGGAAAAGTATGTTGGTTTTAATGCCCAAAGTGCTGATGCTTCTAAAAGCCTGTCATGCTTAGATTAAGTGGATGTTCTTAAGCCAATAAAACCGAAAACAGTATAGACTAATGTAAGAGAACTGCACAATAGCATTAGAACTTTATCACTGTTTCAGAAGCACAAGATGGAAACCAACACTCTCAGCAGAATTCTACCTCTCTGCTATCATATACATCTTTTCCATTTCCTATACATACAAACAGCACACTGCCTGTCTAAAATAAAATTCAGGTCCCAAAAATGCATGCGTCAATATTTACATGCTGAAATATCAACACTGAAACAGTTCCACTAAACTCAAACTGAAAATCCATCTCCAATGAACCTCTCTGCCACGGGACAAGATAGACCATTTGAGTCTTTAACTTGGTACTTTAAAGAACTAATGGGAACACTTCAAATTCAATCTGTGAACAGATCAGTAAAAAAAGAGAGAAAAATACCACTTTAGTATTCTGTACAGGTGCATCAAGTAGCTATACTAAAAAGGGCCAATGCACACATTATAAAGCTAGTGTCTTTCTTTTAACTTTTATGACCAAGATCAATGCAGACTATCAATTACTGCAACACCCTAAAGTTTTCTGCTCTTAACATTATGCTTGTTGCAGAAATACAACAAAAGATGCCCAGAACCAAACAAGAGGAACAAATTAAGTTTCCGGTCCCAGGTATTAATCAAAGTTTGAATCTAAGAACTTGTACCTTTCTTCGACTTAAGAAAAAAAAGCCAATAACCTTGCAATGCAATACAAAAACCAGCAGAACTTTTCATGCTTTTACAAGCAGTCTGAAAAAATAAACAGCACCCATGGTAGGGCTAAATAACATCATCACACAATAGATATCATGTGAAGACACCACAGGAAGCAAGACCAAACTGTTGTTAATGTTAGTTTTAGGTAGTTGGGATAGCAATCGAACTTTTTAGTTCTGATATTAATTTTCTGAATGTCCACCTCAGTTTAGTTTCTTAAGACTGGTACGTACAAAGAAACGTAAGAAGCAGGATACTTCTCTACTTCTTGGATAACTTAAGTCACACAGTCTTAACAATGGAGTGACACGAGAGCTTATTGTTCACACTTTCTTTCCCCCGCACTCTGAGGCCCTTGAGGAGAGTACAGGCTCAAAGAAAGTGAAGCATGCTTACAAGTAAAAGCATACTTCCTCACTGTCTTAGCCACAAAAGAGAAGAGTTAAAAATGCAGTCAACAGCTAAGTGCTCATCTATCCTCCAACTAAGGGCCTACAGAGGCTATTTAAATAATCATCACTTATTTTCAAAAACCTCATCCTTAATTCTTAGAATTGTTCAGCACTAATACTGCCTCTGTTACATTAAATGCACAGACCAAACTTGAAAAGCAAGTCAGATACATATCTACCTTGTCGCTCATGACCACTGCTCATGGAAAAAAACACAGAGGATCAATCAGGAAGCAATGATGAAAATGATGGTGAAAGATCACAAATTTACCCAGGTAATGCCTTCTAACTTTCTCTGACCAACAGGGCAGTAAAAACAATCAGGTAACACTTGTAAGGCAAAGACCACTATGGTGGCATTGGATTTAACAATTTATTTTCTGGCAACTGTCAGCACTGTTGGAGATTATCCAAAATGACAAACAAACTTCTCAGATTGAAGGGTTGGGAAGATGCATCCTACATATCTAGTTCCGTGCCAGACAGTGTACTTGTACAAATCAGCGCATTCTTGTTTTATTTTGCCATAGCTTGAAAGCATTTTGGCATAAATCTATGCCAAATAAATATCTATGCAAACTTCAAATATTTTCAAGTAAAATCTATTCAGAAGTAATACAGTACTGAGAAGCTCACCGTGATCTGATTTCAGCCCTTTCAAGAAAGATGAAGAGGTAATCTCAAGAAAGTTTCTGGGAAAGAGTTTTTGAGCAGGAAACTCATATACTAAACATTCCTGAATCTATTCATTCTACAGTTAGTCCACTTTTTTTTTAGCTAATATTCTCCATAGAACATTAACTTTGAAGTGTGCCCAAGAGCTACGCAATTTTTATAGTTAAATATCTAAACAGTTCGCTAATTCTGTTTTCCATACAAATAAAATCAGCTAGCTACGCTCAATCAATTTTTTTTTTAAACTAGAAGCATAAATACAAATCTGTAATAGAATATTCAACAGACCTCTGAATTACCACAGTGACAATATGCATTGCGGTATCTCTTCACATTATGATTTGTTGCATGCTAAACTCATGCATCACACAAAGTGCCAGAAAAATAAATTTACTGAGATGCCACTTGACAGTAAGAGAATAGACTGTAAAATAGTTAAGTAAGAAAGATGAAGATGGTGAATTTGCAAACAAAAGCTAGTCTTCTGTGCAGTGTTCAAAACAACACTTCATGAGTTCAGCAATTACATTTAATGAGAACTACAATCTCCATGCAATTACAAAAGAACCACTACAAAAGAAATTAGAAGCATTAACTGCATATTTAAAACATTATTTATCATTACGAGCTGAGAGCTTTTAGGTGAAAAATTTGTAAAGGACACAAACATGTCACCTTTTCTCCATCACAGAATTTATTTGTGTACCTTTATCTCAAGGCTAAGAGGACAACATTAGCAATTCAGGTTTTATTAATGCTGTCAGACATGATTCCAACTGAATAATCCCCATGATTAATTAGCTGGAACCATACTCTTGAAATCAAAAGTGAAGAGCTTTGAAGAAGATGAAAGAGAAAAGGGGGTAAAGAAAGCATTTTGAAATAGATGTCACCTGGCATGTTTGACAACAAGGCAGAATTTTCAGTCTGTGGGGAGAATGACTTTTGGACACACAGCGCTTTTTCCTCTCCCCGTACCTGCCCTGGATCATTGTACCACAGTTCTTCATGGAGACGATCAGGGTGTGCTTTTTTACGCTTAATTTCTGCGATGACGTCAATAACATCTGAATCTGAACTGCTAGAGCAGCTGCTGTCATCTTCAGAGTCACACTCTGACTCACTGGAGCTCTCTGGTTCACAAAGAAGAAATAAAGGCAGCTGAAAAACACACATGCTCTCTTTCTCTGCAGCAATGCACTCTCTAACATGACATATCTAACTGTGGCATACCCAAAGTTAAAGTTATGCATGACACTCGCACTAAGATGGGCAGTAACTGCATTTTTAATTAAAAATGACAGCAAATGCTATAGATATTAAACACCTATAACAAGAGAACCTGTTTGCACACATGAGAGAATGCTGTTTGGCTGCCCAGGAGCACCACTGATCAGTTACAGAAAACTAATCTCAGTTACTTGATGTTGAAGATCTATAACCAACAGAAGTATTACTGTAAAGTTAAAAAAAGCACATATTAAAAAAAAAAAAAAAGAGAAAGAAAAAAGAGAAACACACACAAGGTCACTAGCGCAAGCTAAGCAGAACCTCTTGTTTAGAAGTTAATTCTTCTTGCTATGAGCAAAATGCTTATGCCTAGTTTCATTTTACCTAAAAATGGTCCTGCCTGTAGCAGGATACTATTTAAGCATTTTTGAAACAACATGTATGTATAGAATTATTATAGAACATGTACTGTCAGACTCATTTTCAAAATCAATTCTAATAAATCCATTAACACATATTAGAAATCACAGGCAAGAAGAAAACCTGGAACTACTAGTTGAGTGAATGCAGTCTTAAGTTTCATGAAAGTCCTGTTCTGTGAGGTTTGTGTTTTTTTCTTTTTTTTTTTTTTTAAAGACATTTTTCTTTTTACTAACTAAAACAATAAAACAATTTTTCTGGTGTATTAAAAGGGACAACAATGCTAAAGAAAAAGAAAGAAGATGTTTTCACAGAACCTCCTACATTGGAAGGGAACAACAAGGATCCTTGAGTCCAGCTCCTGGACCCGCACACAGTAACCCCAAGAATCACATGTGCCTGACAACATTGTCCAAACACTTCTTGAACTCTGACAGGTTTGGTGCTTAGACCATCTCTTCTGTGGTGTTGTCAAAGTAATTTTAATAAGTGTCTGGACTTGATATCAGAAAAAGCACACACAGAAAACCCCCAGAGCTTGATCTCACATATCTCTAATCTCCTGTGGTACTTTCTTATGCATGTAATTTTAGTCACTCATTTCCACAGATCTCCTCAGCTTCAATTTAAATAAATGCTTTCATAGCCAACATACATATCAGGATGCAAGAAAGGTTTATTATTCTTGCAATAAAACACAACATTTCTTCCATTTCTAAGTTTTGACTTAGGAAAAAATACATTACTATACTTAGTGCTCTGAAATACTGTGAAACTATGGTTTAAAATACACGTACTTACTGAAAACAAGACCCTCCTTAGTTAAAAGAAAAAGGAAAGAGAAAAAATGAGAGAATATCACTAGTAAAATATTTCCCTTTTTTCTTTTTAAAGATGTATTTTTACACAGTTCATAATTTGGCACAAAGTGTTATTAAAATACATCCTTGGAATGTATGGTCATATATGCTCAACTGAAATTGAGTTTTCTCTAAATGCATGTATCACTACAAATATTCACAAAGACATAAATTTTAAACATTCTCTGATACACAAGTGGTTATTGTTTAGGTTTCATTTCAGGTGCAAAACGAGCACAAGGACCCATGAGACTAAGCTGGAGTTCTGAAAGGCCAACCCAGAACTTCTGGATTTCACATACTTAAATTACAGAGTCATAGAATGATTTGGGTTGAAAGGGATCTTAAAGACCACCTAGTTCCAACCCCTCTGCCACGGGCAGGGACACTTTCCACTAGATCAGCGTGCTCAATGCCCCACCCAAGCTGGCCTTGAACACTGCCAGGGATGGACCATTCCACAATTTCTCTGGACAGCCTGTTCCTGAGCCTCACCACCCTCACAGTAAAGAATTTCTTCCATAATCAGCCTTTCATGATCAAAAATTGTTCCTGGAGTGCATTGCTATCTCACTATAATGAACAATTACTGCTAACATGAGGCAGAACAGAGACAGCATTTACTGAAGTACTAAATAAGACAAACTACTAGACATTATAGAAGCATGGCTGCAGGAGAAGCTGGCTCAGACACCAAGTCATCCCAGAGGACCAGTTAAGACAGAGCTTTCAGGTCCTCCAGAACGACTGGAAATAGAAACACAGAGAAATTGCTCTTGGCCCAATCATATTTTAGCCTGGAGCAGCAGACTTTCCTCCTGCAGAGATCTGAGAAAGTGAGAGCTTTACACAGGTATGTTGAAGGTAGCAATTTTGTCCTTGATTCATCCACATGAAAAAACACCTCCTAAAACCCCCTACAGTTAACTTTGTCTGTGATTCTTGAATTAATTCAAATATATGCAAATTTTCTGTTCAAAAAATGTTAAAAAATTTTTTCCTTTACAAACATGAATTCATATTTTATTTCATCGGTGTTTATTTTTTCTCATCTTGACTCTATCCTTTTATACCATCAGCATGTAATCAACTACACCATTATGTCTGTATTTCAACTTTAAGAATTACATACAAAAAATTCTGAGTTACTAAGCTGAGATATGAGAGTCTGAAGCAGCTCATCTGGCAAACACAAAGCATCAGTTAAGAAGCAAGCCCAACAGAGTATCCAAATTACTGTGCCTACTAATTTCCTGAACTAAAGCAACTGACTAAAAGCACACTATGAAACACTGAAATGTTGGAACAATGAAAGGAACAGCTAACAGTTCTCACAAAACTAAATAAGAAAAATATCTTTCACTGACTTCTGAGTAGACAAATTGCTATAAAAATCTATGCCCTGCTAATTCAACCCTATTTCCCCAATAAGTGATGCTGCTAGCAGATGTATTTCACTGGAAGAAGGCCCATATGGGTGGTATTTGACAAGGAAGATAAAGCATGTTATGTAAACAGATGCGTAAGTCTGATCATAGTAAGCAGAGCTGCATAACAAAAATACAATCCAGAAGAAAAACTTGGTGACATAAGAAGCAGACCTATGAGTTTATCATCACTACTTTTTCTTACTTTTTAGAAATATAAGACCAGGAGCTTCTCAAAGTCTCTCATGTACCATTCTCTGGACTATCTGATCACGCTCAGGTGCTTTTATGCCATGGAAGAAACTAGCATACAGTAGTGCTGGATACTTTCCATTTTCCCCTAGGCTTTCTGGGTAAAGAATCTAGCTCTACTTCAGTCAAAAGCTGGAGTAAAACTCCCATGGATATGCTACACAAAGAAGAGATTTTAAAAACATAGATTAACCTACCAACATTATTAAATACACACAACTACCCAAACAGGTTAACTAGAGATTACTCCATTACTCCTGAGCTTTGTCATCATTTCAGCCTACCTAAATCTTCATCCAGCTTAGTCTTTGGTGGCTCCCATGGTGGTCTGGCTGCTTTGGCCTTTGCCTGTCGCTTTCCTAACTCCTCATCAAATTTTTCATACAGATCTCGGAGCTTGCTTGTTCCTACCACAGTAGAGTCCCCCTGTCAATAAAAAAATCAGAACAACAACAAAATAAAACAATACAGTGTTAAAATAGCACACAAACACAACAGGTACCAGCACTTCTGAAGAAAAAGCAAGAGGGGGGGAAGACAGATCTATGTAATTCAATGAAATGTGGAAATACCTATTAAGGTTTTAGCATACCATTAACATTGCTTCACCAGGTGAACTAGCAGGGAAATTACCTCCTTTGCTAGTTTAACGTTTCTCCAAGGTTGTGGGAATATATGGTGCTTGAGGTATCTTTGCTCAAATACAGGTATAATGGGAAAAAAAAATCTTTCCCTCCTGAAAACAAAAAAAAAGTAGCCCTGTTCCATGTACCACTATTCTGAATGCTAACAGAGAAAAGAAACTGATGAAAATAGAGAATAGCACCAACATATAAAGCCCCTAACATGGTTAAAAGACTGAGATGATTGGGGAGAGAGAAGAATTAAATGAGACAAAACATGATCCTGCTGAAGGGTTCATGTTAGTCAGGTAATCAAATAATCAATAACAGACTGTGTACAGTAATTTTAAAATTCTCACAAACATACCACTTGATCCATGGGGTCATTGGAATAATAGTTTTCAGAATGGGTACAGCGAACCCAGACTGGCTTAAGTAATTCCTCATCTTCCTCTTCATTTTTTTCAGATGCATTCTCCTCTGATTCTTTGTCTTTGACAGCAGTATAACTTTTCTCTTTGCTGGAGCTCTGGTTCTCAGACCACCTTTCTCTGTCCTCCTCCCATCGGGGTCTCTTTCTCTCTCTGCTTGGAGATCGGCTTAGTGGGAGAAAGCAAACCAAAGCAATTCTCTTTATTAATTTAACACTGACAGTTTTATAATGAAAAATAGTTTGCTTCAGATCAGTACATCATTCTATCATATAAATTTCAGCAAAATCCAGTTGCCTCTCCTGCTTTTAACTTGCACCATATAAAGTAGAAGAGCACTTTGTAGTTCTGATGTACTATAAAAATGACTTAAAACTGGAAGTGTTTTTTTATTTTAAATCTTACTCAAGCATAATGTATAATAATAGTAATATATATAAAATATATATGCTATCTTAGATTAAAATTCTTACTAGCATTCTAGGTGAATTTATTTTAATTTTGTTCCAAAGTTAGAAACTCATCAGTAAAAACTAAAACTCACATCACTAACAACTAAAAGTTACAGTAAGAAGTTTTAATATGTAGCCCATGAAATATTTTCATGACAAAAGACTTAGGGTTTTATTAGGAGGATTATACAGAAGCTACGCTGCTGTTACTAACACTGACATCCCTGTGAACAACACAATTTCTCACAGTCCTTATCTATTGCAAGAGTAATGTTTTCAAAAGATGAATTAGGAGAAATACCTACTTTTTTTTTCATCTCCTTTACCTACAAAACCAATAATGTTGCACTGATTTCGGATATCCAGCATTCAGAAGGAGCACCAATATAAGAAAAGCCTCTAAAAGACAATCTAAAAATAGAATGACTTTAAATGATTTTGGTACTTTACAGACTGGAAGGAGATGTAAGAAGAAGTCTTTAGGACACAGCAGAGAAATTCTCTCTCCAGAGATAAATCGTGTTTCTAACTACAATGTTGTGAGATAGCTGATATTTGCATATATAAGTAGATGGCTACAAATTCAAGAAACTCAGGTTTTCTGAGTTTTCAAACCAGGCACATATGCATACACAAAACCTCACGAGTGAATGCACAGAGCCTCAAATATTCAACAGATCATATGCAACCTCCCTTACCTTCCTGCTCTCTTGTAATCTTTTTTGTAGGATCTGTCTGGTGATGGTGATCTTCTGCTGTCACGATGCCTATGCCTCTCCCTCTCCCGCTCCCTTAGAAAGTACAAAAAATAAGTTAAATGAGAAATCTTGAATTTCGTATGTTCCACACCCGAAAGGAGCACAAAACCAGCCTGAGATCATGTTATGCAAAATGATATCCACATGCTGACTGCTAAAACCCAAGATATATTTTTGGGCATCAATATTCTTAATGCTGACATCCAAGAAATTTGCAAAAGACAGTCACTTATCCATCTCCTCTGCCTTTGTCATAAAGTCATCTATCTCAATTCATACCATGCAGAGGCAAATTCTATGAATTCACCACAGGACTTGTCACCATTCTTCCTCTTCTCCAGTTAGGAATGGAAAAGGGTAAGATACTGTATCACTAACTATTCTGAAAGCCTCAAGAAAGGGACCAAAAAACCTATCCCATGCACAACAGCTTTGTAAGCACAGTAGTCATGCAAGTGTTTGAGGTGAGCCCTCTCTTCTTTACAGTCACCTCAAGCACACACAAAAAAACAGACAGATACAGACAATCTGCATGATGCCGAAACTATGACTCTCATCTACAAGTCAGCTTGCACATATGCATAAAGTATTTGATAACACAAACATACTTCTGGGGCAAAAGAGCTTTAAATCAACTGAAAGCTTGAGGAAGAGTGGCTGGAAAGCTGTCCAGTGGAACAGGAGATGTCAGTCACAGCCAGCTGAACGTGAGCCAGCAGTGTGCCCAGGTGGCCAAGAAGGCCAATGGCATCCTGGCTTGTATTACAGGGTGCCCAGCAGGACTGAGGCAGTGACTATCCCCCATACGTGGCACTGGTGATGCCACACCTTGAGTCTCATACCCAGTTTTGGACCTCTCACTACAGGAAAGACATTGAGGAGCTGCAGCATGTTCAGAGCAGGGCAACAGAGCTGGTGAAGGGTCTGGAGCACAAGTCACATGAGGAGTGGCTGAGGGAGCTGGGGTTGTTTAGCTCGAAGAAAAGGAGGCTCAGGAAGGATCTTACTGCTCTCTACAACTACCTCACAGTAGATTGCAGTAAGGTGGGAGTCAGTCTCTTCTCCCAGATAACAAGTGACAGAATAAAAGGAAACAACTTCAAGTTGCAGTAGGGGAGATTTCATCTGGATATTACAAAAAGTTTTCCACTAAAAGGGTTGTTGAGCACTGGAACAGGCTTCCCAGGGAAGTGGTGGTATCACCTGCCCTGAAGGCATTTAAGGAGATGTAGATGTGGCACTTAGCAACACAGTTAAGTGGTGGAGTTGGGAGCCTTAGGTAAAGGGTTGGACTTGATGACCTTAAGGATGTTTTCCAAGCTAAATGATCCTATGAAATTATTGTATACATTAGGTAGGAAAGATCATACAGACAGTTTTCATACTCTACTAATGGTTGACAGCTTGTTAGTCCACCCAACTGTGGATCTATTGTGCGACAGAAAACTTCATGATAAATCCCAGAATAAGCAGTGCACATTCATCCATCTGAATGATGTCAATGCAGCCTACAACTGTACCATTTCCTTTAACAGATTTATAGTAATGTTCACTTCAGTCCTCTCTTGAGATCACATGCCAGCTTGCTGAGGTCTTAACCCTGAACAAAACCACACAGGCAGGTCTTTCCATCAGACCTGAGTACTGGCTATCTCCTGAGCTAGTGGGAGAAACAAGGGTGAGGGAAGAACATTGACGCAAACAAATACTATGGAGCAACAATGACATCTCTCCCCTGCAGGCAGAAAATACCTCCAGTTACCTATTTCGCTCGTAACTTCTGTGATGGGGCGATATCCTTCCTCTGTCATAATCTGCCCGGTGCCGACTGCTCTCCTGCCTCCTCCTATCTGGACTCCGGCCTCGATCCCGACGATCCCCATGGTTAGCAGACCGATGCCTGTCCCCGTGGATGTGACCGTGTTCGCGATGTCGGTGCTCGTCGTAGTGCTTGCTCCTGTCTGGAGACCGCCTATCACTCTGAGGCTTCTCCCCCTGGTACTGACCCGTGTGCCGGAAATGGCTGCTGCCACCACTGCTGCTGGCAGTGCTGCTCTGGAAGGAGCCGGAGTTGTGCTGATAGCTGTTGAAGCTAGGAGGCGGGAACGACTGCTGGGAGTATCCCGTGGAGTACACAGGCTGGTAGTTGACTTGTTGTGGCAGGACTGGTGGGGGAGGAGGGTGCGGTACTGTGGGAGGAGGCATCATGTAAGGAAAGGTGCTTTGTCCAGCAGGAGTTCCTGGCACAGGAGTGTTGCTAGGATTTGGCACTGGTGGCGGAGCGGGAGGGAAACATGGAGGCACTGGGAAGCTCTGCCTCATCTGATGGTTCGGAAATGGTGGCCTCATGGGACACTGGCTAATGGGATTCTGTGTGGAAGGGGGCACTGGAGGAGGATAGGGCACAAAGTCTGGCCTGGGAGGCATGTAACCAGTGGCTGGAGGGTTTGAATAGGTTGTTGGAGGGGCAGTTTGCTGGTCATACTGGTACTGTACAGAGGGCTGCTGTGGGTGAAGCTGCCGTAGGTTCTGAGGGCGGTAGGTCTGTGTTGAAGTTCTTGCTCCTGGTCCCCCCTGACCACGGGGACATCCTCGTCCAGAATGGAAAGACATGGCTCACCTTTAATGAGGAAAATAAAAGTCCAGCATCACACACTGTTTGTAAGATGTTCTTACTGCATTTCCAGGAACTAATCCTAAAATGCTGAAATTATAGTTTCTGTAGTTTCCTTTAAAAGAAGCAGTAAACAATATCCACCGACTTTCATTGGGAGCTTTGTGCTCCTCAGACCTCTAGTACAGGTCATTTATGTCCTTTGATTCCTTTAAGCCTCTGTCCATGAATGCACTCTACTACAAAGCTGAACCATGCTTTCTGACTTAGGGCAATGTTAATTTCAAAAAATTGTTGATATGAGGACTGGTCAAGGATTCAAGTACCTCTACTAGTATTTAGAAACTTTAACATAAAAACCTCAGATACCCCACACCAAAGAAACCACTCATTAATAACTGCAGTTGTCATCCAAAGTTGCATAAAAAGGAGTTCTTTGTAGAACACAATTCTAAACTTTGGGCAGAATGACGTGACTACTAACATTCCATTGCAAGTTACGTGATCCAACAATTCATGTAAATTTTAAAAGAGATAGTAGTAATTTACATTCACAATTGAGTCCCCGATTTACTGAAGGACTGAATTCAACAGACCCTTCAAAAAATGTTAAGTGAGGTAGGTATATTTTTGTGGAATTAGAATCTTACAGATTACGGAAAAAAATTCTGTGTAGACTGTGCTATTCCTTCATTTTCATTGAAATAAATGGTTCCCAAGAAATCCCTCAGCTGCCTTCTTGGCCCTGTTACCTTTCAGCAGTTGCCACTCCTTCAAGTAGGTTTAAGTGTTGCTCAAAGCTATGCACATACTTAAGGCATTGTATTAATGTTTATAAATGAAAACCACTGTGCTTCATCAGTTAAAACTGATTCTTTAATCAAAATGTTAAGTTTCAAAAACTGAAAAAAATGGGGGGAAAAAAACACCTTATAGTTGGAAGAGAGGGAGAGGAAAAAAATTAGCTAAGCAGCCACAGAACTCAAATCCTGTTTTCCATAAAGGGAAGTGAGATAAAGAAAGGGAAGACACACACATAATTGGAAAGATCACCAGAAACAGAAAACAAAGCCTCCCTTTTAATGAGGCTTTCCTGACGGTGAAGTACATGCACAGAATATTCTCCCACCTGCTACAGTGCAACATGGCCAACCTGGACTGCTCAGAGCACTACTCTCAGCTGCATTCTGGTGCCACTGCAGTAAAAGATGTAGCTCTTGCTGAGAGAAAGCAGACAACTTCTGGTGAACTGCAGGGAGAAAGGAAAAGAAACAGAGGGGAAAAGGACTGACACCAAAGAGAAGGAATCAAGAGGACCCTAAGACTCTCCTTACACACACAGGGCTTAGTGGAAGCCACTGGAATTGGTGGCAGGGGTATTCGTTCCCTCTCCAGAACAATCAAAGGCCAAAGCAAGTGAGAATCCCACGTTTCTAGGAAGTAGCAGCCACAATGGTATAAAGTCACTTGTTCCTTCCAGTCAGCCTCTACCTGCTCAGTACCCTCCAACTTTGTAAAGGTTCTCAAAAATTTTTAAAAAGGGGGAAAAAGAAAGTCAACTTCCATTATTTCATATGGCAATAGTATAACCTTTTGTTATTAGTAATTCTAATCCATTACATACTGAATCGATTTAGCTTTAGTTCTCCTGTCATGCTCTTACACAGTTCACGCTTGTAACAGTAAACTGTTTCAGACTTTGCTAACATTTACATACATATTTTATTTAAACAGGCTGAGCTAAACTCTTAATTAAAGCAAAGGTCACTGTACCACAGTGCCTTGTCTTTAAGTGTGTTTCTTTTTAATATGTCATAGCATTCAAAGAAAAGGTTTTCTTTATCAGCTCTCTTAAATAGGCTCTAAGATCTTCTCAACACCAGAGAACTGCTCTGGTTCTACTGCCTTAATGTCACTCCTTCAGACTGCACAGAATCATAGCCGGAAAAAGAAATTCAAAAAATAGAAGAAACTATTTTAAATGCCTGAATTATTGCCCTCCACTGCAAACTCTAGTCACATCCAATTTTTATTTAAAGTTATGTAAGTACAAAACCACCAAAAAAGCACAAACTCCCCTTTTCCTGTCATCTAGAAGAGGAAATTTATTGCACTGGTGGGGACCGTTGCACATCAAAGCAACACTGGTTCCCTAAAAGAGACCAAACAAACTCGCCTCTCCCTGAAGACACACCTCTGAGAGCAAGAGGGCTCCGACACACCTTGAAAAGATGACTGAGAGAGGACCTCATCAATGTCTTTAAGTACCTAAAACAGAGGTGTCAAGAGGATGGAGCCAGGCTCTTCTCGGCGGTGCCAAGCAACAGGACAAGAAGCAAAGGGCAAAAACTGATGCACAGGAAGTTCCACCTGAACACGAGGAAGAACTTCTTTACTGTGCAGTGACCGAGCACTGGAACGCATTGCCTTCCCCAGTGGAGATATTCAAGAACCATCTAGGCGCAACCCTGTGCCATGTGCTCTGGGACGACCCTGCTGGAGCAGGGAGGCTGGACCATACGACCCACACTGATCCCTTCCACCCCGTGACTCCGTGACACCCGTCCTCCCCACGGCCCCCGCAGGGGTGGCGGCACGGAGACACCGCCCGGCGCTGAGCCGACACCCGGCCAGGCCCTGCCTCCCGCATCAAGAGCTCCTGCACGCCACCCCGACCCCCGCCAGCACCGCGGAGCCGCCGCGCCCCCTCCCCTGGGACCTGCGCGCCGCCCCCTCCCGGCGCCCGCGGAGACCCGCGGCACCAGAGCGGCACCAGAGCGGCACCAGAGCGGCACCAGAGCGGCACCAGAGCGGCCCCGGGGAGCCCCCGCCCGCCCCGCCGCGGGCAGCCGGGCACGCCGAGCCCACCTGCCCCGCCACCGCCGCCGCTGCCCAGGCCAGCCCTGCCCGCAGCGCTCCGGCTCCGGAACAGGAAAGCGATGGGAGGTGCTGCGGGCGGAAGCACCGCCCGCCGGGAGGGAGGGAGGGAGGGATCGGCGGCATGAGCAGCTGGAAGCTGGAGGCCGGCGCTGGGGGTCGGCCCCGCGGGGGCTGCCTGCGGGAGTACCCGGCGCTGCCGGTGTGGGTGGTGGAGGACCACCAGGACGTGAGTGCCCGGCGCTGGGCTGCCGTGGGATGGGCCGTCCCTCCGGTGCTGCATGGGGAGTGGCTTCGCTCGCTCGCTCGTTTGTTGGTTTGTCCGCGGCGCGGAGGCTCGGTCTGGCTGGTGGATCCCCTGTGCTGGCGCTGACGGATTCCCTGGGGGGATGCGCTTTCCCACCATCTCTCCGGGTTCTGCCTGCTCCAGGCGCTTCCCTGGGAACAGCCCTGCCCTCTGTAGCCATGCACAAACACTAAAACTGCCTTCCCTTCCACTGCTGAAACATAAATGAAGTTCAGGGCTCAGGAGACTTTCCCATTCACCGATTAAGTTAATTGTTGCCATGATCGGATTTTGACATCTTTTTAAGGAATTATTGCTGGCTTTTTTCTTCATTGGGTTGTAGTTGCTGTAGTTAAATAGCAATTATACCCACATTACCCTGCTGTTATAATTTGCTCGGCTTTAGAGCAGTACTTGGAAACTCAACCCACCCTAGTGTCTGACAGCAGGTATAATCACATCCCAGCAAGCAGATTGACTGCCACTTGATGAGAAATGTTAAATGTGGAGCTTTGCTTTTTTAGTTAAGTCATTCAAAAAGGGAGTGAAGGAGGAATTGCTTTTGAACTGCTGTTTCTGATTTCTCATAGTTTTATTTTTAATAGCAGCATAAATTGAGGCCTTCATCCTAAGTAACAGATTATTTACTAGATTCTTTGCGAACAGAAAATTTTAGTGTAAAGTCCACTACAGAAAATAATGACATGAAATTGTAAGTAAATAGTTTTATGCCCTTCATTTTTACTAAGACTAGCTGAAATATATGATACTGTCAGTAGATGCATCATGCTCTGATTAATAATAACAGGTGGCATAAAGGAAATTTTGTACTTAATTGCAAGGTTAGAGACCTCAGTCTCCTGTGTCTCTTGCAACCTGAGTGAAGCTTCAGTTTTAATTACAAAGACTGTAAGTTTTTCAGGTACGCCAGATTACTTCTTTTTTTCCAAAGAAGTGAAAGTCATGGATCAGGAAACCATTGTTATTTTTAACCTTGAGTTATCTATACTGTTGCAATACTATACATATGTTTTATGGTTATACCCATGCAGTATGCAGGACCTGTCATCTTAATCAGTTTTGTGCCAAGAAAAGTAGCTCAGTTGCAGTTGTAATGTAGAGGTCACATGTAATTTTTGTTGCTTCTTTACAGTCTTCACATTCCCTGTATGGTAGGGCTGTGATTCACAATCCCTGTTGGATTTGCTCTGGCAGCCAAGGCAGTTGATGTCCCCTAACCAGTGAGAGAGACTCCGTGTACTAAAGTTCAGTGTAAGAGGTATCATGAACTAGCCATCAGTTTTTTCTCATTTTTACCACCCTGTATTATTGCAGTTCAGTCGTTTTGTATGCTATAAATTGGTTGGTTGCCTCATCTTCTGTTTTTTGCACCTTTGAGTGAAGACCTTCAACGGAGGATAAGGTTGGAGAGTTGAGAAAGGTAGTATCCTTATTGCAGCCACTAAGTCATTAGGAATTAATTTTTCAAGAAGAATAGGTCTAATAATCAGCTAAAGTTTAAATCATGGTGGGATCAGTTTTAATTCTATATCAGTTAACTTATAAACCTCAAGTAACAAAATATTTTTATCTCCACAACACCCATGCATGGTGAGGAATGCATGGGAAAGGAAATACAGGGGCAATGTTCTGCAGAAGAGGAAAGGCATTCCTGGGGTTTAGTTGTAAATGCAAAAAAAGCCCTACAAATTGAGTTGAATCATTAGTGAGAAGCTACTGCAAACAAGACTTCCTATAAAGAAGGAAAAAGGGAGTAAGGCTGTGATTCTGTAGCAGTTTCTCATGTAGAATGCTTGGGCTTATAATGATTACAGTTCATGAGTTGTCTTGCCTCTGGAGTTATCTCCCCTTTGTATTGTTTTCTATCTCCTCCTTCCTCTAATCCAAATTCTAAAGGAATAAGAGTGGGACTAGCGTTTTTGCTGTTCAAGTGGTTGCATTTTTCAGCTTACTAGTTATCATTAAAATGTTTTTATTTATGTTGCTTTAGGTACTGCCTTTCATCTATCGTGCCATTGGTTCAAAGCATCTTCCTGCCAGTAACATCAGTTTTGTTCATCTTGATTCCCATCCAGACCTTCTTATTCCTGTGAATATGCCTGCAGACACTGTATTTGACAAAGAAACTCTTTTTAGGTAGGTCTTGGTTACTGCCTCAGAGTACTTTAAGTCTTCTTCTTGCTGCCTTTGATTCACAGTGAATATCGGTACAACTGAGTGGAAAACATGAACAAAGGAGGTATAATTCAGGTTAAGGTTGTATCTTCCATCTTTTCACTTTTGCTGAAACTTTTTTTTTGATGGAAGAAGTTACTTTTGTGTTTTATGAATGTGACCAAATGTTTGTGTGGTGCATCAAACAGTTTTAAGATGTATGAATTTGCTTTGTTTAGTTGTTCAGTAGTGGATTATGATAATAACCCCAGTAGTTCCTCTGGGTAACAGGAAAGCACTCTAAGTTGACGCTTTGTCTGAAGAGCTGTAGAGTAATAAATCAGTCTTTCTTTCTCCACACTGAAAAATGGACTTTCAGATTGAAATAGCATATCCTTTGTTGGCATGGTGAATATGTGAAATTGAACAAGATTTTCATATTAGAATCATAAAGACCAATATTTTCTACCACGATCTGATGTAGGTAGGGAATAAGCCACAGGGTGGTTTCTACTTTTGTCTTTCTCTTCCTGTTTTAAGGTAAATATTGATTGCTTCAGTAATATGGTGATTTATAGCAATTACAAGCTGATGCAGTTGTTGTTTAAGTACTTCGATCATCCTACCCATAGTCAGTATTTTGTTTTCTTTTTTTGACTAATGAAAAGTCAAAATGGTTCTATCTTAGAATCATTGAATGATTTGGTTTGAAATGGACCTTAAAGATAATCTATTTCCAACTCCCCTGCCATTGGCAGGGACATCTTCCATTAGACCAGGTTGCTCAAAACCCCATGCAACCTGGTCTTGAACACTGCCAAGTGTGGGTCATCCACAACTTCTCTGGACAACCTGTTTCAATTCTTCACCACCCTTACAGTGAAGAATTTCTTCCTAATATCTAATCTAAACCCACCCTCTTTCAGTTTAAAGCCTTCCCCTTTGTTTTATCACTGCATGCCCTTGTAAAAAGTCCTTCTCCAGCTTTCTTCCCTTTTAGATACTGGATGGTTCTATGGGTCTCCCCGCAGCCTCCAGGCTGAACAACCCCAGTTCTCTCACCTTGTCCTCACAGGAGAGGTATTCTAGCCCTCTGATCATGTTCGTGGCCTCTTCTGAACCTGGTTCAGCAGGACCATGCCCTTGTTGAGGGCCGCAGAGCTGGGTGCAGTACTCTGGGGGGCATCTCATAAGAGTGGAGTGGAGGGGTGTAATCACCTCCCTCGACCTTCCTGTTATGCTTCTTTTGATGTGGTCCAGGATACAGTTGGCATCATACACGTAAATAAAATAGGGTCTTGATAGTGAGGAAAGATGCAAATCTTGCAGATGTGGATTGACTCACTTTAATTACTGAGATGATGTTTAAAAACTATTTAGAGCAGTTTACAATAAAACACTCTCATGAGGTCAGTTGGAAGTTATTTAGAACAATGTTGTGTCCTTGTACTTTTCCTCTCTCTGATGTATCAAGAGAAAAAGGATGTAGAATCACAGAATCATTAAGGTTGGAAAAGGCCCCTAAGGTTATCAAGTCCAACCAGTAACCTAACACTGCCAGGTCCAAACTACAACTAAGTAGTTTATCATCAAAGCACCATGCTAAGAGTGAAGCTGATTGCATTCTGTGTCCAGACTTTTTTAAATCTACTACAAACATTGTAGATTTTCTTTTTTTCTTTCTTTGATGATGTTACCCTTACACAGAGTACTAATTTTAGATGATTTGCGTGGGGGTTTTAAAGATGTGGAAGATGTTTGTGGTGTTCTTGACCATGTTTTATTTATAAGGAAATATTTATATTGTTTATATCATTTATATCATTGTTACCTCCTGTCTTTCTCTATTGATTACAGTGAATTAAGTATTGAGAACTGGATTATGCCTGCTGTTTATGCTGGCCATATTTCTCAAGTAGTATGGCTTCACCCACCCTGGGCTCGTCAGATCTCGGAAGGAAAACACAGTTTTCTTGTTGGGAAAGATGTATCAACAACGACAATCAGGTAAATTGTCTGCTGTCATATACTAGTAATTTAAAAGTTGTCTCTATAGCTTTTCAATGGAATTTTTTTTGTTCTTGGATAAAGATGAAAATTTAATTTGTAGTTTGTATTTGTAATTTCCTTGGGAAATGCCCAATGTAGTTCAACTTGTATCTATTTACTCTTTGGTCTACCTAGTAAAATTTTTATTTGGTATCAGCCATGATTCTGTTTTTCTGGTGTGAGGTTGGTTTTTTTGCCTTTTTTTCTTTTTTTTTTTTTTTTACGTTAATCTACTAATTAAACACTGAAACAAGTTCTCAGGTGGTGAATTCTCCATCCTTTGATAAAGGATGATTGGCCTAGGCAGCCTCATCTACCTCTAAAGTTAGTTTTGCTTTGATCAGGTGATTGACTGGAGACTTCCAGATGTTTCTACTAATCTTAATCATTCTGTGTTTCAAGTTCTGATCAGAGCCGCTCATCATTCTGCAGGATGCAGTCCATGATAATTTTGCATTCACTATATTCACTGCGTTGTGATTTTGTACAGCTTTAATGGACACTTACAAATCATGTCTCTTTTCAGCATATCGAAGTAAATCTTCTGAAGCATGTTTAACAGAAGACAGCAAAGAAATGCTTTTTTTACCACCTTAAATAAAATGCTAAAGCTCTACAATTCTGAATCTGAAGCCTAAAGTAAACCTGAATAATAATAATGATAACTATGATGATGATGATGATAATAATAATAAAGCAGCTAGTGCTTTCAATTACATTTAACCAATATATAGAAATACTTCCTGATGGCTGAATAGCTCTCCCACTTGTGGCCTTAGCTGTCTTGAAAACAACATTTCAGGCTTCTTTTTGAACACTGTCAGTTACCTTCACTTCAGGTTCTAGGCTTACCAAATCCGTGAAGCAAGAAAGAGAAAGAGTCCTCAGAAATACAAACTTGCTTAAAGTTTTGTTGACAACCGATGAATAGGTAAAAAGATACCTTAGTTAGTGTCCACAAAGGAAAAGGCTGTAGTATGAACTCATGGTGAACCCGGCAGAATTTCTGGGAAGAGGTCCTATGAATGTCCCATCAACAAGATGAAGTTGTGATCCAACCTCTCATCTTGGCAAGCTCAGGGTAATCCATCCACAAGACACTGGGGAACTGAGCTTCAGATTTCTCCATGAAATTATGAAATTATTTGTCTTTGTGGCTGATTGATGGTGATACGCTGTAATCAAATGAGGCCTTAACACACATGAGCCGATGTTCATACTTAAGCTTATTTTTAGTCTGAGTTTATGATGCTTAAGGCTTAATGTACTGAAATATGGCTGAAATAAGCAGAGGTTTTAGTTTTGTTGCTTTTGTTGAATTAGTTCGTTGGTTTTTTTTTATATAAGTGGATTCAGTTGATACCTAGCTATTTATCCTCTAGTTACCGTTAAATTGATTTAATTCTGGTTAAATTCTACCATATTAATTAATATTATTTTACTTTTACTTAATCAGTATTTATACATTTCAGGGCACTTCCCAAGCCCAACTAACATAATTTTCCTGGAAAATTAGAAAGGAAAAAATGTCAATATAGCTTTGCAATCTTTTATGCCATAATATTCAGAATTGAACAAGATATTGTCAATATTGTCTTTAAAATGCAATGCAATGGCAAATTAATCATAGTCGCACATAATGTAGAATCATTTTTCTTATCCATTAAAACTTTGTTGGACTATCATAAAAATATAGGATGAATTTATATATATTTATTCCACAATAAAGAAATGGAAAAAAATTAATTTAAAAACCTGAGGATTGAAATTTTGTCTACACAGTTTTATTGCTTTCATTGCCCATCACAGGTCTGTTTATTCTTCTTTGGATCTTTAAAGTATAAAATGCTTTTTCCTAAGCTCTTTGCCAAGATGTATATTAACTGTGAGTTACTGTTAATTGTAGGGTTACAGGCACAGATCATTACTTTTTAAGTGATGGTCTTTATGTTCCTGCTGATCAGCTGGAAAACCAGAAGTCCTTAAACTTGCATGTCATTCTCATCAACCCTACCGAATCATCAGATGGCCGTGAAGAAAACAGTGAAGTAGCATCTGCTAAAAGACTGAAGCTAAATACAGATGACATAGCAAGCACCACTTCTGCCTCTTCTTCAGTGGGTCTTGGTGACCTTGATAACAGCACCCCAGGCATGAAGAAAAAGGAAGTACAAAATGCAAGTGTCCTGAATAGGGCAGGAACCTCACCAGAGTGCTCAGCTTCAAGCTGTCTCAAAAACAGTGAATGCCCAATAAGAGAAATTGTTAAAGATGTCTGCCAAGTGCTGCAGAAGGGGGATGCATATGTTTTGGACATTGATTTAGATTTTTTTTCAGTTAAAAATCCATTCAAAGAAATGTACACACAGGTAAGCATAAAAATTGAATGGCCTTGTTGAGTCATAGTCTTAGTGTTTATGTCTATGGAGAAAATTTCACCTAAGCTCAATTAGCAGATTAGCTAATCATGGTTAATGATTCATGGTAATATTTTAAAGGGGAGTGTACGTGACAAAAATTTACAACCACCAAATATGGGGAAATTCTTACATTTTACAACAGTATGGAGAGTGCATTCAAGCCCAGAGGTATATGACTCACTTGTGCTTGTTGCTTGGGACATAAAAGCTACGCTTGGGTTTCCACAGGTAGCCGTCCAAATACCCACAGGAAGATTCATCAGGGAGGAATCATAGAATGGCAGATTGTGTCATTTTTTACTCTTCATAACATGCTATTAGAAAACCACAGTGGTATCCGGAGACTGCCTTTCAAAAGACATGGTGGTATTGATTGTACAAAGAGTGGTAGCTTGTCCTGATGAGAGGCTGTTATGCTCATTATTGTCTGCAGTACTCGAGTAGGGGAATGATCTTGGTGATCACATTCTTTTTTTGAAGAAGGAAAGCTTTGAAGATTTGGTTTCCCGTTTGAAGAGTCTAATTTTTTTCCTCTTTTTTTTTCTTTATCAAAGACAGAATATGGGCTCTTGCAAGAGTTGTACAATTTCAAGAAGCCGCATAAAAATGCAACAGAGGTATGATATTTCCTTGTGGGATGTATGAGGGAATGATTCTTTTTATTTACCCAATAAAAATGAGTTACGTCAACAGGAAGGAACCTATCAAAGGTGCTTAATGAAGTGGTCTCAAATTAAGCTACATGGCATGCTGAATGCTAATCAGCAGCATCTTAAAATTCTTTCCTATTAAATGTTTTGATTAAATGAGTGAATTGCATAAATATTTAGCATGAGTGTGAAAATTAGTTTCTGTAAACAAATGGTAATTGACAAGGAAGGAATGAAAACACTGTAAGTCATCTGCAATGTTGTTCTTTTTATGGCTCAACAGGGCTTTGGCTTGGTGGGGGATTTTTTTGTTGGTTTTTTTGGTGGCAGGTTCTTCTTTTTTTTTCTTCTCCTCCAGGCTCTCCCCTTCCTTGCCCGAGTTGTTCTTGTTTGATAGCCAGAGTTGTGATGATTGTCTAATTGGATTTTTACCTGTCTATTTAGATGTGGAAAGGATGGTATTATGCCACTGTAATGTACTTTTCATTTTACATCCTCTGTGCTTCTGACTCTAGGAAATGTAAGCTTTCATAATCTCATCTGAACACTGTTAGATAGAAATTCAGTACATATAATTAGCACAAATTAGTGAAACCTGATAAATATATATGTATAAAGAAATAGAGATAGGTGGAATATTGGCAAACTGATTTTCTTACCTCTTAGTAAATCAGCAATAAAAACAGGTACATATTTAAAAGATGGCTTTTTTAAAATTGTTGTGGGAAAGACAGAGCAAAGTGAGATGATTTATTCTGAAGGTATAACAGCTTCTGCAGGCATTCCCTGTGATCCTCTTGAATTGATGTGCCATAGTAATGAAACAGTTGGTTTGGATTCCCCACTTCCAGTAGATCAGTCACTACAGAGTTTAAATCGTAGTAAGCCACGATATTCTTACTTCATTTTTTTACTAACATACTGTTATATATGCTTATCTAAAGGAAAGCTTGCTGGATTGTGTTGAAAACCGTGTTCATCAGCTGGAAGACCTGGAAGCAGCATTTGCAGATTTGTGTGACAGTGATGATGAAGAAACCCTGCAGAAGTGGGCTTCATACCCTGGGTAGGAGAATTATAAATGGCTTGAAATGCAAACAAAGGTTTTGGAACTGATTAGCCCAGCATTTTGATAACAGAGAAGGATAGCATCTATGCAAGGATACTGTTTTTCCTTTAGTTCTAGAGGAGAAAGAGTCAGACAAAATAAAAGGAAAGTCAGTCTGCTATCTTCAGCAGCTCTCTAGGCCTTTGAAGCTCAGTCTTCTCCAGCTTGGTGCAAACTCTGTTTTCTATGGATGGAGGCATTTTGTTGACTAAAAACTTAGTCATCGGTGCGTATCAGAGTTCTCAAAAAAACAACAAACCAAGGAGGACATGGAGAAGCAATTCTTTGGTGCTCCCGAAGGGTCAGCTTTCTGTGGGAAAATGGAAATGAGTGAAACATTGTATCTGAGCAACAGTCTCCGCTAGACATCTGAACAGCATCACTTTGCTTTTAAAACAAATGTTTTCAGCTGAAAAGAGACACTGAAAATCTGAGCTTTTCCTTGATGGGAAAATAATTTATTTTCCACACAAATGCAGCAATTACTGTCAGACTTCTGTAACAGTGACTGTAAAAGTTTGTATGACTTGAGCCGCAACAGTTCATCTGCAGATCTACCCTAAAAGAAGCACAAAGAGGACTTGCCAGAGGCAGATATGGGTATAAGGGCGTTATGAGAAAGACCTGCTGAAACAGTGCAATAGTACTGATAATTTCCACTTTTTCAGGTGCAGGATGACAACGAGGGGCAAGTTTCAAATCCTAGGCCATAATAACTTCTACTTTCCTCTTTGTTTGTTTGTTTGTTTGTTTTTTGTTTTGAATGTTTTAACTCCAGAATGAAGCCACTTGTTGAACTAGTTCACAGTTTGAAAAACAGGATGGAAAGCCCAGACTATGAAATGGTAGGTGGCAAGGTAAAAGAGCAGAAAGTAGACAAATTTCAAAAGCATAGCTTCAGCAGGAAGGGAAAATTCATACTTCCTTTCAGATTTACTTCTTGATTCAGGACTTTGTGAGAGTTTGCTAGTTTTCCTGGGTTTTTATGTCTCATTACTTAGGCCAGCTTTTCTTTTTAAGGCTGCTAAAATTCTGCTCTGCTTGTCTATATTTAGGCAGCATTAGTGTGATCTTTCAGGACTGTGATGTCTTGAACCTCATTCTGTGAAGGGAGGTTTCATTTCATCAGGGTGTGTTGATCTTCTTCATAGAATTTAAGATAAGATACCTATTTATAGAGAAACAGATCTATCATCTTCAAGGACTGCAGCACACTCTGAATTTATAGAAAAGGTAGAGTGTACTGAAGATAATGAAACAATCCATACAACCTCTAGATTTTTATTTGTTTCGTTTAAAGAACAAGCTGGGGCAAAAAACCCTGCAGCTCTTACTGTCTGAAGAGGTGTAAGTTACCTACTGGTCTAGGGAAGGCATGCTAGAGAGCTTCTACGCAGATAATATGTATCAATAGTTCATCAACAGAAATTAAATCTCTGTTTAATTTACCTGTAGGTCCATCAGGCTGGTTTGACCTGTGATTATATGGAGCTTCCTCACCATATTAGCACTGAAGATGAGATCGAAGGCCTCATACAATCCATTAAAGTTCTACTAAAAGATATGCCCAAGCCCACGCTTGTGACAGTTGCTCGGTAAGACTATGCAGACATTTTTAGTTTAAAAAGCTCAGATTATGCTCATGAAGATAAATGATTTTATCAGCATAGCACTGGTTGGTACATCTTAAGTCCTGTCTTAAAGTGGAAGCCTTACAGTATAGTAAAAATTGACATTTGGAAATATTGATCATAAAGCAGTGACAGCATCTACACAGGTAAGGGAAGACTCTGTAGTGATGGCCAGTTTTACTGGGCTTTAAAGTATCTGGCACAGATTTCAAAAGCTATGAAAACATGATGACTTCATTCGCTTCAGCACAGGTTATATAAAGTTTGTGATGAGGCCTTGTGTTTGTTGGGATTGAGAGCTGTCACTGGAGTTCAGGCATCTTCACTGCTTCCATTACTTGTGCTAATTAGAGCAAAGCTAGGACAAGCCTGCATGGGCTGACATCCCACCTTCATTCTTCTCTTGGTTTAGGGTTTATTGTACTATAGATAGGATTTCTGGTGAAACTTCTGCTGGAACTGGTTTTTGTCTAATGGCCTGAAAGCAATCTATATTCTTTAAGGCTCTAGTAAAGCTTTGTTATGGAGTAAAAGTTATGTTTCCGGGACTGTAAGGGTATTATTTAGGAGAAAAGGATGGAGTTTGAGACCAGGGACCTGGGAGAACCAGGGATCTGTCATGGGAAAACCTGATCTGGAGGCCGCAGTGTATCTGTTGTCAAATTGTTGCAGTTTAATCATTCAGAAATACTTAGTGTGCTGTTGAAAGGGCAGGCAATAATAGCAGAAGCTGACATGAAGCTGGCTTTGTCAACAAGAAATAGTATGGCTAATTCCTGCAATAAAAGAAAGCTGTATTCCCTGTGCCAGCTGCAGGATTGTCATCCAGTGTTACAGAGAAAACAGAATCATCTCTCTAGATCTTGACAGATAAAAATTCAAGAAGTGTCAGCTCTGCTAGTATTGGTTTGCAATTCATTAATAGATACTGTAAAAAATGTTATATCCCAGGGATTGTGAAGATTTGTTTTTCAAAGTTTTCCTTGCTACTTAAAGAGTAGCATTTGAATTTTTCAGTCTTAATTTTCCATGTGTCCTTTAATTAGATCATTTGCTTGAACTTTGTCTGCCAACATGTTCTGTGTCAGATTCAGGAAGAGAGTAAAATTGGAAAGAAGATTAGGTCACATTCCTGATCTGCTGCAGACTTTCTATTCAGCTTAAAAAGTAATGAGAAGATTCACAGCACTACACTTTAAAGGAATACGGGGAGGCAGAACTTACCAAAGTTTGAAAGTAGCTTCAGCCTAACCACAGAGCCTTACAAGAATACACAAGGTGGTCATGGTGGTGATATCTGTGTTCTCTCATGCCTTTTTCAATTCCTTTTTACAGATCAAGTTTGGATGACTATTGCCCTTCAGAGCAGGTTGACATGATTCAAGAGAAGGTTCTCAATTTACTTGGTTCGGTGTATGGCTCTCTGAATGTGCACTTAGATTACTCAAGCACGTCATCTTCTTTGTGACCTTTCTTCATGTATTGCTGTCTAATGCAGTGGATTAATTGAAATTGCATATTAACTATGGTTGCAAGGGGAAAACTACTGTTATTTCAGCAGGTGGCACTAGAACCCAAGCTGACCCAGAGCTAGTTTTGAGATGCATTACTTTCTCTAAGTCAGCTACATCTGAACTGTTGGTTACCTGTTTGGCTTTGTTTAGATTAGTTCTGTGATTATTATTTTTACTGTCTTTCTTCTTAAAATTGGTGCAAGAGAAATTACTTTTTGTCTATAAAATAACACTTTTTGTCTGATTTGTGTCTGTAAAAAAACCCAAAATATATAATTTCTTAAACTAAATGGATATCTTTTATGTACTTAAAGTTTTTTTTTTTTTTTGAGTTTGGTGAGTAACAGATTTTTTCCTGAGTTGCATTGTGTCTTTTAAAAAAATTATCTGAATAATGCCCTTAAGACTGTAGGTTTTCATAGTGATCTCTTTTAATTGTTGTGCTTGAGATGAACTTCTCATTTCTATGGAGCAGCTTATGACTTCTGCCCCATCCACAGAATATCATTTATATTTATACTCTCTTTCATTAATATTGTCTTATTTTGCCTCAGTATTTCATTGGTGACTCATATAATGTTCCCGACGTACAGACGTTGGCTTGATATTTTCACTTTTACATAATTTTGGGGATAAAAAGTATGTGTACATGTGCATGCTTTTGTCTTTGGAATCCTGTAAGGAATTGAATTGATAGTTTCTTCAGAAACAAAGATTTAGCTTCACTGAAGTCAGCAGCAAAACCTTTTGTACCAGTTTTTTGCTCTTTTCCATATTACTGTTTGGAAAATAACAGTTTTAGAAATGTTTAATTTAGAAATCAATATAGTTATAGAGAAAACTGCCACTGGCAGAGGAAAAACCCCACAGGATTTATTTGGGAATGAAACTGAAATGGGAAAGAAAAAAATGCCACTTAGAATATTATTTATTATGAATACGTTTTGCTTGTAATTTCTTCTGAAATAGTTAAGTTCATTTGCTAACATCGCTCTTTGCACTACAGTGACTCTGTGCACTTTTACAGTTTTTTTATTACTTCTGCTGTTGATATAAATGACTGTATTATAGATTGTAGATACATAATGATTCTAAAATATTTCTTGCAGTAGAATAAATTCCATAGTGATGGACGCACCTTCTTTGTGTTTTTGTGACGCATCTGTCACAAAGACATACCTAGCCTTGGAACCACTTTCCTTAATACTTCATAAATTATAAACAGCCATACATTGCATATAGAAATGAAGCGCAGTCAGATCATGGGATGATTGTGTAAAGATTGGGGGTTTTTTAAAGTTAGAGATACTTCTTGCTGGGCTTTGCATAAGGTTGTAGAAAACAAAAAAAAGCACATATGTAGGGCACAGCTGAGCCCCTCAGCCAAGGGCGGGTGTGTGAGAGCCCTGGGGAAAGGCTGGGCAACAGAGGGATCCAATTGGCGGAACCTTTAGCATGGACCAAACTCAGCAGTGTTTGTGTCTCTGCCTGGGTGCTGCTTTGGGGATTCCTTAGTTGGTGAGGTAACAAAAATAAATCTACTCTTTGCATTTTGTCTGTGGTTTTGTGGTTGTTCCTGTGCTGGCTTACACACATATGTTCACTGTGGCTCTGCAGAATTAAACTAACATCGTGAATCGTCTATGTTGTATCCAAGTTATTTAAGAAATCTTCCTTTCAATCACAGTTTTTGTTTATGAATGTCAAATTGTTATCTTCTGAAATGTATGACTAACACAAACTATATAGTGCACTCCAGAAAATGCCAGTCTCACTTAGTTATTGAGACATTAATTTCTACATTAAGGACATTTGCAAGGTTTTTTTTACTTTGGCAAAAAGTAATCAAGCCAAACCAGAAACAGGTATCTCTATTTCTTGCTTCTATATATAGCTTATTTATTAACCACACATACAAAATCCTCCATTCCCCATGTCTGCCTCAATGTCCTTTCAGCTTATTTCAAATATCTATTATGCAGAACAACTCCTCTAATTACTGCTATAAGGATGAGACATGAAGGCCCATTAGAAATAAATTCACTTGAGGATATTAGCATAGCAGCACCATATAAGACAGCAGCTTCATATTGTCTCTTGTAGCTAGATGTCCCTGCCAGCTCGGCTGCTCCTTTTGGCACCACTTAAGAGTGAGGATGCCCACTTGGAAGGGCATTTGCAGATAATAATGGCCAGTCTTCGCGAGCGAAGATCCGGGGAAGGTCTTTCCAACCTTCCAGCCTGCGCATTGGATTTTTTAGGTGAGACACAGTGTGCGCGGAACTGAGCCCACCCTTTAATCCTAAGGTTCATCTGCCGGGGCCAAGCGAGCTTGGACAGTGGCAGCGAGGTCCTCAGGACGTAGGTGGGTTGCCTTTAAGGGCTAACGAGCCCCACCTGCCCGGGAGTGGCCCTGACCGGGAATCGAACCCGGGTCTCCGCGGTGATAGCGCGGCGCCTTTACCCCCTAGACCATCAGGGGCTCCAATTTGCAGATAATTGCAGATGAATCTCAGCAGTAGAGGTATGCAGAGATAGTTCTGTCATAGTTGTGGCTCAGCTTCCAAGATGGACCATCAACCTGAGCATTTTGATATAAACTTAAAACTATTACACATTTCCATACAGTATGAAATAGAGCCTTAAACCAAATATACTGAGTAGTGTCTGTCTTCTCTGTGCATCACCAGCTCTGCACCGCAGCCACACTGCTGTTTCCCAGCTTGTCACTGCAAAACAAAATTAGCTTTTTCGAGAAAAATGAACTAGAGATGAGTCAGATGGCTGAGGTTATCATGTCCTTTGTTACCATGTCTTTCTCTCCTTGAGGCTTCTGTCTCTGGCAGCTCTATCCCTTCCCTTCCTCTGCTAACTGCAGTGTGAGTCAATCACCCTAGTCTCAGCCAGATTTGGACTAGGGGGTTGAAGAGTCAACTGCATAGATATTTCTTCCTGCTGCTATTGTGAAAGAAAAAAATAATTATCCAACAAGGTCAGACTTAGGTGAAGAAATCCTTCCCTGGAGGTATTTAAAAGATGGGTGGATGTGGCACTTAGGGACATGGCTTAGTGGTGAACTTGATCATGCTGGGTTAACAGTTGAACTCAATGACCTTAGCCGTCTTTTCCAACCCAAACAGTTTTATGGTTCTGTTTCTAAGACGCCCAGGATATGGGTCCTGTCTCCTTATGCATCCACTGGACAGCACCTGGAAGGGCCCCTTCTGTCCTGCTTGATGGCCCCTGTTGTCCACATGGGTGCCACAAACCGTTTCCATATCCCATCTGTCATCAGGAGGGAGGACATAAGGCACCAGTTTTCTGCTATTAGTTTTTAGTGTCTCTTGCAGGATTAAATCCTCTGTGCCCACAGCAGAGGTGCAGCTCCCACATCCCAATGTAGATGGCAAGTCAGGGACCCAACAAAGCCGGTCCCAGCTCCTGCCTTGGCACAGGCTTCCTCCCTCACTGTCATCATGTTCAGCTGCAGGCCTGTCTTGGGGGAGAGGCAGTCTGGCTAGGTCTGCGCTGGCCCCAGCAGAGGATCATAGCACCCCCACAAAGGTGTATTAATTCCTTACCTGTCTTTGAGGCTGTGGGCCACCGGCTGTCCTGCTTCTCTGTCACAAACAGAGCTCGTGAAGGTGCTGGATCCATTCCCTGGTGCTCACCTCCCTGCAAACTTACAGGGACTCTCATCTCCCTCCTCTCTCAGGTGTGGTAACTCTCTTCTGCAAAGGAAAGCTGTTGCTCACCATATCCCCAAATATTCAAGAAACAGCTCTGATCTGAATTTTTGTCTAGTTCTGTGGCTGAGTACTTTTTTACAGTTTTACAGTTTAATTGCAATTTACTTTGAGCATACATAATTTCAGTTAGGGATACTTAGCCCTCTCAAGGAAGCAGACATCTCACTGGAGAGAGACAAATCACTCCAGCCTTCGCTTGCTAAATGCTAGTTAAATATTTTTGTCGGTTTCCTTAAATGCCCTAATGGTTTTGCACATCTTCTACCACAGGGGACTACATTATCTGCTAGGGAGCTTTCTTATGGGATTGCATGCCTTTAGCAGAATTGTTAGCATGTATTTTTACTTAAGGCCCTTGACAAAACAAAGAAATATTATGTTCATGTTCGTCTTTCACTACCTTACAGATTAAGGTACATTATGTGCAAATTTAGGGCTAGACCTCCCAAAACGTCTAACATGCCCTAAGCGATACTAAATCTTAGATTTATTCAATGTCCTGTGTCAGCCAGTCAAGAAATATCTCCTAGCAGAGTTGTTAATATGGAGCTGAGATACTATGCTGCTGAATATCACTGTATTACATTCTTTTCTAATGGTTATGTCTTTTGTGTTCTTTTTGCTACCCAGCATCTCTTCCAGCCATCCTTATAATTGCCATAAACATGACTTTAATAAGATTCCAAGGTGTACAAAAGCCTTATGGAACACTCTGCCCTGCACCAGGTGATCCTTCCCCGCTACTTGATTTTGCTCAGCTGTGAACGCTAACAGCCAAGCTAACTCAAATGTCTGACTTAAATGTATCAAAGTCTGCCTTAAGCCTTTCTTCTCTTTACTTCAGCTTTACTTATTTTATCACCTTAAAGTAGTGCAGGTCACCAGCTACCTAATTCCCACTAACACCAAGCTTCTGCTATAATTTTTGTAATTCCAGTTGCCCAAACTCAGATGCCCTCTTGTTTCTATAAGACTGGCTTCTCTGAGTTACTCCCTACTTTGGCTCTAGGCCAGTCATTAAACTGGAACGTGGCTGGTCCTCCTCATTCAGGACATAGTGCTAATTCTTCTCCAAAGGCAATATTGATGTGATAAACTCAGTCCCTCCTCAAACCCTGAATATGCTCCTTTTTTTAAGTGCAGCATTTTGTGAATGCCTGTAACTAAAATCAGAACATGGATGGATTTTGTTTCCATGCCTTTAAATGCTACTTTATTTCAAGTAAATATGGGACTGCTCAAGGCTAGCTCACTGAAGTTCCTGAGAAGTGAGAGTCAAAAAGCCGATGCATTAGTGACTTCCATTTCCCAGATAGTCCAGAAGTTTCAGAGCAGGTCAATATTATATCATACAGAAATACTTCACTAATTTTGGCTTCCTTGTTTATAAATTGCAATAATAGAAATATGTTTATAAAATATATATAGTACACTGGTTGTCATAGCAAATTTGACAGAATAAAACCTGTGGATTAAAATTTCTGCCTTTGATGAGGGTATGAATGCTTCTCCTTTTCTAACAAGTCACTCCATGTATCGTTAGACACTGAAGAAGAATAGAAGTAGTTCCCTTTTTTCCTGTTTCTCATATTTCAAGGAGGCAAGCAATCCTAGTGATAGAACTTCTCTTCCTTCCCCTCACACCTGCTCCTCCTTATTTTTTAATCTACTTCCTTTGCCTTGCTTGTCTCTTTTTTGCTTTTAAGCTTTTAATTCATTTGATATTGTCTGACTCTAGACAGCAGTCAAATATTCAGCCTTAAAAGTACATAAGGCATGAGACACCTCTAAGCCCTGAATGCTGTGGTAGTAAATATTCTACTTTAGCCACCTCTAATGTTAGTATTGTAGATCCTACTTTAAGTCATAGCCTTGTGCACAATGCAGAGTAACACTAAGATCATCAAATTAGACGTCATATTCAAGAGCTAGTAATACAATCATGCTGCTTAAGCCTGTTGCCAAAATATCCTCATAATTAGGTCCAACAGCTGAAAAGAATGACCATTCAGTGGACAAAATGCCTGGGTCTGGCCTCATGGAGAAGAAATACTTTTAAAGTGCTGAATGCTATTGTGGATGAATTGCCACTAATATATTTATTTTTGCTGCTGTCTGTGATTCTTCAGGTTTTTGAGGAAATCCTGGTAAATGCTGACATAGACCAATAAGCTTTTGAAAAGTGACTTGAAACAGAAGAAAGTCTGCTTACTTAATTGTATTTTTAGGACAAAATTGCAGATATAAATGTGCTGTATTATCCCCTTCTTTTGTGTCTTACATCCTTCCTCCCTGCTCTCTCCCAAAAATAGTCCCTCCAATTTCCATTTCTCCCTTTTGTGTTTTATTGTCTAATTTTTGATGCCTAATTTTATAACTCATAATAGGTAATTAAAAAAAATCACCTCCCCTTTGATTCACTGGAAACAACAGCTTTTTTGTCTGTAATTTTAGTAGTCTGTAAACATTTTTCATACAGAGTTGTTGCTTGTGTTTTAATGTGTTTAATATGTTTGCTTCAATGTGTAGTCTTTTAAATTTTTTTTTAAGATTAAGGAAATGTATGAATACAAGTAATTTCATATGAAAACCTAAATGTATTAATTGAAATGAGATCAAAATGTTCCAAATTAAATATTTAAGAAGAAAAATGCATTTTTTGATTAAAAAAATTAAATTTACTAACAGTATCTAAGAACAAGTAAAATATTGTCAACCAGGATGCTAAAATACTGTCTAAAACTTAACAGTTGTGGGTTGGTGATTTATTGTACTTAATTTCTTCTGTATTTTTCTTCCAGAAGCAGTCCCTGTCATATTTTATATCACATTATATAATGTGAAAGAAAAAAACACATTAAAATATCCACCACAGTACTCTGCAAGTCACAGC